AACAGTTTATGCAGAATATTTTCTTGTACACCAATGCAACAAAAGCTTTGGTGGTACCATCAGGAATGGACTTGTCACCAAGTAGTTTTCTGTACTTCCTGAAGCTCTGAGTCTAGAAGCCAAGTCCAGGATTCTGCAGATTTGCAACAAGTACATTTTAATGTGATTTTCATGTGGCTATGAGAAAGATCTCACTTTATTTGTAAAAGAGACTAGATGTTGGGACAGGTTGCATAGTGAATCCAGTTAGCTCATAATCGGTTTAATTGCTGTCATCAGGTGTAGTCCCTACCTATTTTGCTAAAAAGCAATTTTCACTTATCTATAACTTATAAAAGTTAAATTATAAATAAATTATAAATATAATTATAAAGGTTAAAATAATTTAGTAAGGTGCTTGTTTAAAAGATGAAGTTGTTAATGTTGTAATTAATAAAGTCTAGATAAATTTGATTTGGTAGACGTCAGCTGGTGGCTGCATAAATAAGGGGCGATAAAGACGAAAAAATATTCACATATATATTCACGGGTTAATAAAAAAATATTCTTTTGAATGAGGGTTGAGATTCCCTTCAATAAAATTTGTGTGGAAACAATAATTCATCGTATGCAGAGAAATTCCAATGTGCACCAGGTGTACGTCCTGTCCTTTCAAACAAACAACGTTTTGCTAATTCGTATTCGGATTATACCTGTTTGGTGTCAGCTGTCAAATTACAAACATTTTAACGAAACATCTATATTATAATAAACAATTGAATGTTGCATTCCAGGTAATGTTTTGGGCAGAGGAGTTGGCGCTTGGAGTCAAGAAACTGCCTGCTAGATTTTCAGTAGTAATTATTAGATTACAGCCCAAGCTAAGACAGTCGGAAAACCTAGAGGTATTTAACTAACTTAGATTTTATCCGTTAATTGATTTTCTGGTATGCGAGCAATCAGCAACAGAAAATATTCCTTATACCTTCCTAAGCAAAATTGTTTTGATTCACTATATAGAATTTGCAAATTATATTCCGAAATATACATTTCAGAAAACAATTTATGCTTTTAACACAAAATTGATAATTTAGGTAATTTTATCAAGTAAAATCACCCCAAAGTTTTTGATTTGTGTGGACACATTTTGTCTGCAATTTTGTTTTCTTTGGGTAATTATAATTAACAGTTGTTATTCCACACAAAATAAGGTGCATATTAGCCGTAAAAACGTAAAATTATTAAATATGTTTGTATAGGATACATACGTGTATAGCTTTTCTCAAATTTTAATTCTTTGAATTTTTAAAATATTTGTAGATATTTTTGGGTTGTCAAATTTTGGTCATCCATATTTTAAAAATTATTTAAGCTGTACAATTCATATGTAACATGCTGTGAAAGAAGACTCCTAAATTTGCACACCTGCTATCGCTCAAGATCGGTATTATTCTAGAGGTGATGCCAAGGAAATCCTACTAAAGCAATCGAATTATATTATATTTCCCTATACATACTTAAACCCGCCTTGATTGCTATTTGCTTCGTGTGGTTAGGAGAGGAAATTAAATCACATTCTAAACATTTTGAAACATTTGAAATTAATTAATATAATAGTATAAGTATTTTATACAGATTCTTTAATCTATAACTACATGGGAATTCAATGTTACTATTATTTTGGTATTTTCCAAAGTTTTTCAGAAGTTTACCTATTATTTCGAAAATCATTTAACTCGTTTTTGAATCGCTATACCCCTCAAATCCTCTTACCTACGGGAAAACAATTCCAAGCATCATAAAACATAATCCGAACGAAATACCGGGCGGCGTAACTCTGTTGAAATTTCGTTGAACAATGTACGAGAGATTTAGTTTCGTATTTAAATCTACTCGAATAGATTTTATTCAAACAATTCGGGATCGGAGAGTAGGTCCTCGCATTATTTGGAATATTATGCTTTGTGGTGCCCGCGTCTAGAATTAAATTACAAAATAAATAATAATCTGCAAATTTTATGTTTGTTGGTACGCGGAGAAGGTTTTGTGGTAAACGTTCGATCTACAGGGTGAGGACAAACTCTTACAGCTAATTGAAAACCATTTTTTATAAAAACAGTATGTAAGCATATCTCCCAAATTACTTCCATGGCGCGAATGTTCGATATTTTTTGAAAAGGAGATCCCAAAAAGTGGCGAAGAGTTAAATAATTCTAATAAAAATAGTCAAATAGTAATTTTGCAATACTAAACACTAACATCAGAATGTAGCGGAATTTGAAAAAAGTGGAAGGTAAGGAAATTTACTCCAAATTAAATTTCAATTTAAAAAATAATGTTTATCTCAAAAAAAGTAAGTATACGAACTTTCTTAATAAAAAAAGGTTATTAAAAGTTTTTCCCCAAAAGTATAGAGTGGCTCACCTATGAAGCGGAAAATTACGCTATGGATTAAATATGCAGACATAAAGGGGAGGAACTCTATCGCAATAAATATAAATAACAATGGAAATATTTTTTGATGGGTACTACATATTTAATTAAAGCACTTATTGCTTTAGTTAACCCTCTTTAAATGAGAGTACGCCAACGTTTTAACCCTTTTGAAGTATAAAGTGTTTTCCTTAATTGACAAGATGTTTTAATTAAGTTCAAGTTTTTAGGCACACAAATAAGTAAAATATGAGCCTTTTCCAGTCACGCTACTTCTGGCGTTTCGGATTTTTTTTCTTTTTAATTACGCTTTAGTTGGCCACTACTTCATAGGAAAATTAGGCCGGATTATAACTAAACTATAAAGTATAAAAAGAAATTTACGAGGTAGCAATCGAACCCACAACCTCCGCCAAGTCGGGTTGGTAGGTCTAACGCCTTACCAACCGAGCCATGTTTAAGAATATTTGAAATACTAAAGGTATTTTGAGGTTTGCCAGATCTGACGGTGACGTCACTTGTTGCTCAGCAAATGTTTTCGTACTGTTTTGCAAAAATGTCCCCAAAAACTAATGGTCATAGAAAAAGGTATAGTATAAAGTTATTCAGACACTCCTTTAATGAAGACTCGACCCGTACGCATGGCACTAAAATGTTGGTAAAACTTGTTGCACAATTATGCATTGAAACTTAGTAATTTTTATACAATGCCGGAATTCAAATGTTGCCGGTAACAAGTATATGCTTTTTCAGACATTTTTACTTTATGTATCATCCCTTCGTAAACAAGAAGCACTTATTATATGACTGATAAATATTTCAAGGATCTGTCCGTTAGCATGAGAATAGTCATGGACCCGACAGGTGATATAAAAGTTGTATTTAAGCGCAACCCCCAGAGAATCGGACTGTTACATTTCACGTGCTAGATAGACAGTAGACATGCCAGCATCCGGGACTACCGTAGTTAGTGGAGAAGTTAAGTGATTACACATGGGAACTCGCTTGAGGTTTCTTTTGCGTTTTTTACGTATGAAACAGCTTATGAATACATGGCAGAAAAATACTCTCGAGAATATGATATGCATTTAAAGGAATGAATGAATTAAATGTAATTTAATGTTTACCGATGACACGCTTTTAACTGTTCTCGTGAATATTGAAAATACGAAATATATAAGCACGTTCACAAATTATTACGTATGCGTTATATAAAACTGGATTTAGATTGAGGGCTTTGGGTATTGTCAGAATCGAATGTCTGAAGTCGAACTGATTGCAGACTTCATTTCTACACCAACATACAGAACCATTTTGCAGGCGGTGGTCACAAATGTGAATTTCGTTTAAACTTATGACAACATTTAAATATGTGTGTGTTAGTGAGCAGAAAAGACAGCACAAACTAAAAACAATGACAGTTGATTCCACGCATTCAACTGCCAGCTACAGGAAAAAGTAGTTAAATGTATAAAATCAAGTGTTAGGAATCCTTTTCTTATAATACTGTTTCGTTCAGAATCATGCTTACTACTTGAGGAACAAAAATTAAATGAGGATCAAAATTTGATACCCCATTAAGTGAAACCTGCAAATAAACAATTTAAAGACAAAACATACACAAATTAGTTGCTAAGAAACAGCAGGAAATTATTAACTGTTTTGTAAATTAATTATTTTCAATCAGTTATTCGAGATTTGTAAATGTGGGTGAAAATAACCGTTTAGTTGCGACAAAAGATAAAATCCAAGAAGTACTAAGGACGATGAATTTGACGAATATTAGGCAGAGTTTCAGTGTTCACTTTTTATTTTAACTTAGACAGTATTTATAACAGCATTAAGCTCTCGCACTATGAGAAAGATGTGATTTAGATTTAAATTTATTGTTAAATTTCCAGTGACCGTATGTGAGTTGATTTAAGTCCGTTGCAGAATTATTCGTCAAGGTTTTCTTTGTAATAAGTTCTTCCTTAACCCTAAAACTGATTGTATGTATTCATTCATCTTGTAAGAACTGTTGCGCTTTGCTGCTTTACAAAATGATTAGCATGAGAAAATGAACTTAGGCATTTTTATCCGAGGTTTAACTAGTTTATTCATATCAATGTCCAAGTCCATAAAAAAAAGTAAAAGTACACAATTAAAATGAACTTAATTTAAAGTCTTTTATTCTGGTAATAATGAAAGACAGAATTTAAAAAAAAGAAGCAAACTTCTAACAAAATATTGCTTAAGTCACAGTTTTGTATTGGTAAATAATTACATTTCGTTGTCGACAAAAAAAACTATCGAAAATTTGTCGAACTATTCATGGCTCACCTTAAAATTTTAGTTGTGATAGCAATAATCATGGGTACGCATTTTAAAAACTGGAAAAACAAATTTAATCAATTTACAGATAAAATATTTTTATAATTTTTAGGAATTTCGGAGGGTAATACATGGTAATACAACTGACGATAATGCCAATATCTTTAAAATACTAACTAGCTTTTATTATAAAAATAAAAAATCAGGAACTATTTGAATTCAATAACTACATAAACGAGTCACGAGGGCAAAATAATAATTTGCACAATATTTTTTCACGTAGTCACTTTTTTCTTTTCAGTACCGTCATCGTTCCCTCTAAAATGTCTCTGGATATCCTCAAGAGTTTTTCCTTTTGTTTCCGGTACGAAGAAATAAATTAAAACAGCACCAAGCACGCAGCTCCCGGTGAAGGCGTAAAACGGTACATAAATTCCAAACGCGTCCGTCATAATTTGGAAAAATTTTGACACTACCGTCGCTATTATCGAAAAATAAATATCGGCCAAACAGAGAGCGAAAGCTTTAACATTCGCGGAAAATATCTCACCCAGTATCACCACCGGAATAGTCTGGAGACCTAGAGAAAATGTCACTACAAAGCCGATCAAGGCCACGATCGGAATGAATGTCAAACCGCTAACATCGATTTGGGTTTTTAAATAGAAATACGTTCCCTGGACTATCAAAGCGGCCGCGCTGCCTAGAATGGAAACCAACAGCAGCGGACGTCGTCCGGTTTTATCCACTATGCTAGAGCAGAAACAGGAGAGGCTCAGTTGCACGGAAAAGTATATTATCGATGCTAAATCTGAGGAAAGATTGCTCCCCGCTTCTATAAATATTTGTTGCGTATAAAATGTCATTGCTGCCGTCCCGCTCAGCTGTTGCGCTCCTCTTAGTATCAGCATTATATATACCGCCTTTCTATTCACCTTGTTAGTGAACAGGTCTAAGAATTTTCCACTGTTTTCAGTCTGTTGTTTAACAGCCAAACTGATTCTGGTAAACTCTTCCTCGACGTCGTTAGTCCCACGCAGCCTTTGGAGATTTTTCTTGGCTAACTGAAGATTATTTCTCATTACGAAGTAATACGGTGATTCCGGCATCAGCAGAAAAATTAATATAGCGAGCAACGGGATGGCGCTTGAGACCAAAGCGGCATTTCTTATACTTAAATAGGATCCCACGATGTTTATGAGCAGGAACCCCAACGCGTGGGCAACACTGATCCCGGAACCAAGCAATCCTCTTATTTTCGGGCTTGATATCTCCCCGATATACATCGGAGCTGCGGTGCAAATGAAGCCGTCAGCGGCTCCTGCCATAAATCTAGCTATATGGATAACTGCGACGGATTGAGCGTAGGCCACCATGATCCACGCTGCGAAATATGGGATCGAGCCTAATATAAAAGTTTTCTTTCTTCCCAGGAAGTCCACTACTACCGCCACGATTGGCCCTCCAAGGAATGATCCTAATAATGGCATTACCGCCATCCATGATCCTTGTTCGTTTGAAACAAAAATCGTCGAAGTGTTGGATTGCAGTTTTGGAAGAGACGGCGAGGTCCAGCTGTAATGCATGCCGCTGGCTATCATGCTTAAGTAACCTAGAATAAATAAAGAACTTAACGAATTGTAAATAACTCAATTTGATCGAAAGTTTAGACTACGGTCATGGATGAAAAAAATGGATCCAAGCACTAATAACTAGGGGAAAATATTCCACTCAATCGTTTTTATTTTCCAACTGTTTGTATGTTGCTTCCGTGTAAAAACATAGAAGAACTTCAAATCGAAAGCTTGTTAAATTTAGAACATCCCTACTTCACAAGCTCATCTTAAGGCAGAGCATAGTTCACAATGGGACTTTATGTAACTCAAGATTGCTAAAGTCCTATAGTTGTTTAATTTAATTCTATTAGTAAGACAATAATGTTATTTATTTATTTCCCATCTATTTTGATAATTAAAAAAAATCTCTTCAAGATCGAAATGCCACTGCAAGCTTCATTTATGAATAATAGATTCACTAATTGTAATTGATGCAAAAACAACATTACATCCTTGTCCCAAAATTAAATATTGGATATCTTTCTTAATGCGTCACGCCGCAATTCTGTAATTAAAGTATTCAAGGAAAATTAACTTACATGCTATGGCTGCCAAATATTGAATAGTGAGGTTTCCTTTTATTGCAACCGCAACCATTTTCACTCATTTGGTTCCCGCCAAGACTAAAAGAAGTTCGCTTATTAAATGTTAACAAATTTCGCAAACAATATATACATATGTATGAATGAAAGAATGATTAGATATCACTGCCGTAATCCTTCAAGTGCCAGCGGCGTGCTTCAAACAGTCAGTGTGTATGTGTTTGCCGCATTTTTTATGTGTTCTTGAGGGAAACTCCATTATCATTCAATATCAAAGAATGCCGTATTTAAGATTCGGACTCTCATGAAGTTCCTGCAAAAGAAAGCTTTGAATTCACATTTTAAAGTACTCGAGACTACTCCTAAGCATGGAATTTGAGGTCCGAAGAGCTGCGCTAGGATTGAAGGAACTGGGAAACTAGGGATAGAAACCGGGGATAGAGCGAAACCGGCAAGCCTCAGGCGAGAATCAAGGTAAATTTTCTCTGAAGACGGACAGGATTGATACAATGTGCTTGCGGGGACCATACGGGGATCCCTACAAAGACTCTCTAGAAAGGCCTGTCGGGTTAGCACTTCGTGCATCTTAATCTCAATTATTAAATAGCGCAGGTTCTTTCTGCATCGGGCGCGAGGAATTGTGGAATTAATTTTTACTGCAACACTTTTTACGAAACTTTTACAGACCGATACCTTCAATATCACCATCCCGCCCATAAATAATCGGTTATCAACTCTCTTGTTTACAGAGGCGTAAAACTATCTCAGCCCGAGTCACTGAACCCAGAACTAAAACACCTTGCCTCTGCTCTCCTGTCTAATAATTTCCAAATTAAAGATATATATAGGCGTTCCATCAAAAAATATACTTCACCACAACTTTCCAATGGCAATGAAGCCGAAAGCAATCCTACACTGTGGTCGTTCCTTACATTCAAAATATTGCTGACCACATATCAAAAGTTCTAAAGAAATATAACGTCAAAACCAGATTTAAACTTGTCCAAAAATCTCTCAACATCTTCGATTTGTCAAAATTCCATTTGAGATGCCAGGAGTTTACAGCATTCCATACATATGCGGCAAAGAATACATGGGAGAGACCGGACGAAAAATATCAACTAGGCTCAAGGAACACGAAAGAGCCTTACGACTAAGACAAATAAATGCATCAGCAGTTGCCGAATACAATCACGAAACCGGACATAAAATTTTATTCGATAAAACTAAAATTCTTGCATGTAATCAATTTTTCTACCAACGAAAAATTCGAGAGTCTGTAGAAATCTATAAACAACCTAACAATATTAAGCGGGACTGAGGTCTTTATCTGTCACCAATATGGGAATCAGTCATCCGAGACGCCATTTACGCCCCTCATTTAGCTCCGCCACCGTCAAACAATATATAAGCAGGTACAGAGTAAAATGCGACTCAGTTTCAGTCAAGCTCTGGAGAAGCCAACAGGATGATTGGCGAAGTTCGACTCGCAAAAACCGACGCATGAGAAATCCAGAAGTTTTGTAAAAACTATAATGGTGGAATGGTTTATACCTCAGAACCAACGACGACTGATAGGAATCCTGAATTTTAATTTTATGCAGATTCTGCTAAACAAATCTTTGTAATTTTATTAATTAACCAAGACAACATATTTCTCAAAAATCATTTCAGCTTTATTAGATTTCTTATCAAATAGCAATGACAGCATAATTGTCACATTTGTATTGGGTCAGTTCTTTTATCGCAGTTTTGGGAACCTAGACTAAATGTTCACTTTTTCGGGTAGTTTTTTGTGATGAAATTAATTAAAATTATATAGCACATTATCTTACAGAAAATTTATTTTCTAAAAATACAAGAAGACATTTTTTTACCTTTTAGCTACAGCAAAGAAAAGAATTTCAAATGCCAACTTTATAGAGTTGACAAAAGTCTGTTTCAGCGTTATTTGTAAAAATGAGTTCTCCCTAGACATCGTAAATAATAAAATATACTTGCAATAATATCCCAAACCATAAGCAATGTCTTAGTTTTATTTGAAGACTTCAGGTCGTTTCCACTCATCAGTAGGAAAACAAAACTAAATCCATATAAATATATGTGGGGGGGCCTCGTCGCATAATTACTGATTCAATATTTATTTCAGTTAAATATACAACATTTGACATCTCCTGCTACGTCACCGCCATTGTTCGAATTTTTGGAATCAGATTTTCCTGTTATTCTAAATCCTAATGTGTTACGTAAAGAAACCAAACCATCCAACTGCACCCGTATACTCATCCATTCTATATTGTTGTTTGAAAAGTGTTTATTGTGTGAAAAATCTAAGACTATAAATTGGATTGAAATATCTACGGCAAAGCCTTAATATTTTTGTCGGACATGTAAGAAATTTAACGACCAAGTGCCTCTGCACTTAAACACACAACAAACGCCTCGAATTAAAAACAAAGCTTAATTAAACCGATTTAAGTATTAGGAAAGTAAAGGTATATTTATAAATTCCCAACATCAAAATAATTATGATAGCGTCTCATAGTTTTGGATTTAGCGATTGGCGGTCATAAGATTAATTTCAAAGCAAACATCGAATCTTATAAAGATTTCCTTAATAAATATTTTTTGATTTTTCTTGCCAAAATATGATCTGTTGAGTAGACAGGCAGGGTGATCTACAATAGCGTGTTCCTTTCAAAGTTCCATAAGACTGAGAATTGCGAAGTAATAAAACTTTCAGATTTGAGAACTAGATATGCAACATATTTTAGAATTAATTCAGAAAATGCAGTTCAGCGGAAATTGTCTCGTTATTTTGTTTATATTATATTTTATTAAAATTTTAATTTGTAAAGGTTTCTTTTCTTTCAGTTCAGCCATTTGACATTTATTTAAAGTTCTTCCCAAAAAGTTGCAGATAAGTACAGAATGACGAGTTTACATATTTTTAAGCTTACCAATAAAATTTTGATTGAAAATATAAAAAACCGCAAAAATTAAAAAATTTCAAATAGAATTCCCAAATTTTTTGGATATGTCTTTTTCCTCATAAAAAAATATGTAAAAATACCTAATAATTTCACTATTGTCTAGTCCTAATGATTTTTTAAATATTCTTGAAAATAGCAGTCACTAGTAATAACGACTCCCATCCATCCAAATAGGTCGTGAAGAGAAGTTTATCTCCCTTCTTGTTTCTTCTTCCTTCTTGGGTCATATCCCTGGATAAATTTTATTTAGAAAAGTTTATATGTAGTTATATGTGTGGTTTTGAAAATTCTGATAAAACAATGAGTTTAATAATACAAGACAATATAACCATAACATCATAATGTTTATAACGAAATAGTCTACCTATAGGAACAAGCAACAGTAACTTTAAGTTTAATATCTTCCTTAATTCATAAAACGGACTGAATTGGAAAAAGGATTGTAGTAACTTTTTGTAAAATTTTGTAAAATAAAACATTTCAGTTTAGTTATTGGAAATATGCTAAACTATACTCGTGACTAAAGTGACGTTTATGAAACCTGTAGCCCCCCATAATATACTATTATTAAGTTACGAATATCTTTAAAACATCTAAGAAAGTGTTGGATGAAATTTAGTTTGTATTTCTGAATCTTATAAAGTACATAGATCGAAATTTTTTACTGGATGATGGGTGGGATTATTTTGAACCTATAACGTACTGTTTTTTCTCGCAATATTTGTACTAAAATAAGAATTATTATTTGTAAAGGTGCTAATATTCTTTACATTTTCTAGAAGATATTTTTTAGAAATTGAAGTATGGCACTTTACAAACAAACAAACAAAACTAGTTCAGGGAATTTAAAATTATTTAAAAATGTTTGCTGTTTTGAATGAACAAATAATATAAAAAAATTGTCAATGCGGACAAAATGTAAAATAATTGTAAACTTAATTTGCTTCATTTCGAACATGACATCTATCACCTTTATGTATTCGAATATGTATTTGAATTTGAATCAAAACAAACCTAAAAAAGGCGGGTCCATATTTACAAAATCGAAAACGAAACGTCGTAGGTACAATCACTCAGATACCGTTTTGTATAGCGTAAAAAATAATAAAACTCCTATTAATTCTTTTAACTAACAATTTTTTTCTAATCTAAAGTCCAGTAATAATATCGAGAACGGCTGTTATCTCTAAAAAATGATACTTTGCATAAGGGCTATATGGTGACATAGATTCAAATCATCCCCGCTAATCGACAAGTGAAAACTTTCTCACGATGAACCAAGCATAGATAGAAAATTAATCACTGAATTTAATTCAAGAGGTGGTTAAAATTAATGAAATTATTATTGTAAGCGTAATTTTGTCTATCGTTACCGCCTAATTACATAAATTTATAATTAAGAGCCAAACATAAACCTCTTCTTCAGTGAAAAAAAAAACAGTTTTACATCAAATGAACACATATAGCTTTTTTTATTTTTAAGCAAACAAACCGAAAACAAATGTTATTATAATGTTTTCTTTGAGATCCACCCTGGACGTACGTATTGTAATACAGTGTATTTACGCCGGCTCTCAGCTTATTTACACCGCCGAATAAATAAAATTAATGTGTCTCCCGCTTCCTCGAGAGGACTTTCTTTTGGCGACAAACGTCACAACGAAAGCAATCCCTTATTAAGCTCATCAGTAAATAATGATTTTCGTTTACCCGACGCAAACGTGAAATTTATTGAAAGGGATCCCTTTTACGTACTATTGAGACCGCTATGCGAACTAAAGATGTATTACAAACAGGATTACAAAACGAAACGGTATTGGAATCGGAGACGTGTAAGTTCGACGGGAATGCGGCAGGTGGCTTTAAGCTTCTTCTCCGGACATTATTCTCGGGACGGATGTTGCTAGAAAACTGAGAATTTTATATCTTATATTATATATAAATACGACTTCCGCCAATCCCAAATGTAATGCAGGTGAATTTTCGTTTTCCTTAACAAAACCGACGCAACTGAAAGTAAACCGGATATTTCACAGTATTATCTGAAGAACAGATCAACAGATTTACTTCAATTTACATATGCTGACGTAAGCGTTACAAAATATTTTGTGCTGAACATCGTTTTTTTGTTTCAGTTTAGTCAAGAAATAATAAAACAAGTCATGGAAAATAAATAAGGAGTTCTGAAGTAAATCAAAATTTCAGAGTCAAGACAGATTTTATAAAAATAACTCAGCATTTCAATGTCAATGTCAATGTCAAGTCAACCTTAATGTAGTGGGGGGTCATTTTTTTTTAATAACGCAGCCCTAACAAGAATATGAAAAACTTATGCCTACATCAAATTTTCAATTCTCTCTTACCAGATCTTTGTTTTAAGTGAATGCGTCTGAAACATGATGCAATTCGAGGAGGGCCTCCTCTGTTGCAAATAGGAAATTGGCAATTCGTAGAAAATTTTCAAGCAGCAAGACACGAACCGCGACAAACACTAAAAAACTGCCCGTACACTCACGAAAAATGTTTTAAAAATTTTAACTAAAACGCATAACGTATGCGTATACACATTGTTAGGTGCTATCGACAATAATTTTGAAGTAACTCATAATTATTTTTTTAAATACGTATGCAATTTAATAGTATATACATATATACCAAAGATAATTAAGCTTTCAATTTATTATTCCGTTATATTTTAAGCATAGAATTTAGGTGCTTAGGTGCTGTCTATAATTTCATTTTTTAAGGAGATAATAAAATTTTGTGTCTGTACTTATTTTTGGAAAAGGCAAAATAGTTAATAAAAAAAAAACATAAAATCAATAATTGGCCCTAGCCAACTTACCACCGCAGACTACTCTAGAAACATGGCAGTTTGAGTTTGATACTGGCTTTGGATTTAGTCACACAATTCCACGAAGACTACAATGAAAATTCCACTAATTAACTCGTTACCTAATTTTAGCCACTTTAATTATGTATGATACAATCAGTGCAAAAATCATGTATAAAATTTATATTACTTCGTAATAAAAAATTTAAATTAAATGTGCTACATTTCACACCACAGTCAAAAAAAAACGGAAGAGATGATTTTTATGCAGATATGATTTGACTAGAAAATATACTCACCTAAAAACATCTCAAAAATAATCGATGCAAATCGATGGCGAATGCCACTGGTAAAAATAAAAGATAGTATTATGCACCTAAAAATTCTTCGTATTGCAAATTTCACAAATGTAGAAATATGTTTTTCTATTCCCTTCCGTAAAATACCTAATTATACACGTGAGCTTCTTGCCCCTTCGGACATTTCCGGGATATTACCGCACGGGTTTGGGAGCAATCGGATGTTTTCGGAGATATTGCGGCACGGCTTGAATTTTGACGTTTGTCAAATTCTGACTGAATATATTCGTGATGTTTTATAAAAATGGACTCAGAAACTAACGGTTGTAGAAAAAGTATAGTATGCAACAAGTTAAGATTTTCAAACGACGGGATTCGTTTTTCAAAACACTTTTTATTGTTTTACAAACAGGGCTACGAACTTTAAATAAAGTTTTTTTTACCAATTCCTGTTTTAATGATAGTTGGATAATGACATTTTTTCATAATAAAATTTATCTGCAATTTAAGGTCCAAGAATCGAGTGAAAACAGCCTGTATCAATTAAAAGTTTAATTGCACGTTCTTTGGATATACGGTAAACTGTTGTTAATTTCGGTATACATTTCTCATGTCATCTCGTTGAGTCGCATTGGTTCGTTATTGTAAAATCTTAAGAGATTTGATTTTCGATTTCAGGGTGTTCGTCAAAATTTTGAGTGTTATTCAAATATTCAATTTGACTTGCAAATTCAATATTTTCAGTATATTCCTCTTGGTAAATATTTTCATTTTCAAATACCGCAGGTGTTTTATCTGTTTGTACCTCGTTATTTTCTTCGATTTGGTATAATTCTTGAAGAATGAAATTTCTAGGACCAGCTTAATTTGATTATTTTGACGTGGTATTATATAGTTTGTTCTCCTTGACATAGGTTCGGGTTTAATGTTAGGTACCTATTGGTTTAAATACGTTTTTAGGTGGGCCAAAAACTTGCAGGAACATTTCCTGAAACTTCGCGTGATTGAGGCATATTAATTTTACCTCTGGGAAAATTATTAGTTTTAGTTTAAAATTTTGGTCATGGCTAATTCTCTACAGCTTGAAGTTTTAAGTCTTATAATACTTTGTAACTGTCCTAGTAATCCTCTAATAAACGTCTTTAAACAAATTTGATCATACTTACGTAAATGAATTACTTTACTTGCATTGTCCATGGTATCGACAGGAAATGCATTGATTTTTTGAGCAAGGATACTTCTTAAAATTTATAATCTTTTCCCAAAATGTAAAGGATGTTCATTTTTAAAGGGAGTGGCCATAAATAAATCTTATTCTAAACATTCCAAGTTTCGTCTATAGCCAAAACAATTTAACAAAGCTGCTTTAATATTATTCCACGTTGCTAACTCTATTCTACATCCTACTAGACTTTGTGCGCGATCAACAAATTTCATTCTTATAGTCCTTAATAAATATTGTTTTAAAATTTCTTCATTTCCGTGGCCATAAATTGCATAAACGAAATCTCCAGCTGATAGAAAATCATTTAAAGTGTTGGGATCACCATTATAAGACAGAATAGTGTCTATAAACATTTTTAACGAAGTGTAATTTACACCTGCATTTGAAGATTGATTAGAATCCATTTTTGAATTGATTTAACTATTTTCTACCTTGTTTTCCACTAAGTTTAACAAAGTAAAGAACGCACCTAAATTGTCGACGTCTTTATCTTCATTTTAATTTTAATTGATTTTGTAATTTCTTAAAATTAAACGTGAAACTAAGAATCCTAATATTATTATCAATATCAAGTTGTTTTCTTAAAAAGAGATATTCTCTGTATTAGGTAGTACGTATAACGCCCTCCACCCACAATTTAAAACTGTAGAAACTATAGCGCTCGGAAAACAAGTTAACAACTCCCGTCGAAGGAAAATAAATAAATAACAAGCAAGTTCGCATTATTTTTCATGATCTGAATAAAATTTTAATTAATTAATTGCTTTTTTGGTTAGTGGCTTATGTATCTAATTACGAAAAAATATTATACAATACTTTGCTGAATAAGTAATATTAAATTTCAGATTTGTGCAGGGTGAGACCATCTTATAGAAAATATGGGGTTAGTTTGGAATTTGTTACGAAGAAATGCACTGACCAGAATAGCTACTACACATCTTTATTCCTTCTTGTTTCAAAACATAATAAATCCCAGGTTCAAAAGGCATGCGAGATCGAAGCAGATCTATTACTGGGCGTGCTGAAACAAACGCCTCCCGGATGTCATGTAACAAAGTCCTGCAAAATATTAAACAAATGACGCTAAGGCAAAATGTTCCAAAAAGATCACCCTACTGGAAAGCTACTTGCTTCTACGACGGCCACAGAATACTCTGGCATCATTTGTTCGCTTTCTATAGATTGTTTTTCACGAATTTTACGAATTGCGGTACCAGCGAGTCTATGGGAATCGGCTGGGAGCATCCACTGACAAACTGGTGATATAACATCAGGATCCAGGCTAGAAATGTTTGTTTTCCCTGTTAAAAAACTCACCGAAATGCCGACAAATAAAACCGTAGAAACGCCTATTGGTGTTATCCAGAGGTACGACAGTCGGAAAAGTGAAAAGATATTCGACTCGTCTGGGTATTCCTGCATAAAATGAGAAAGGGTCAATACGATTATGATAATTAATGCGTTCCTAAAGTTATTAGGCAATCATTTTTATTTCCGAATGAAGTGTTCGTTTCACCTGTTTTAATTTACCTAACAAAAATTTTAATTTTCATTGGAGCATTGAAAAAAACTAAATTTACCTAAATTTTTTAAATTATTTATTACTTTGACAGCATTTCAGTTGTTATTTCGTAACAAGTAAATAAATAAATAAAGTTCCACAGATAGAGAAAAAGCAGGAAAATATCGTTAAAAAAGTTGTTCACAATCAAAGTGTATTTTTGAATCTTAACTATCTATGATAAAAAGATAAATAAAAGAATATTGTCTTGGGTTTTCTAAATATTCTAACTGCGTTTCAAGTTTCAGTTCACTGAAATTTACGATTGTGTGGCATTTGCTAGGTCAGTTCGGGTGATCTTGCAAGCCAATACACAAATATTACTGGTTCTTGTGTTTGTAATTTCTATACTGTTGAAGGAATAACAACATTTTTTCATAAAATGAAAATGTGTTTATAGGCGAATAATCTTACAGCATTCATCATTTTGCAGCATTCTAAACTACTAATTTTAATACTCACTAATTATCATTAGCCTTCCTGCTTGCAAAAAAAAGGTTATTATTATTTCATAAAAATTTCAAAATTTTAAAATATGTTGCGCATTCGCCATTTTGTCGAGAACACTCGTCAACGATATTAAAACATTAAACACGGGTTGGGAGCGATCGGAGATTTTTAGATTTAGGGATTTTGACGTTTGTCAGGTCTGATGTATCTGTGCCTTTTTTGCAAAAATGTACCCAAAAACTAATTATGTAGGGAAAGTATAGTAAGTAACAAGTTTATACTCTTCTTCAGACAGTTGCTCCGATCGTGCCTAAGCAAAGTCATTACTGACGTGTGTGTCATTAGATGAAATTTGATGTACCCTTGAAAATTAGTTATAAAAAAATTGGAATCTTCATTTTAAAAAATAGTCGATCACGTCATATACCAAAGGACAAGTTGTATAAAATTTTCTTACATCAATATCTGCGCAATTTGAAATACTAATCGACGTATTCGAGCATCTGTGTGGAAAGACATTTTTTTGATTTACTGAATTTATTCCAACCGCATTATTTGAACCAGGCATTTGAGCTTTAGGGTAAATCTTGTTGTTTAAGATTCTTTTACATCTTAACCTTAACTCACTCAAGTGAGGAGTCGTATTCATTGTTCAAAGATTTTTTTATGATATTTTTGTAGCTAAGGGATTATTAGAAATCTAGGAATAAATGGGTAACTTACTATAATTGTTGCGTTGGTTCCAATGCCATATTTGTCGTAACAACCATCGACAGACACCGGCAACTTGTGGGGCACTACCAGCTTTGCCGCTGCGACCGATTGTGTTCCGAACGATACCAAACCGGCCATTAAAGCTCCAGCTATGGCCCCGCAAACTGCGCCGTATGAATTCGCCCATGGTACCAACATTCCCAGCGTAAAAACACCGAAAGTGGTACCTGCTGCTATCGCAGACAACGACGTAGCCATCTAAATATTAATTTATTGACAAATATTATCGAATAATATAACATTGTACTTGAAAAAAAGTGAAAAAATAAGTATTCATCATTCGCCGCCATTTAATTACCTATTATATATAGGGTGGCCCATCGATAACGCGTAAGGCATGGCATAACATACCCGTAAAAAAACAGGTAGTTAAAGAACTAAATAAAGATGACGACTAAACGAATGATTAATAACGGCACTGTGTTTTTAGTGTCTTTTAAAATGGTTTAGTAAATCACCATAATTGTCATTACCGAACTGATACCATTTCAGTTTTTTCTTTTTTAGTTTTTGTACCTAGAATAAGTCAAGTTTTCGACATAATACATTTGAGCATTACTTTCTGTGTAAATTAACGATAACTCATTATAATCACAAAGTATATCTATGAGACACGACATTTTAAGTTAAACCTGAAAGTGACTACTGGCGAATTTACCCTGCAAAGAATGACACCTACTGCTAGCACTCCTCCCATATGCTCGACAACGTAGAGAAACCCGACAGCGACGATTCCAAGTCCCAACACGACGGTTTTCACTATTATCATGGAAGTTTTCTCGGTCAAGTCTTTTCGCAGGCATCCTTTAACGAAATCCTCCAAGACAACTTGAGCTGTCGAATTTAATACCACCGACAATGAGCTAAAATATTATACGAAGGTATAAAAAAAAGAGTTTGGTTTCATTAAATATTTAGTAACAAAGCCGTTTCAATTTACTATTTGAAAATATTTAATTCAATTATTTCGTCAATGCATAAATTGTAAAATTTCTACTACGCCATTCACAAAAAAATCTGAAAATATTTTTTTTTGTACACTGCTAGTAGCTTAAAATGAATACGTTAATTTTACCACTTACACTTTACCTTACTTCTACTAAATACTAAGAAAACGGGTTTAACTTGGTAGTAGTTACAGCAAACGTAACTTTTTCAAAATCAATTCCCTAGTTTTAGATCACTGATTCGATGAGAAAGCGCAAAATGCCAGCACCAACCTTAATCCGGCGCCAAAAACACCTGCAATGAAGAGACCGGGGACACCTCTCAAATGCCCAGCGGTTTCCATAACAAACAAAGGAAGAAGTTGATCGTCCGATTTGATTCTTCCAGCAGAATGTGGATCGCATGACGAGTAGACCGCGTATACTAAGATTCCGGAATAACAACAAATAGAAACGAACAAAGAGACTCCTACAGTAAAGAGAGCTACCGATCTGAAACAAAATAAATGACTTCTAGGCCTCCCAACAGAACATATTCCAGTGAAAAATTAAATTTTAGGATTTGAAAAATTATAAATTAAAAGTGAATTTAATCTAAGTATTATTTTCAAACGATTTCGGATTATGACTAACCATATGTAATTGTTCAAAATGTTAAACAATTTTCTTACATTTCTGTCGACATGTTGTTTGTCCTAGTGGTAGGCCAATTATTTAAAAATCACATAATTCTAATCAGATATCCAGAAAAATCAGTTTAAAGGAACGGCAGGGAATAGTAGTTTAGTTAAAAAATAGTCATAATTTAAAACGTTCGCTTACATTTTTGATTGTTTGACGTTGGGTAAGGACACATATCGTTGAACCATGGTTTGATTTACGGAATTAAAAGAAGTCCAAAACGTGAACCCTCCCACCAGCACACTGAAAAAAGTGTACCTTTCATACATACTAGGGGTGAAGCTAAAAGAACAAATATTAGAAAAGAAACGTTTGGCAACTAGAGACAGTATACTTGAAGAATTCAATTCGTTTTCCTTTATTATTAATATTGATAATAGCGCTAGCTCCACCAATGGAATAGCTTCCTAGAATAACGACAACCAAAACTGAAATGAACATCGCCATGACTTGCCACGTATCGGACCATACTACTGCTTTTAAGCCGCCCTAAAATAATTATAGGATTACGGGTTGATTCAAACACGACTGCGGATTTTTTTTTATTATTTGCATTATAATTTAATTTTAAGAATGTATTTGTTATTCAGAGGTAACGGGGGAAAGATTGGTACAAGAGTGTGGGCGAATGAAGTAGCACTTTTACCACCAACATTATTAATAATAGTATATATCGCAACAAGTTTAATAAACGACACTTATTTAGTGATCGATTTGTTTAACTAGGAACGGAACTTGTATTTAAAGAAGTTTATGACCGTGTTGTATACTATATTTCCTCTACACGGTGTTCACCGAAAACATGGTTAACTCGTTTAATGAAACCAGCGAATTAAAGTGACACTTTGCGTATTAATAATTGTGAAATAAGTTAGCAAAAGGTTGTTAATCTTTCCCACAATCTTAAAATTCAATTACAACCTAAATAATTGAAAAATTCGGCAGACGATTATCAACCAGCAGCTAATGATATACGTGTTATCAAAAATCAAGGACTATAAATCTGGCCAATTTAACTCGTCTAGTTAAATTGCCAATATTCGAACCTTATGCGAGAAGACACATTATCTTATCTTATCGCTGAAGAACCTTCGAATGTCAATTTGTTTATTCACACGTTCAACTTACCAAAAGTGTGTAAAATATGCATATAACGGTGACTATCGTACCAATTAAATGAATATCTGCTCCGGTCACTAAAAACTAGAACTCTATCAAACATCGATTTAAATATTAATTTCCCATACCTTGATTAAAAGCCAACGAAGGAACATAAATAATTATTGGTAAGAACATCACCTAAAATTAAAAAAATAATATTCCATCAATTTATTGACGAAATTAAAAAAACTTACCTCATCTAGAACAAAAAATACTGATGCTACAGTACGAACATATCTGTTGAATCGCAGTTCCAGGTACTAAAAATCAAATCATAAGCATTTGGAAATCGAGATTATAAACGTTACATAGTCCCTTATGAATCTCGGGAGTAAAGCGGCACTTTTCATATCGATATTATTACCAATGTGAACACTTTACAATACTTTGTTATTAGTGTCTACGTTATAAACATAGGGAGTGAAAAGTTACTTTTTATACCAATGTCATAAAATTGAAGAGGTCTGTGTTATTTGATCCAAATTAGGAATGGGAAAAGTTAAATATTATTAAATTGTTATCAATACAAATTAACAGTACTGCTTAAATCTTTACATACGAGGTGTGTTCAAAAAGAAAGACGCCCCTCCCCCCCGCCAGATATAATACACTTGTGCCAACGTTTTTTTCAATCCTCGAAGCACTTCTGGTAAGCACTTTCTGGAAGAGCCTTGAGTTCTTCCAGCGATTTTTTCATCTCCTCATTCGTTCCAAACCTCCTTCCTTTTATGGGTTTCTTTAGTTTTGGGAACATGAAAAAGTCGTAGGTGCATTATCGTGAAGCAAAATCCATGAACTGTTTTCCCACAATTCCGAACGTTTTCTTAGTATTGCTTTTCGCGAACGATACTCTTTATTGACCGTACGACCTTGTGGTAAGAACTCTCGATATACTACGCCATGATAATCAAAGAAAACAGTAAGTAAAACCTTCACATTTGAACGAACTTGACGTGCCTTTTTCGCTCCTGCGACGGTCCTTTTGTCCAAACTTGAGCAGTTTCAAATTTTGCTACTACATGTTTCATGCCCAAAACGTCAAAAAAAATTGTATGGCACAACCCGATAGAGATGCAGTACCACTTATAAACATTTTGTTTGCTCAAAGTAGATCCACCAAATGCCGTTGTCAATATTTTAAGTGTTTTGCAGCACTGTATCCCTTTTTTTATACAAAATTTTATGCAAATCCTTTGGTCCCTTTTTTTTTTGACCGCAGAAAAACACCGAGCACACAAAACACGTCCAACACTTCTGTCTCAAAAAAAAAAACCTGCAAACTGGCTGAGCCTGTGAACATATGTTACAAACATGTGTACCAACATAACAAAAAAAAATCGAATATCGAATGTACGTAGCCCGCACAATTACAAAAGTCAACTTACTTTTTAAACACACCTCGTATTTTTACTTAACTGTCAAAACTGATGAGACATTAATTCAATTCTAACTGAAGATAGCAATGAACTACTTTTTTGTCACGAAGCTCTGTATTTTTAGCAGCACTTTCGCAAAAACTTCAGGTGTACGCTTAGAGCTAAATATCTCCGCTAGAGGCAACAATAAGAAAATAATTGTACGGAAAGATGTTTTAAATTCCTTGTTAAATAAATTGCCATTCTTGGATAACATTTGCAAATATTCTTTAAAACTCTGTTTGTATACCTCGTAGGACGAGTTAACTTGGAGTTTGCAAAACACGGGCACATAAACAAAAGCCACCGCCAATCCGCTGAGCCATATCGACACCACAATCAACCAATACTGGGTGCCAAAATTGTAAATTTCGGCGGGGCTTCCCAGAATCGTCACCCCTGAAACGTAACTAAAAATACACATTCATTTAACCCTGGTAGATTTTTACAGATTTAGTGAGTTATTCTAAAATGCAGCATATAAAAACAGATCAAAAATGAAGTTTTGCCCTTTAATTTAACTATATCTCTTCTGAGTCCTTAAGGCAGGATAAGGCCAGGGTGCATCGCATCGTACTTTTAAGCATAGTTTTAGAGACGTAGGTTTGACTCGTCTCTTTCATAATGCAATTTCATTCTTTCGCTACGCCACTGCTCTTGGGCGAAGTTCAGTTGTCGAATATGCAAATCAATATGGCTCTTGTCCGGAAATATTGTTTATTTAATGATAATTTACGTTTTAATTTAAATTTACCAAGTAAAGAAGCTCTTTGTTTCACACATTCGGCATAAATATTTATAACCATTTATTACTGTTATTTTAATTTATAATATAGTCTGTCTCAAAGTATATCGCCTTAAATAAAATATTATGTGTATTTAAGTATAATAAAATCACATTAGTACTATTAGAAGTTACAATGACTCCAAATATACCGGGTGTTTCATGGTTTGATTAGTTCCATAAGCGGTGATGTTCTATGGATCTAAAATATTTTTAACACTGCGATATTGATGCTTCATCAGAAAAGCGCCAAAATTTTAAAGGGGACACCGTGTATATTATTGCATTTTCTCATCCGCTAATACTTGCTGATTATTTTTGAACAAAATATTCTTATAACCTATTTTTAGTGGTTTTCGAGATATTAATTATTATCTTTATTTTTCATACAATGATGTAGATTAGGGTACATTATTCTTTAATATGGTAAAAAAAAAATATAAAAAATAAAATTGGTAAAAAGTGCTTTTTAAAATGTAACACCCTGCATGTTATCACATATTCTAAAAGCAAATTAAATTCCCTTTTAGGAATAGTTTGGTTTCTCAAAATAAAAACAAATTTCTCGGAAAACTGGATTACTTTGGCATAATTCATCTTTTAAGTGGCCGTGAAATCCGTCTTGTGTTAAATAATTCATTTTCCGTTAAATACGTCATTGTTGATTGTAGTTAAAATTTTGTCGATAAAATCGGTTCAAATGGAAAGAAACCGGCATTCTAATGCTGTTTTAATGAATTTATTTTTCTACTCCCTTCTCTAAAATACCCAATTATGTTATTTTATCACGTCAGTTTCGTTTCTCACAGATCCGAGACACTTCGGACATTTCCGGGTTTGGGAGCCATCTAATCTAACCAAAACCTTTATTACTATTCATTTGAATTAACACATTTTGGTAAAGATGCACATCCCTTAATGAATAAATGAATAAATCTTGAACCGAAAATGAATTACTTAATATTTAACATAACCTAAAAGGTGAATTATGCCAAAGTGATCCAGTTCATAGAGAAACTTTCATTTCATAAACCAAACGACTTAAGTAGCATGATATATCATTCTCTTAGAATATGTGATAAAATACAGGGTGTTTTAAAAAATGCACTTTTCACTATTTTTGTATCTAGTAGTCACATCATTAGTTTTGACCAACTCTGTATAATGTAGAATTAATTTCGATATTAATAAATTCTGTTCGAAACCTTCCTAAGCTATGTCCAAAATTTTAACTATATACTGGCTCCAGTGCTATGTTTTGGTCGGAAAAATAAAGAAAATAGTTATTTTATCGAAAACCGCTAAAGATAGGTATAGCAATGTATTACCCAAAACAATGAAAGTATTAGCGGATCGGAAAATGCAATAATATACACAGTGTCTCCATTAAAATTAATGTTGATGCTACTTTTTCGAAGACGCGGCAACGTCGCAGCGTTAAAAATTTTAGATCAATAGAAGAGCATCGCCCCTAATGGAACTAATCAAATTTTCAGTACAATTCGTCCCGTTCGCCATAAAAGGTACCATCAACCGCGAAACACTCTATGCACAAATTATCAATAATTACCTCAATAATTACGTTTTTATCTTACAGTTTTTAATGAAATAAACTCATCCTTTGGACAACGTATTGTGTGTTTCGAACCAAGGTTCATCTAAGTAAATTATAAATGTTTCCTGGCTGCATATAAATCTATTTTAGGTTATTTAAATCAAACTTTACAAAAAAATCTATAGAGAGTGGTACGACTAATAATTATATTCAATCTTTTAGGTTCCTTTACAATTTAGCCAAAGTAGGAAAAATCTGATTTTTTTATGTTTAACTTTTTTTTCTTTTATTCAATAATTCACCCTTAACAATATCCTTTATTAAGGATATTTAATGAATAACTATGTATTAAAAATTCAGACACATTTTTCTCAATGTGTTTTGCATCTAATGACTAGCCATTTCGACGGGACATAACTAAAAATTAGTGACATACTCGTAAGAAGAAACGCGTGGTAAAACGCCTTATTTAATATTGCCACCGATATCAGCCGACACGTGGTCGACATATGCCTTGCCCTTGTCTTATGCGTTACCTATGAATAAGTTATTGATTTTTAGGTTTTCCTAGTAACAATCGGTATGAAGATCGTAATTAATTTTTGGGTATCTCAATTTCCATTACCTAGCTATCAGTGACAGTGAAACAGGTATCGCCTTGAGGTTCTTATTGCCGGTCAGATACTCCCTAAGAGTTTGGCCTTCTTCATTTTTGCAGTATTTACTCCCGCAGCCGTAGTAGAGACCGGTGAGCGCCGACAGGATGAGCATAGCCGCGAACACTGCGTAATCGACTACGCTGAAGTAGTAGACGTCCATCTTATCGTGAATAAATCTGAAATTGAAGCTAATTCTGATGTTATTTGAAATCTGTTTTATTTTTTTTAAAATGCATATTTTCGAAAAACACCCTATAACTCTAAAACGTTAACAGATATTCATGTGTGGTCTATACCATTATGGTTTTTATGAAAATTGAGCCCCATCAGAGATCGTTGTTAGATTTCTTCTTTAGAAAGGGGCCTTACAAATTTGTTTGTTATTTGTTTAGTTTAAGACATTGCACAAAGAACTGAATATTGAATGTCTGTAAAATTTTCATGGCAACATTCGGATTTGATAAATAGGTAATTTGTAAAAATTACGCATAAATTTTAGTAGGTAGATACGTTTATAGTAACACGAGCAATGAACCTTTTTCTAAAGGTTGCAGACATTTGGATGTTTACTTTACGACCTTTTCAAGGCTTTTGCTTCAAACGGAATTTACAAATACTGAGTGACACACTATGCAAATTGACAAAAAACAGAAAACAGTATTTGGGAACAGTAAATTTCTCGAGAGATCGTAAGATGTTGACTTTTTTTGTAAGCAGTAGAAGCTGAATGAAAAAGCGTGATGATGAGATTCATACTTACCGGGAGCTATCCTTGTAAATGTTCAGCAAGCATAAATACGACCATTTTATGTTTAACTCAACAGCGATACGTCGCTTAATATACATGCACCTCACGATAATTTATAAAGGTTACTGTCATAAAAAATTTGTTAACGCTAAAATAAAAATCGATGTATATATATATATATATATATATATATATATATATATATATATATATATATATATATATATATATATATATATATATATATATATATATATATATATATATATATATATATATATATATATATATATATATATATATATATATATATATATATATATATATATATATATATATATATATATATATATATATATATATATATATATATATATATATATATATATATATATATATATATATATATATATATATATATATATATATATGTATATATATATATATACATCGTGTGTATATTTTCTTCAAATTTTCTTGGGTGTTCGATCTCTCGAAAACAAATAACGTAATTTCTTTAAATATCTATTAATGTTTCTTTTTAATATTCTTATTTTGTATGTGACATAACAATTGATGACATTTGACGTTGCATTAATATATTACATATTTAAAATAAACATAATTTGTCAGCAAACATTTTATGTGGATTGGAATGGCATGCATCATCCCCTAGGCCAAAAAAAATGAAGGAAATATACACAAGACGGTTCAAGAAACTACATCCATGAAAAATTCACATATATACAATCATGGGTGAAAATATGCAATTCTACCATCAAATTTTGACTGACTACGATGTAGACAACAAATTATAAAACTTTACTCAAGATTTTAATTATTAATCACAGATAGGGTAAAAAATATCAATAGGTTAAAAGAAGAAATCTCAAATATTTTAAATGCATTAAAAAATATCGTACTAAAAAAAAATATTGACAACTTTGTAAGGCAGCAAAAACAGAAATGCGAGAAAATAAATTGGATTCTTTACTTAAAAAAAAAACAAAAATAAAATACAAACAATTAAAACTGCAGAATGGATTTTCGGACACAGTGAATGTCAAAACTATTTCTCATTAACGTGTAATAAAATTTTGCAAAACAGATACACAACTAGCGTACACCTTTTGTTGTGCGTGGTTAACTGGGTGAAAAGTCATATAGTTGTCCCTACTGAATTGAATAATGTAATAGTAATGAAGCTGCCTATTTGTTTAAATTTACCTATTGTTATCCGTTGATAAACACCAATCCCAAACATAGCAAAGGAGTGCACGTGAGATACTTTTACAAATAGAAATAAATTAGATCAATTGATACTTATTTAATTGGTATAAGTTCTACTTTAATAAGGGTAGTGAAATTTAAACGCTGCGAGCATATCGAGCCCCTACGAGTTGTATTGTACCAAATATCAGTTTTAATGACCCAAGTTTAGGGAAAAGGATTAAAATAATTATAAATAATTTCGAGAAATTGATGTAATTTCTGAACAGTAAATAAACATATAAATAAAAGTATTACAAAAGTTACACTACTTTAGGCTACGAGCAAGGATATAGCCAGAACAAAATTTTCGTCATATACATGAAATTATTTTATAATACCTACTTACAACTCTTTTTAATCAATTAATTTATTGTTGAAGATAGTATTTTCTTTTTTCTTTTCTTAACGGCACCTTTTAAACATAATTAGAAAATTAGAATTACAGAATTATTTGTTTGTCTCTATCCGATCGACTTAGAAAAAAAGGGTAGGAGTGACGGATTTTAAAATAAAAAAAAATGGAATAATCTTTATAATGCGATGGGGCAAAAGTGATTTACAATTTTACAGAATCATACATTTGTAAACCTTTATACGTACAGTATATATTAATCGCAATATGCCATTTTAAGAATAGTTTACTTGAACTTGCACGATCTTATAACGCCAAATGAAAATCATAAATCGTTCAATCAACTCCTCTCATATTAAACTTGCAACTAATTATCCTTCTGTTTTGTTTGTAAAACATATGATACAAAAATTGGGGTACATAATAAATAACGCAGATGTTTCAGAAATTGATGATAATTGTGAATGATTGATTAATAATTAAAATCGAAGTAAGTACCTACTTGAAGTGAAATTCGATCTAAAATTGGCGACAGCACCAAATGTATGAAACTGTGTGCGTATACATTATAACACTAAACGATTTAACATTGAACCAAGAACTTTAAATACATCGCAACTGCTTTGAGATCTTAATTTATTATTGAACTGCGATATCTTGAAGCCAAAATTTTAAAACTATTTGTGGATTTTCATCTTACATTAGACCTAAGAGAATAAGAGGCCTTGAGGCACTAATAGAAAAGTGAAGCATACGTATACAGGGTATGAAAACGCAAACTAGAACTAGCAAAAATTTGAAAATTGCTCCAAATTTACACTAGCTCTAAGTATGGCGCCCTAGGTTGCTACAGCAGCATGTCAACGCTTTTATATTTTTTAATGCGCCCATTATTTAATTAACTTTGTGGCACGGTTTTTTCATTTTTCAGAAATTTATGTTGTTATATTTGCTACTAATTTTTTGAAAACTTTTGCCCAACACTAATGGTTAGTCCAGTAATGGATTATTAGGATGTTAATATTGCAACATAATAACCTTTACATCTCAGCCACATAATTTCTAAAAAAAAAAGAGCATCTGCAACCAGTTATACAATAAATTTTTAGAGCTAAGGATGGACCAATTCAATTTCAACGGTGGTTCATAAAAACAACTGTCATTTCTACACCTGATTTTACGGGAAGAGGGATTAGACGGTTTTATCTTATCCAAGTAAAAAACGTAAATGGATGGTCACCAAATAAATACAGTTGTACAGCGTGTACTTACCAGATAAGAGAACAATCAGCGAAATGTCGGATTCGGTGCCATCTCCACAAAATCCGGAACCTTCATCATCAACCGTGACCCTGGTGGAAACTGATGAACAGGTACATAAATCCTATGTATATATTTTAGAATAGAATTGACGTGTTGGAAGTTGCGCAGCCACTTGTGTTGTAATTCGGCAACAAAAATGCTGTGTCATAACTTAAAGAGTTTATTAGCCCTAAAATTCGTCAAACGTCATGTAAACGTGCGAAAATCGCACTTTGCCGCTCCTTTGAATGGAGTGCGAGTTATCGATCTCACGCGAATTGTCGCCGGTCCATATTGTTCTATGATACTAGGCGATTTAGGCGCGGAAGTTATCAAAATTGAGAGACCTGGGGCGGGCGACGAAGCCAGATTATGGGGGCCCCCTTTCATAGGCGATACCAAAGAATCCTGCTACTTTATTACATTTAACCGAAATAAGAAAAGTGTTTGTCTCAACTTGAAATCTCCGGAAGGTCAAAATATCATTTGCGAATTAGCAAAAACATCAGATGTGTTGATTGAGAACTATGTTCCTGGAAAACTTGATGAACTGAATTTGGGTTACAACCGTTTGAAATTTGTTGCACCTCAATTGATTTATTGTTCCATTACGGGCTTTGGTCCCGAAGGGCCTTACAGCAACAGACCTGGTTATGATGTGATTGCTTCTTCCATGGGGGGCCTGCTTCATATCACTGGTCCAAAAAATGGTGAACCTTGTAAAGTTGGTGTTGCTGTTACTGATTTGGCAACTGGTAAGTGAATCAATTGTTTAATAAGTAAAGCGAAGTACTAATTAATTATTAATCATAATATCTTTATAACCTTGATTCCTGAATTTTGATGTTGCATAGAGTCTTAAATTGTTAAGACCAATATTTTTTTTAAAAGTAAATGTTCGAGACTACTTTAAATTAATTTAATTTAATATTTATTTTCTGCCATATATTAACATATTAGCAACACTTGGTAATACTGAATTTGTTTAAAACTTAAAGGAAGTTTAGAGTAGAAATAATAGAGAAAGAATACACAAGTGAACAGAAATGAAAAATAGTAATAATCCTTTTTTTGTGAAATGGAATGCTAATTTACAGCTGCAACTTTCACGAAAAACTCCTGAACCTTTTTTAAACTTATTTTAAACAAGTTGCTAGGCTTTCCATTGCAAGTAATTTAATAATAATTTATATATGCTTTATTAGGACTGTATGCGCACGGAGCAATAATGGCTGCCCTTATTAAACGATTGAGAACAGGTAAAGGAGAAAAAATTGACTGTAACCTATTCTCAACGCAAATCGCTAGCCTCATAAACATTGGGTCAAATTATTTAAACGCTGGAAAAGAAGCCACAAGATGGGGTACAGCACATGAAAGTATAGTTCCCTATGAAGCATTTCCTACCAAAGACGGGCATCTAACAATTGGAACTGGGTCTGATAAACAATTTCAAGAACTCTGTCAGAGGCTAGGGAATGAATTTTTAGCGAAAAGTCCCAAGTTCTCTACCAACAAATTAAGAGTTGAAAATAGAAATGAGCTAATTGAAATCTTAAGAGGCATATTAATGACCAAAACAAATAAGGAATGGTTGAAGATGTTTGAAAATAGCTCTTTCCCCTGCGGTCCAGTGAATAATCTTGCCGGTGTTTTTGATGACCCCCACGTTAAGTATATCGGCATCGTACAAACCTTGGACCACCCCATTGCTGGAAAAGTTAAAGTTGTGGGTCCACCCGTCAAGTATAGTGGCGGTGGCAACGAAATTCGCACAGCCCCGCCGACTTTGGGCCAACATACCGACGAAGTGCTAAAAGATTTATTGGGTTATGACGATGGGCGAATTAAACAATTGAGAAGTCAAAAAATTGTTAGCTGATTCAAGGAAATGAAGATTTAGTAATTGTTTTTGTTTTCATTCCATTTTGGATTTCTTCAAAATTGTTATTTTACTATTTTTGTGATGTTGAATCAATAAAATCTATTTGAATTGCTTGTAGTTTTTTCTTTTGGTCATTGTCTGTGAGAAGCATGTGTTTTTTATGCAAATGTGACGCTCCTATTTGTGAAATGAAAAATTTGGTAAGGTTTTGCCTGCTTCTGAAGAAACAATAAGAATCTTCAAAAGAAAACTAGAACAAACTTCATATTTGAATTTTCATTTCTATGCTATCTAGTGACAGCTATATTACAAATTTAGTAATTTCTAGAAATTTTTTCCGAAACCTTAGTTGGTCATCATGAGATTGCTGAAACGTTAGCAAATTCAACTCAACAACAACCGACGCGGGAGGAATCCAGAAGTTTTGTAAATAGAGATTGCAGAACTCCGACATGATTTCAATTTTATTTCGACAATGTAGTCAATGAAAAATTCAGAGTGGAACTAATTTCTTTTGCAGGATCACACGGTTCCTAGGGTAACTGTGAAACTGAAAAAGCCAAAAACAGATAGAAAAGTTAACTGGACAACAGACACTGTAGATAATGAAAATTTAAACAAGAAGAAATCAAAATGTAAGTTATAGGTGTTCTTAAGGAAAGTTAATCGCATAGCTTATGGCCGTGATAAGAGATTTATTTATCAATGTAATGCTACAATCAGTTGATAGATTTCAATGAATCTAACAGAATTATTTAAAAATAAGATATCTATATCTGGAAAATCGAGAGTATTCATAAAGGGGGTAACTTTAAGTTTGATAAACGCCATTATAATTTGGCATGAGTGGAGCTAGTGATGAATAAATGAGTAACTGAAGTTTATCAATGTATTGCATGTGTACTTTTTCTACATTTAGTTTTTGGGCACACATAGCCATTCATGACTAAACTACCGAAAACATTCGACTGCTCTCACACGTGTAACTCAAGTACTGGAAATGTCCGAAATGACTCCCGACCCTGCCTAACGAAATTAATATCCTAAAGTGACACTTTCCTCACGTTTGATTCGTCTGTTATTAGAGTAGAAAAAAAAAATACAAATGTTATACTTACAAATACAAAAAGTCATTACTGCATTCATGGATTTTAACGATTTTTCTTAGACAAAGAAAGTCCATGACAACACAGAATTCTATTTTTTTTAATTTATGAGAACACTGTCTAACATGTGAATAGTAGATTTCATATCTTTAGCAACCGATTATAATTTTATGTTACATTGCAGGCTGTTGCGTTTACAACAAACCAAAAAAATTTGCTGAAAGTTCGGATTCAGATAGTTCCGAGGATGAATGCGATCACTGCAAGGGTCACGTAGAAAAAAGGAAAAAAGGAGTTGACAACAGTGTTGCTCACGGTGACGTTCTCGACTCAGCTGTTCCAGTCGCATCTGAACAGATTTAAATCAATGATTTGTATATATATCTTTAAGGTGTAATTTTATATTTTACTTATTTATTAATAAATGTCCTGAAACCTGTATATGAAAAGGAAACGGAAAGGATAAATTAAAAGTCTTTTATAGGAACAAAATCTTTTTAATAACAAATTTCTTAACACAAAATCAAACGCGGGTAAAACGTAAAATTAAAAAAGTAATCTGAGTATTAAAGCCGTGGACAATTTATGCAATGAGAAAGTCTTTTACTGCTTTGCTACAAACCAAAAGGTCATATGTATATTTGCCTTACATTTTATAAAATAAATACTATATACCTAGTCTTATAAAAAATTCCATAACCTTAAATCACCCATTGTATTGAAGTTTACAATTGAGAAGTTATCACCAAAAATTAATATTATGCTTATCAATAAACCAAAAATATGAGCTGAAAAACTTTACTATTGAAAAGAACTTCTCAATTCATCTGAAATTTTGGTTTGGCTGGTTGAATTTTTTTTTTAAAAAACTGCTGAAGATTAGGTTATACGGAAAAAATTTTGATTTTAAAAAAGTATAAATAATCGACACCACAAAAAACTAAAAACAAAAGGCTGTTACTAGCGGCTAAAGAAAGGCTATTTTTAAAAAGTAGCCGTATGAACACATTTCCTATATTAGCACCGGATTTTATTATCACTGGTTTGAAAACATTCTCTTTGGAAAAAAAAATTATTTGGCCCATTATTTTGTTTTCAAAATATGATATTTTGTGATAAGAACGATATTATACATAGCAATGCTAATTCAATGTAGTTGTTGAGGTTATGGAATTGCTATAACACAAACTCTAAAATATATTTACAGTGCACACTTTTCTTATTCACATTACCGATATTTGTTTGTCTTTTTCCTGTTTTTCCTGAGTTCAATGCCCATGGGAAAGTCTCTTTTGTCCAGACCAAGCTGTTTCATTTTTGACCTTGACCGCCAAACTTTAATCTTGTGATCGTCCGAAGTGGTAACTAACATTTCTGGATCTTTGGGATTAAAAGCCACTGAGTTGACGACATCCTGATGGGGAAATTTTGCCAGGCAGACCCCATAATGGCGGTCCCATAGGTATCCATGCTTATCTTCTGCCCCACTGCAAAAAGAAAACACTATACTTCAGAATTGATAAAGTTAATGTAAATTTTACAGGGTGTCGCAAATATTTTTGACACCATGAGTCAGATATCCCTATCTCCGCCATATTTCAGAAGCTAATATTATAGTCACATATGTTGAAAAATTCACAAAAGATTACGCCAGAAGGTGTAGAAGCTAGGACAAAATAAACCAATCACAGTAAAACGGAATGATTGTTAGTTTTTATATCAACTTTATTCCCATTTTTTTTTAAATAATGGCGAAGGAAGCTAGGCAACATTTTCTTTGTACTTTAGGTGAACACCTATGACTCGTACAGTGAATAATATACTGAACTCAGTGGAGTGGATACGCGAACGCTCAATACGTGTTATAAAGTGTCGCGTTACCCTACCTTCCAGAACTGCAAGATCCAATTTTTCGGCAAGGTAATGCTAGAGCACGTTGCGAATTTTTATAAGTAAAAACGCTTATAAAATAAAAACAATTCCAAAGAGTTTCAGAGTTATCCAGAAAGAAACGAAATGTTGGATAACGTTTTATTTGTTTGTGACTTTCCGACTATTAGAAATTGAATGACTAAGAAAAAAAGAAAAATTTATTGTACTTTTGGTAAACACCTATTACAAATTCTGTCAATTCTATACTATAAAAGGTTATAAACCGCCAACAAAATTAAAGAATAGTTGCGCATTTTTATACCTAAAAACGCTTATAAAGTAAAAAAAATCCAAATTGTTTCAGAGTTAACCAGAAAGATGCAAAATGGTGGATAACCTTTTACTTGTTTGTGACTTTTGAATTATTAGAAATTGAATAACTGTAATAATAAGAAATTGGACTATGAAAAAAGAAAAAGCAACATACCTGGCAACATATTCATTGCACACATCCAAAAATATAAAAAAGCACTCGTTATTAGGCGTATAAGCCTTATGCGCCCTTAACATGGTACCCACTTGTTTAAGAGTGACCAAATCAATGACATGTATGTCTATTTCTTGGGCAATTGGCGGTGGATCTAACGGATTGGGTATTACATAATTCTCGGGCCATGACCTGCTATTTACATACAAATATCTAAAAAAAATCGACATATTAGTGAATTTTTTTTTTTCAATTCTAACCCACCGGTGATCAGGACTCAGGCCCATACCCACGATGTGACCGTGTAAGTCAATTAGATGGTCCACTTTATCGAATTTATCGGCAACCTTGTCAAAATCCAGCCAATCGGGATCAGCGGAGGGGCTACCTGACCTCATTTGCTCCTTCCTCTGTTCATGCAAAATTAACCTCTCCTTAAGGGATGGTCCGGGGTCCATTTTTTTAGGAAAAACAAAAGGTTTGATCCGTTTGAAACCAATTTGGTGGGGGGTGTAGGTCTTATTGCCTGTAGTGAATATTAAATATTTATCCTTTAAAGATTCTGCTTCGTCTGAGGAATCAGAATGGTCGTCGTCGTCAAACCCCTCATCCTTGTTATTGTCATCCTGATCCATCTCGTAGTCACTGTCATCGCCCGCTGCGGCCTCGCTTTGCTCAAATTCCACTTTGCGGTATTCCGAATTGTACCATATTGGATTGGCGAAGTCGCTGCTGACTCTTGCATGGTTTAGTATGGGGATATCGTCAAATACTATAATAATAGAACTGTCATATAAAGTAGTACATGTTTAAGTATACATATAAATAAACAATACATATTTCCGGAAGTAGCCTGCAAAACTAAAATGCTTTCTTAGGTAGTTAGACGCTTGCCACTTTTATTTAATCACATTTGGTGCTCAAATGAATTTTACAAAGTACCCCTTTTTGTTATTTTTTTTATTTTAATGAAAAGTATCCAATCCTGCATAATTTTCAGACTTACCTGCTTTACTTGAACTAGGAACGTTGTTCATGTCCCTGTGGCTAACTGGATTTCCATGTTCGAATATGACACCCTGATCGACTGGTACCCCCGAATACTCAATTTCCTCTAAACTGATATTTTCAGAATTTGGAAGGCAATTTGCTATCATGATCGCTCTTATAGAACTAGCGTTCCGATTGTAGAAACGAAATAAACAGTGTGTTATCGGTACCAACTCCGATTCAGCTTCCTGTGAAGCTCTGTTTAGCCAAAGATGAGAACTACTCACTAGATGCGCCAACCAATGCAAATCTCCAGATAGAAGATATTGATCGCTATACCAAGTGCCGAAAATATCATATGGCTTGTTCACAACTCTACACTGGAGTTCGAAGCCATCTAAAAAATTCATTTTTTTTTATTTTCCGAAAAAAAGTTCTTATTTTTTTTTGTAAAGCTGACTAAAATTTCAGTCAGATGGGGAAAACAAACGGAATTTTTTTTTTCAAATCTCACTTAATTTTTGCTATTACACACCTAGGTTGAAGACAGCTATTTCGCCAGAAGTACTATGGGTAGTTCCAAAATGTACCCCAGAAACCAAAAGTAAAGTATCAGTTTCATTGAATTGTGAATACTGTGTATATTTCCATTTGAAGTGTTTCATGTTTTTGCTGTATTTAATACTGGCAGGATAGTCTGAATTCCACACCTACAATAAACATCGATTCACTTTAGAAAAAACAGCAATATTAACACTTGCGCCTTTAAGTCCTTAGTTTTTGGATTATTATGCCATAAAACCTTTAAAATATTATGAAAGCCAAGAGTATTGGATAAAAAATATTCGGATTGGAAAAAATTCGCCCATATCTACGATTATCGACTAATTAATACTTGCCGGCCCTTTTTTTACAGAAACAGAATTAATTAAAATCTAGATATTTAGGATTTAAAATAGAATTTATTTTTGGTATTTGCATAACTTCCTGGCATGAATATATGAGCCCCCTATATTTAACATACTTCAAAAAATAATAAATAAAATAAATCTAAATCAAATAAAAAATATACACTTGCAATTAATTAGATTATTAATGTTTTATTCAAAAATGATAAAAACAAAAAATTGTAATGAATTTATTTTTACACTTACAATAATTTCTAGTTCAGTTGCACATTTGGTGTTATTTTGTGCAAATTTTAAAAAAATACTGATCCAAGAAGAAAAAGGAAAAGCTTTAATTGGGGTGATCTGCGTAATCTGCGTAATTGTAACCACCTTGCTTTTAACATTTAATGCATCTAACTGCTCAGAGTAGACTTACAATAATCCAAAATCTTAAGTGAATCTTTGAATACAATAGTATTGAATTTATGGATTGTCGAAGCGATAGTTTATTATAAAATCGAATTCGACAGCTTGATGTACTCAATTTAATTAGGAAGTATTACTTACACTAACAAATCCATCCTTGGAGCAAGTAGAAAAATATTTTCCGTTATGTGAAAAACTAACATGCAATACTTGATGGATATGATCAGTTAGCACTTCAGTTTGTACAACAGGTATTTTATAACACAAACGTTTAAATTCCTCATACCATGATTTCCCTAAAACCAAATTAATTAAAACACTTAACTCTTTATAAATATTTTGCTATATATGGAAATATCAGACAAAACTCTATGATAAATAGTAACACAAGAAATTCAGAGCTAATTGATATATTTAATTAAAAAATTTCATTTACCTGCCACAACGGGCACCGATTTATCAACCAAAAAATTCTTATAAAATAAATCCCTCCACAGCAAATCATTTCTGCTGGCATCCAACCACAATTTACATACTCGGCCTGCAGATCCTAGTTCTTTGTATGTGAGGTGTTGAAATATTTTGTAAAGCGCAGGATAGGGCAGGTAACACCAGAGGCTGCCCTCGGTTTCGTTCATTTTTAAGGATTGCTTCTCGATTCAAAAATTTGCTTATGAACGGAACGCGAACGTACCTAAACTTTTGACAAATGAATGTCAAAATCAAAACAGAAATCAGCTGAGATGTTTTCCTCTGGTTGTAGGGTGGTGTTCCATGATTTACAGCTTATGACATATTCTGTGATGAGTATGTTCGGAAATCGGAAAGAAAACTGCTCAAAATAAAATTAGTTCTAGTAAACATAAGTTATGTATCTATATTGCGGGTAGTGCATCCATTTAATATCTGAAAGAGCTAATTTCGAATGAACGTAACGTAAAATACAAGGTTGTGTTTTTTGCCAAAACTTTTGAATTAACTTTTTAATTTAAATTTGATTTGGAGCGCACTATAGGGCATGTCACTCATCATGTGTCATGCGTAAAAACACAGTTACAGGCCACCGAAATTTTTGATTCTCTGTGATGTGAAAAAATTATAATGAATATTTTAAAGTAAGAGTATTTTTTAATAAAAAACCATGAGTGTAACACACAAACTTGACGACCTCGTGCAATCTGTGTCTTTGTATACTCGAATTCCGTTATTATTTCATCTCTATACACTACCATTTTTAATATTTTACCCAATATGGATCTATATCTGGATAGGAATTTACGGTTTTTGGGAACACTATGAAGGAGGATTCATCGGTGTAGCGGTAATTGGAATCATGCAAGTTCTTTGCTGCTTAGCATGCTATTGGTCTGTCCATGTTAACTGTTTTTTCTCCTGTAAAAAGGTGTTTTGAATTTAGTTAGCATAGGTACAGGCTTTTAAATATTTATTTATAGGAAAAAGATCCCTTGAAGGCTAATATTGTAAAGGTAATTCCCACGCCCAACAATGGGAAATCAGAATTGGTGTTTTTAAAAAAAATTAAACAGCACAATGATGACTGGCTTATTTGGTTCATATTTCAACAAACCAAATATATATGGGACCCTGACAAAAAAATGTTTCGAGGAGTTGAATTTCCTGTCAACAGATCATTCATGGAATATATGTCTTGCAAAGGTTTCCAAGAAGAAGACGATGTCAAAGAAGCTGAGCTACTTTATGGCAAAAATAATCTTGAAATGGTGGTTCCTGAATTTATGGAACTATTCACTGAAAGAGCAACAGCTCCATTTTTTGTTTTTCAAGTATTTTGTGTGGCCCTTTGGTGTTTAGACAAATACTGGTATTATTCAATATTTACTCTTGTCATGTTAGTTCTATTTGAGTGTACTCTGGTTCAACAACAGTTAAGGAATATGGCAGAAATACATAAAATGGGTAACAAACCTTACAGTATATTGGTCTATAGAAACCGTAGGTGGAGATTAATGTTGACTTGTGAACTTATTCCTGGTGATATTATATCAGTAACTCGTTCTCAAAAAGAAAATTTGATACCCTGCGATGTTTTGCTATTAAGGGGCTCATGTATTGTAGACGAGAGTATGTTAACTGGGGAGTCTGTTCCTCAAATGAAGGAGGCTATTGAAAGTGGTTGTGATCTCTCAAAAGTCTTGGATCCTGACACTGATGGGAAAATTCATGTTCTCTTTGGTAAGTAATACTTTATTCATATATTTAGTTTATTTCACAGATCCAGTAAACAATAATAATATAAACTAAACTAGATATGTATTCATTTTACTTTACATATCTGAATTTTATTTATTTATTTTTTTAATTTAAACTAACATGTTTTCTTGCAGTCACGCTGAATGCTGCAAAACAAATAGTTTTTGTTAGTTCCTTTTTGGCAAGCTCTTAATATGCATGTGTGGTGGTGTTTTTAATAAGCAAACAATTATAGCATATGGATGCTTCAACATTCTGTCAGACTTAAACCACCTATTTTGAAAGTTTTTCATAGCAAGTACATTTTTTGTATCTTTGATATTAGGCTACTGCCAAGCTAGCGACCTGATCGCCGCGACATATAAGTTGAGTTCCCAATGCAGTGTATTGATTATTATGGAGCCTGCCAAGCTTCTGATTCTTGACAGGGGCTGATTTTGAAAACTCTCTTATGAGCGTTTTTGAGACTTCGCGACAAAATCGCTCCCCATAGTTTCTTTGGGTAAATGGTCATATCAGCGCTCGAACGTGGGAAAAGCATAAACATTATAGTTAGCAATTGAATGACCCTTGCTTGATTCTAGAGATTTTAAGTTTTTTGGAATCGGATAGAAACTATAACAAAGGATCATCAAAAGTGCCCTGTAATTTCTTTATTTCTTAACATTTCGAAACTGCAGCAGAAAAATGCTGTCACTGGTTATAAGCGTGTCCATGTGCAAAGAATTTACAAGACAGTGTTTGGAACGCAAATTCTATGTCGCCGCGACCAGGTCGCAAGTCTGGCGGTAGCCTAAGAATTCAAATCCAGAATTAACAACTCAAAAGAAATATATTTGAAAAAATTAGGCGAGATATATTAATTTTTAGAGACAACCAGTTTCACTGAAACTATGCGGAAATTTAAAATATTTAATTTACATTTTTTTGTATTTAAATTTAATATTCAAAATATCTACAAATATTTTTTTAACCACTACCCAAAATCGAGTGACAAATTTGTGCAAAGTGAAAAAATGTCAGTAATTTTGGACTTGTGTTGCTAGGTGTAAATGATTGGTCAAGTAAATAGTTTAAATTCTCTTTGATACTCTTGCTTTTTTTTGTCATTAGAAGATTGATTTACAATGTTGTCTATTTCAAATATTATTCTTCAATATTATTATTAGAATTATTGTTATGAACTTGAATGTGTAGAAACGCCATAAGCTAAATAAATAAATATTATTTTTCAATCATTTATTCATCCATTTACACATAAATACTCTTACAACCTTGTTTCTCTTTTGTTTCTTTTGTCTTCTAATACTAATTAATAATAAATATTGATTGATAAATATATGGCGTTTTTTTATTTAAAATTATTCCTGCCACAAGGATCTGTAGTAAAGAGGCATGTAGAAAAAAACATTTTTAGGAAATAGTTGATATGTACTTTAAAAGTTAGCCATTATATCTTATTTTAGGTGGTACAAAAGTTGTTCAACACACACCACCTACCAAAGCCACCACTGGCCTTCGGCCTCAAGATAATGGATGTGTCGCTTATGTCTTAAGAACGGGTTTTAATACCTCCCAAGGAAAATTGTTGAGGACTATATTGTTTGGTGTCAAAAGAGTTACGGCTAACAATAAGGAGACGTTTGGGTTCATTATGTTTTTACTAATTTTTGCTGTTGCTGCTGCAGCTTATGTGTGGAAAAAGGGGGTTGAAGATCCAGAAAGAAGTCGTTACCAATTGTTTTTAGAATGTACTTTAATATTAACCTCAGTTATACCCCCGGAGTTGCCCATAGAATTATCTCTTGCTGTCAATACTTCCCTCTTGGCTTTATCCAAGTTGGGTGTTTACTGTACCGAACCGTTTCGTATACCTTTTGCCGGAAAAGTTGATATATGTTGCTTTGATAAAACTGGCACGTTAACCAGTGATAATTTAGTTGTGGAAGGAGTAGCTTTGGCGGAGAATGACTCCAAAGTTACCCCAATATTCAAGATACCTATGGAAACTGTGCACGTGTTAGCCTCGTGCCATTCTTTAGCACAATTAGATGACGGTTTGGTAGGTGATCCCTTAGAAAAGGCCACCATTACCGCCATTGACTGGACGGTGACCAAGGCGGACTGTATGATTCCGAAAAAAGGCAAATCACCTGGTTTGAAAATTTTTTTCCGCCATCATTTTTCATCCGCCTTGAAACGTATGTCAGTTATTGCCGGATATAATCCACATGGATCAACAGACACAGTTTATATTTCGGCTGTGAAAGGAGCACCTGAAGTTCTCAAGACTATGTACGCAAAGGTTTGTAATTCTTTCTTTTTAGTTCATTTTAACTATCGTATTTTATCGGCAATGAGTAGATACTATAAATTTATTCAAAGGCCTTGAGCTCCATCATCCTGCGGACCTAGCGAGAAACAATTTTTTATTCCATTATAGAAATTTTTAGGGTATCAAATATGTAACAATATTTTTAAACTTTATTATTTTTAGTTGTTTAAATTTATTTTCACCAATTTTCGTTGTAATTTCTAGAAATCTAAAATCTAATTAGTGCGGTAAATTGTTTTGCATAGAAGAAATTTTTTTGGGTACCCTTTTCATTTATTTTCAGAGGGTCAAAAAAAAAGGTTTCTGCCTAGGGTTAGCCAAAACCATTATAATGGACTTATTGCAACTTACTGTTTGGTATTAACAGGTCTAGAAAGAAACAATTTGCAGCAAAATATAGACAGTTGCAAGCTGCCCAGCAAAGTGTTTTCTGTATTTTTTAGGTTCCCCCAAAATATGACGAAGTCTACCTAGAACTTTCCAGGAGAGGAGCTAGAGTGTTAGCTCTTGGTTACAAAGAAATCGGTCAACTATCTAGTCAAGAACTTCGCGATTTGTCGCGAGAAGACATTGAAAAGGACCTTCGTTTTGTCGGATTCGTTATTATATCGTGTCCATTGAAAAGCGACTCTAAAAACGTGATCAAAGAACTTCAGTATGCTTCGCATAGAGTGGTGATGATTACCGGCGATAATCCTTTAACTGCGTGTCACGTGGCAAATGAATTAAAATTTATATCGAAACCGCTGCTGATATTAAATGAGAAATCAAGCCAAGAATTTATGTGGGAAAGTGTTTACCAAAACGGTAACCTGTTGCCGGTCGACCACGATTACAAGGCGTTAATTAAAAAATACGATTTATGTATTAGCGGAGACGGTCTGAACCACCTACGGGACAACTACCTCAATTTCCTCAATCTAATACTACCACACATAACCGTGTTTGCCAGATTCGCACCAAAGCAGAAAGAATATGTTATCGTTCAACTGAAAACTTTAGGTTACGTTACGCTAATGTGTGGAGACGGTACTAACGATGTCGGGGCATTAAAACATGCGGACGTGGGCGTGGCAATATTGGCTAACGCGCCGGAGAAATTGCCCGATCTGAAGGAACAGAAAGAGCGGGAAAGAAAACATAGGGAAACGAGGGAGCAAGTACTGGCGAGAACCGGCAGACCAAATCATGTAAGACCGCTAATGGAACAGAGAGATCGGTTGCAGGGCAAAATGAATAAGTTGATGAAGGAACTGGAAGAAGAGGATCAGCCCCAAGTGGTAAAATTGGGCGACGCTAGTATCGCCTCACCTTTTACTAGTCGGTTGTCTTCAATTATGTGCAGTGAGTTTGTTATTAATAAATTTTCTTTCCTTCTTTAATACAGAAATATTGACCCTCATTTGTCATTCTTTCAATGCTTGTAAGTATTTCTGTTTCCAAGAAAAATGTGAAATTGATGAGGGAAAGTTTGAGTTGTTAAATAATGTCCAAAACATTAAAATTAGTTTGAGTTTTATAAACAAAATAAATGTAAATGAATCGCGATTCAACCTAGACATTTACCTAATCACAAAAATTACGCATGCCTGTATTCCTTTTCCTTTTAAGTCACTTAATATGGTTTGACTCAATCTTCATCGTATTGGCTTTCAACGATAAAACAATAAAACTTTTAACGATGTTATTACCTATTGTTATTGGGTAATGCCATTAACAAAAAATGTATTCTTACTTGACTGACAATTCAGCTAAATTTCTTTCATTCTGATATATTTCTAGAGTGTTGACTATATGTGCAGTGTTGAATAATTGTTTTTACTGTGGGTTTCGAAAAAGTTATTTAAGAAGAATATAACACTGTCGCGCTGAAATGTATATGACACTTTAGTCAGTCTAGGACTTACTCAACAAGAAGCTTTAAAAAAAACCTGCCTACTACTATAAACGCAGTAGTGATTTTCAAACTCACCATATAGAGAATAGTGATCAGGACCTAATAAGAAGGAAAATATATTGTCTTTATCAAAGCGAAGTGAAGCTAGGAGATGAGACTAATATAAATATAAAGGCGCCGCCCTCCATAGAGTTGTTTGTTTTGTTTTGTTTAATTTGCCTTGATCACGACATTGTATCCAAAGGATGGGTTGATTCCACCTAACACTCACAGGAAAGTACCTTGAAATGAAGGAAAACTCATCAGCATAATACACAATGAGTCAGAAGACAGATTTGTCCCAAACTGCTTGCTATTGTCTGCAAAGAATATTAAGGATTCGAGCTTTGGATCAAGTGCTGAATTTTTTGAAAATTGGTTTCAAAACAATCTTTTAAAAAATATTCCCAGTAATAGTGTTACCTTAGCCGTCTACTACGCAAAGCACCAGCCTCATCCAGTTCAAAAACTGAAATCCAGGAATTTTTGTTAGAAAGTGATATTTATTTTAACTTAAGTTATAAAAAAGCGCAACTTTTAGAAGTCCTAAATTCGTATGCAATTAAAAAGCCGTTTTACTTCCTCCATATCATTGCATGTTTAACCCCATGAGCATTTCTGGTATCAAGTAAAATCAAAGGTCAGAGCAGAAAATTTTACCCCTACTTTAAGTCCCAGTGTCATAAATTGAGAGCTGGAAAAATTCAGTACAGCATATTATATAACATTTCTATACAAAACAACATAAATTCTATTATAATTAATCTCAATGTCGACTCTGATAGTGAAACAGAATTAGATTTAGACATTTAGAATAAAAATTCAATTATGTGTAGGTAATAATAGCAATGAAATTATTGTATGTAGTTAAGTCATGTTTTTCCTTAGTGTAATTGAATAAGATTATACCCACCTAAATAAACAAAAAAAATTTTAATCAATACTTATGAGAGTCCTTCCTTAATGTTCTGTCCTTTAATACCTACCGGAGCCGAGTTTTATTGCCGTCGGCATTTGCGAGCAACAGCCAGCACGATGAACATTGAGACGGTCTATGCAATTGTAAAAACGAATTTTGCCCCTTGTGTTGTTATTAAATTTATTACCTTCTTACCAAATTCTACTCAAAATGTTTTTGTAGAGTTTAATTTTTTAATTTGAAAGATTATTTATTTTAGTTTGCCATATAATCAAGCAGGGGCGGTGCACTCTGGTCACTACCCTGCAGATGTTCAAAATTTTGGCATTGAACGCACTGATTTTGGCATACACCCAATCTGTACTCTACTTGGACGGCATCAAACTGAGGGATATGCAAGCCACCTTGCAGGGGTTTTTACTAGCGTCTTGTTTTCTGTTTATTTCACGATCCAAGGTAAAAGTGTTAAAATCGCCGATTGTGCCTTAACTGTATTTTTTTGTAGCCTCTTAAGACATTATCAAAACAGAGACCCCTGCCGAACATTTTCAATTTTTACACTATTCTAACGGTTCTCCTGCAGTTTGCGGTCCATTTTGTGTGCTTAATATTTTTGGTTCATCAAGCGAAATCACAAATGCCCGCGTAAGGTTACGACAAAGTAGAAGATATGATTTAAAATGCTTCCGATTTCAGTACCGAGGAGCAGCATAACTCCACTGAGCCAATTAAAAAATTAACTGAAGAGGAGGAGGAGGCACTTTTCGAGCCAAATATTGTAAATAGCACCGTTTATATTATATCGATGGCTCTACAAATATCTACATTTGCAATTAATTATAGGGTAATTCTTAATTTTATAGCTTTTTTTCTAAGGTCTTGGTCGAGGTCGATGTTTAAATTCACACACAAATCCTTTTTAACCGAATTTAATTGGGATATTTTGGCAATTCTAGGGTAATCCTTATATGGAAAGTTTGAAACAGAATAAAGCACTGCTGTATAGTATTTTAATTTCGGGGGGTGTGGTTTTGGCGCTGACGTTGGGTCTGATGCCTGAACTTTCTGCCCAATTTGAGCTCATTGATTTTCCACCCGACGTGAGTAGCAGCGGCACCAGAATTTGCTAGTTAAATAGCATTATTTTTCTTTTAGTTCAAGGTGACGTTGGTGCAAGTATTATTTGCAGATTTCTTCTTTTCATACTTTGTCGATCGAGTGTGTCTATGGATTTGTGGTGAAGGTCGGGTGAAACTGTCGTAGTCAAACCCGGTTTTAAATTAATTTATTCAGTGCAAATTAAAACATTTTGTTGTGACCATTCCAATGTGTAATGTTAAGTATGACCATGTTGTGGACACCCGAGGTGAATAAATCATTTATTACTAGTTGCGTACTCCATGACCCTATTAGCGTAAAATATAAATTTTACAGGTAAGTGGTTCTTTGCAACTAAAAAAATATATTTATTTTATATCTTTTGTTTTTATTTTCCACCTTTTACTTCTTTGTTTTTCAATTATTGTCAAAAAAATTTATAAGGATTTTCATAAAAATTGTATAATTATAGACCGTTACAATTTTGGGTAGTCTTAATTTAAAGACAGTTTATTTATTTTTGATATAATGATAAGATTTGGTGAATTGTTTGGATTTCCCTCTATCATTTTCTTGTTTTTAGTTTTTTATGCTTATTTTATTTTATTTAATTGCATTTTAGGTAAACCTTTTTTGCTTTTAACAGTGTCGTCAGTCGCCATAACTTGTTGCCGATTAATCACTTTACATAAGCAAGCATTTATTACTATTTTATTTTTAACCAGTGCGTTTTTTTCTACGGTAATGAATTTTTATTTTTGGTAATACCGAAATTTTCAACGTATTTAAACAAGCAGACCATGGACAACTTGCAAATCGCAAATCGCGTAAGTAGGCCGTGCATACTAGATATAAAATTCGACATTTTATAAATTATTTGTTCGCGTTCTTTGCAAGACATTTATTTACCTTTATTTAAAACGATGATGAACTCTTCGAACGGAAACAGCATTGGGTTGCATAGGCTGGAAATTAAAAATTTGGAACCTGACGCCGTCAACATTTTGCTCGTGGGTGTAATAATTGGTAAAAAGAAACCGAAAATATTTCAAAGGGAGTCAACCAGGGCCGTTTGGAATTTCACGTTGCGCGATTCGCCCCAGCATTACATTAATGTCGCTATGTGGGCCCCGCCTGAGCAAGTCTTCCAAGCCAATGATAGATTCAAAACCGGAGATGTCGGTAAGACATATTGCCGAAGTTACGGTTTTACTTTCAATTTTTTTTTACCTGTTGGTTGGCGTTCAAATAAATGAGGTTGAGATGCTGTTTATTTTAAACTTAAGTGTTCAGCGATGTGTACTTGTTTTCGTTTTGCCTTCTTTGTCGTAGTGGAGCTTTTAAATCCTCAAGTGCAACTTAGACAAATGGGTGATAGATCAGAACTATTTCACCCTATGGTAACGTCACCGTTTAAGTTAAGCATGTCCGAGAAGTCTGCCATTGTGAACCATCCTGGTAACAGTTTTTATTTGAAGTTGCTCAGATATCCCACAAAACCGACGGCCGCATTCTTCCCATTGCAAGATATTCAAAATAGTGGAAGAGCACTTTCAGGTATAGAGTTAATTAAACTAAATAAGTGAAGATAAAAGAAAATTGCAATTCCTAGGTTTTTTTGTCGATGTTTTGGGTGCGGTCAGAGGGTTGGGGCCTATTCGAACAGTTACCACGAAAAATGATGAAACTATACAAGTGCGTGAAATAGAAGTTTTTGATCACACCTGCCCTAGTTTAAGAATCACCCTTTGGGAACCCGACCTGATCCATAGGTATTTAATTCTTTGTGTAAATCATGAAAGCATAAAAAAAATTCTAAATTCGGACCTATAGCACTCTCGCACAAATTTTAAAATTCCTCCAATATGTAGGTAACATCTTTGTTTTATTATATCTATTAATTATATCTATTTTACGATGTGGATTGTATTTGACAAAGGCACGGTGTTGTCGTAACAGCCGTCATAAAGTAATAAATTACTGTGAAAATCTGAACATTTTTTCTTCTAATTTAATTGTGTTAAATGGATTTTCATCAAGCAAAAGCCACCTCAGTTGAATTATTTGTAACAAATTTTAGGTCCGATGCGTGGAAACCGCGGTATACCATTCTCTTCCTTACCGATTTAACTGTCGATTGGTCCAGTTTTGGACGCGCTTATGTCGCGAAAGCAACTGGACGAACCATTGTGACGGAAAACCCGATCAGCAAGGAGGCGGAGTCGCTTATCGATTATGTCAAAAACGCGCCAATTGAAACATTCGACATTGTCGAACGATTACTTACCTCTCTACCAAGTAGTATGATTAGTTATTCTTGCAGTATGGGACACTGACTTTTTTACAGATACCGCCACTCAGGAAGTGGTGAACGTTAAGCAACTGCAAGAACGGATCAACGCATGCGTTGATAACGAGGAACACCAGGGGAACAGATCCTTTAGTGTTTTTCTCTTCGCTTTTGTTAGCCACCTGGATCTAGATGGGTTATCGCAGACCCTCATTGTAAAATGGTAAGTGATTAACCTTTCCCGCCAAAGTGACTTTTGCTGTGTTGTGCTTCTACCTATATGAAAATTATGTTGTGTTTGAATTGGCATTTATCCCAATATTAAAGTTTTATGACCTTTTCAAATGCCAAACAAATGAAGCCAAGCAATGAAGATCGGCAACAATTACGGCAAATTCTTTTCTATTTTGCGCTTTTCTTAGTAATGTGCCAAGCCAGTCACGTCTCTGATGTTCTTTAGCCAAGAGCATTGTCGACGTCTGGGACCGCGTTTTCCCTCGATCTTACCTTCCATTATGAGTTGAAGGAAATTGGATTTGTTATAGAGATATATCGTTTTTCTTTTCCTTATTGTATCGAGAAGCTCGCGTTCCTTGTTCAAATTTGGAGCGTGATCCTTCACATTCTGACCTACACCCACTTCTCAAATACTTTCAGCTTATTCGTTGTGCTTACTTTTAATGTCCGTGACTCACAAGAACCATAACTTTTGTCCTTTTTGTATTTATCTTAAGACCCATCGAGTCGCTTACTGTGGATATCTTATCTAACTGTGTCATTGGCGTATCTCAAGTTGTTCAACCATCTACCATTTACTTTTATGCCGTCCTCTGCTCCCTTGAGTGCACTTGACGTATCAACTCTGAGTACATATTAAAAACCATAGGACTCAGCACACACCCTTGTCTAACTTCACGTTTTATGGATATCATTGTTCTTTCGGAGCCTTCTAGTCTTACTGACGCCACTTGATGTTCATACAGCTTTTGAATAATTTTAAAATCTTGGGAGTCTAGGCCTCTACTTTCAAAAATGCTAATTTCTTTGGTTTGATGCTAATGCAAATGTTCATATACATTAAACAATAGATAACTCCCTATTATGGAGGATGGGTTCCTTCATAATTCAAATTTAAATACTTTAGTTTTAATGACCAAAATTTAAGACCAATAAAACAAAAAAGTATTATCATATTTGATTGTCAACTATTAAAAATATGCCAGGGAACTGCGAAATAATACAATTTCTCGGATTTGTAACATCAAAGAGAAATTTCTTTCATTTTTAGAATTTCAAAGAAAATATATAAAGGAAATTTAAAACAAACTAGCAAAAATTATTACTTATGCTAGAATAAAAAACTAAACGTGGCCGTAAATACAAAAATGGCGTAATGCATTCTTAGTGTAGTCAATACTTTCTACTAGAAAGATGGTGCGAAAAACGTTTTTATACAATGGAAGTTTGAAACGGCAGTATTGACCAGTATCAATCCTTCTCTACCTTTAGAGAAAAATTCTTGGTGTAGGTTGTACCTCCTTTGCCGTCTACTGCGCTATTCTATTTCACCGCTGAAATCTTACTGCTTTGTTAACGACAGTAATCTCTACTGGAAACCGGCTAAAGTTCGCAACCAAAATTACGAAGTGCCAAACAACCACTGGCAGCGCAGATTTCTAAACCAGTTTAGGAAGCAACTGATTCAAAGCACTTCGGTTTTTGTTTCCATAGAAAATGTTCGGTTGCTATAGGGTAAAACTAAAAAGTTATAAATCTGTTTTTTTTCTATTTTTATCGAAATTTATACACTTTCATTTCTAAATGAAAATGCATTCAAAAAAGGTTAGCATTCGTTTCCAGTAAAAATATTTCCTTACACTCCCGGCTATATATACAGAAAAGTTTGAAATATTTTTTTTCAATTTTAATCGAAATTTACGCACTTTTATTTCTTGATGGAAATGTGTCCACGAAGGTTAGCTCCCGTACTGGAGCGCAGGAGAATAGTTTTACTAGAAACGAAATCTAAGCTTTGTCGGCACATTTTCATCAAGAAATGACGGTATGTAAATTTCGATTAAAATAGAAAAAAATATATTTATAACTTTTTAGTTTCACAGTATAGCAACCCACCTACGAAGCTGCAACCGAACCTGGAGACGAAAGCGAAAGATCTATTTAATTTGAATCAGCTGCTTCCTAAACTGGTTTAGATATCGCCGCCGCCGCTGGTTGTTCGGCTCTTTCCGTAATTTTGACTGCCAACTTCACACCGGTCTACTGGGACACGCTCTTTTAGTAACGTTCTAAAATATTTCTTAGCGTCCGCTGTAAAACTGCAATGAAAGGGGCGAAATGTGAAAACACCGGTTGCCCCTCTGTATTCGAGAACGAAGATACCACTGAGTCAGAAGTAACCTTCGACGTTAAAGTTATGTTGTCTGATCACACGGGCACCCTTACCAATTGTCGATTGAGCGGGCAAGCAGCGGAAACGGTTCTAGGCTGTTCGGTACGATAGGGGTAGTTTTGATTTAGCTCGAAAGAAACCCATTGGATATTTTAGGCAGCCGCATTTCATTTGATGTCTGATGATCAGAAGTGCGATTTGAAATGGAGGTACTTGATGGAACGTTGCAAAATTCGCATCGCAGTTTTATTTATGACAAGTCAATATCCAACTCTGTCCATTTTGAATGTTAGTCTGGCCGACGGTCTGGAGGTTGCGAAAAAGTTAGCGGTTCTCTAAGGGTGAATTATGTTTTGTTTTGTTATTATTTTTGATAAATTATAACATGTTCTTTAAAATGTCGGAAATAAAATAAACTAACCACGGTTTCAGTTTCATAAATTGACTGAATTAGGTGGTCATTTACTCAATTTTTTTTTTTTCAATCGAAGTTATAAGTTACCCAACTCAGCATCCGTCGACCCGAATCCCTAACGGTATATTACAATACATCATTCCTGACGTTAAGCGAAATTTACATTAAACTAATAAAGCTACATTACCATAGGAATTGTGGTCAATATGCCGGTAGCCGCAAAAAGAGCTAATAGAATTCGAGACAGCAATGTTATATCCTAAATTTGTATTTAAAATCGTTTTATAAAAAGGAGCGTTGGCTAGCGAATCACCACGTTAGTTTCACCTATTAACTGTTACTTGTGAAGACTAAAGGAGTTTTTGAGATATATTTTATTTAGTCTTTGGGGGATTCCGTATTACCACTGTACATTTTTTATTAATCGAACCGGCGAACTCAAAAAATAGTTTTTTGTAACGTTGGCATGAGCACATAATATATAGAGAGAAAATACTAACTGAGCTTATCTCGACTAAAATGGCAATCTGCCTGGGAAGCTTTAGGAAATCCACCAACTAACCATCTTGTTATGTTCTTGTTAACGTAGTAGTAGACATTTCAAGTCTTTTCGAGAACTAAAAAAACTCGGCATTTGTGGGTAATGGGCAAATGATCATAAATAATTGCGCTTCCCATCTTTTGAAACAAATAGGGAAAAAAAAGAAGATATAGTCTGTGCTAACAGGTAACCCGTCGAGGAAAGTAATGTTGAAGATTCAAAAGACTATATCAAATTTATTTTGGGTAAAATAATCTTATGGCAGCTGTAATACCAACAGTTACTAAGGTATCCCCAAGAATAACGAGAATATTAGGATGTAACCCAAGTTCTATGACTCTCCAAGGTACCAATACCTATGTGCTGGGCACTGGAAAAAGGTATCTAAAATTTTAAATTCAATGGTTGTAAATGATTGGAATCGAGGTATTTTAAGGCGGATTTTAATTGATACTGGGGACGAAGGCATTTCACAGTATGTAAGTCATTTAAGTAATGTTTTAAATGAGGAGAATATAGAGTTGGCTCATATTTTTCTGAGTCACTGGCATCATGATCATGTAGGCGGTTTGACAGACATTATAAGTAAATTGGGCATCAGAATAAGTAAGTCATTTCCATGTAATTCTTAATGAATATATTGACAAGTGGTTTAGAGGACTGTCATGTTTGGAAATTTCCAAGATTGGATGCTGAAGATATAGTACAAAAATTTGAGTTATTTGAAGATGGTCAAGAGTTTGTAGTCGAAGGTGCTACAGTGAAAGTATTCCACACTCCTGGTCATTCAACTGATCATGCTGTGTTTCATCTGTTGGAAGATAATGCTGTATTTAGTGGGGATTGCATACTGGGAGAAGGTACATCAATATTTGAAAACCTGTATGACTATATGAAATCTTTAAATCTGATTTTAAAACTTCAACCTTGCGTCATTTTTCCTGGACATGGCAACATTATTTATGTAAGTTATAGGTGGGTAAATTTCAATCATAAATTAACACATTGCTAGGACCCTGCCGAGAGGCTTAAGTATTATTTGTCTCATCGTCAACAGAGGGAGGATCAAATTATTGAGGTTTTAAAAAAGAATATAGGCAAAGGTTTTACCGAAAATGCACTAGTGTTGGCCATATACACAGGTTTGTCTGAAAAACTAGTCAAAGCTGCTGAGTATAATGTTAATCATCACCTGCAGAAACTGTTAAAGGAAGGTAAAGTTCTACAAATTGGAGAATTATGGCAGTATAATAAATTGTAATATATATATATATATATATATATATATATATATATATATATATATATATATATATATATATATATATATATATATATATATATATATATATATATATATATATATATATATATATATATATATATATATATATATATATATATATATATATATATATTGACAGTGTTTAACATTTAGCTAAATAAAACTATAAAAAAAAATTCCATATTTTTAATTACATTTTATACATTTCTATCTCAGAATTTTCTGTCTTGGCTATTTTATAGATGTAATAAATTTTAATATTAATATGCATTTATGATTTGACCCCTCATACAAAATTAACCCTCTAGATATTACCGAAAAAAATAGATTGTAATTATATTCCCCATATCCAAAACAGCTGTAACTCTAAAATTTTGTTGAAATATTTTTATTTTTATTTATTTGAAATATGTTTAAAGATAGAACAATACAAATCAGTTTTGTTAAAGATTCTAGTTTTATAGTTTTAACATATACAATCTGAATTTCAGTTGAAAGCTAAGCAAATAAATAGAATATATTAAATAAGTTTAAACGGCTCAAGGAAAAAAATGTCAATAAAAAAACAATACAAATTATTTCAAGTATTATTTACTTGATAATTCATGGTAATATAATTGGCAACATACAAAACTGAGTAGTTAAATAAATAAACGCAAAGTAGGTTTAATTAAAAAAAAAATTAACATCACAAAATATTCCTAAAAATCACCGTCGTATTTTTTTCGAAGGGGGTGGTGGCATTATGTCGCAGTCCTCATTATAACTTTCACGTTCAATAAATTCCAACAGTTTCTCCTTAGTAACTGGCTTTAAAATACTACTAAATACAGCTACAAATGATACAACAGTAGTAAAAGTAATACCTAAGACACTGCGCTATTACCTTTGGCAGTATTGTAACTGTTGGGATATACTTTGTCAGTTCTCTCCCTCATGAATACCCACTGATCATTTTCGTATTTGCATTCGATTATTTTGTTATCGAGATGTTTAACGTCTTTAGATTTTATTTTAGCAAAGGGCTGGTCTAACTGCCCCACATAAAGATAGCCTACTTTTTTTGGTATGATGCCGGGACCATTCTCGGTTACTATCTTAAGACGGAAGTCGACTGAATTCATGCTCAAAGGCTTCCATTTTAACACTTCGTCACATCTACCAGCTATATAGGGCTGTAATTATTCATCCACAATAAACTTTTCTTATAGTTTAACTATGATTATATAATTAATGATTAAAATGGGGATCAGCAGAAGTTATTCAAATCTTCAAAATTTTGGAAAACGCGAGTTTGATTGTACTACTTATTACCGCGGAAAAATGTCAAGAAGAGAATAAGACCTAGCCCATTAACTTGTCTGCGAAGATTGGGTTATTACTTAATATGCAAATAAACTACTAACAGCGGTCTTTTTTCGTTTTATAGTATTAATTTTTTCAATGCTAATTAAAGACCAAACCATGGCGGTGAGTGTACTATTAGACTTTTTGGAAAATGACTTTCGGTAAAAACTTGAAATATTGGTAACATATAAGCGAATATGAACTACCTATGTAAAATATTTTTGACCATGAGGTGTCAGATGTGCTCGTAACGTATATTAACTTTTTTTGTTGTTATGTTAATGGCAAACTCTATGTATTATTACATTTTTAGATTCTGCGAAATATTCTAGAACTTTTTTAGATAACATGTACATATTCAGAGATAAAAAGTACTTTTAAAAAAATTTGGCAACAAACAACCCGATATAAAATAATCTTTTTTTTAACATTAAATTCTCCATAAAGTCTAATAGGACACTCAATAACATGACACATAACGCTTTTTACAAAACTTCTGGATTCCTCCTGCGTCGGTTTTTGCTTGGTCGAAATTGCAAAAACCGACTCAGGAGGAATCCAGAAGTTTTGTAAAAAGCATTACAGTAACCTGTGGAAGTTTCTTTGAAAATTGACACATGACACTGAATAAGCCTGTATAAACAAAATGGTCTATGCTTGAGCTTTCCTTCCTTCTACTTCAAGATCCCCATTTATATTTTATAAACATTTTATGTTCTTTTTTGTTGTCATGGTACCGTTAGCACTTTTCAACAGTACCAAATATTACCTTCTTAGGAGGAGAAGCCAAGGATAGCTATAAATAGACAATTTGAGAAAGCCTATCACTCAGACTGAGTAAATTTGATCAAAATAAAGTTAAAGTGAAAAGCCAAATTAAAATAGAAAATTTCTATAGGAGATTTAAAATGTTTTCACAAAATTATCTGTTTAAGAGGGTAGGCACTTACATCCTTGGAAGGCTGAAAAATAAGTCCATCGGGTTTATGGGACAGAGACTTGGCAAATTTTTCACTCAACAAACTGGCCGTTTGGGAAATGGGCCAGAAGTCTTTCTTTCTTATACTAAATGGTTCTGTAGATTTGTTTATTAACATTCGCTCCATAGCCGCATACCTTGGTTTAATAATTTCCACATCCAAAACGTGAAGTCTTGTTGGATAAAAGAACTCTTTACCAATATTTTGCCCTTCAAATTGTATAATATCATAAGCTAAATATCGGGGTATATTTTCTTCACCCACTTCATCAATAACCATTTCCTGTATAAATGCAAAAATAATAATCCAACTATGTTATAACCTATTTAATCTTATGTTGTTTTGTTTACCCCATCAAGTAAAGTATCCTTCAAATGCTTACTCAGGTCTTTTCTATGAAGAAATGTTAGACCATTTACTTTAAAGACAGTATTATTACGATCAAAAAAGTACACTTCATCTTTTCCGTCAATAAGCATCATATACCTAGTGCCATCTGCTTTCCAAGACACTCTGAAAACAGTTTATGAATGAACCGTTCCTTTATTTTTGCCAGTTCAAAGTGGCTTATCTACCTATAGGATTTTTCTTTTAAAAATTTTAAATTGTCAACGGTCATTGAAACTGGTTGACATCCTGGAAATTCTTTATCTTTCCATCCACACATTCTCTGAACCTTTCTTTGCAATTGAAAAGCCTTATCAGGCTCATCAAAATATTCTACATTGGGGACGCCTTCCATGAATTTTGTTGTAGCATCCTTGTGACGTTTCAATTTTTTTCTAGGTGGTCCAGTATTGTTTTGTCTAACAGCACATAGAACCATATTTTTTTAGTTTAATTTCCATAGCAATACAATAAACGATACTTACTCTGAAGATGAAGTTGATGCTGTACTTAAAGATTCATGATCATCACCATTTTCATCATTCCTATCATCACTCTCAAAGCACCATTCAGGCAAATTTGGTGGAGGTGGTTTGTCCTCCAAAACATCATATCTTTTATACAATTCCTCCAGGTAATCATCTTTGTATATCCCAACAGGTCTAACAACCAAAATTATAGTTTTTTTCCTCAATTTTTTTTTTATAAGAACTGTCTATACCTAGCTTGTGCAAAAGTTTGAAGAGCAACTTCAAGGCTGAAATCCATGTTCTCCACCAAGTACGATACTATAAGAAACCCAGTTCGGTTAAATCCATGTGTGCAGTGCACTGCTATACTTTTTAAAGGGTTTTGTGATATAAAATTTGACACTAACTGAATAAACATTTTCGTTTGCTCTACAGATGGAGTCTCTCCGTGACCCCTACATTGTAACTTAACATATCTACATCCGTAATCCTGAATTTCTTTCTTATTATAAAATCTTGTAGTATTGGTAAGATCTATCCACAAACCAAACTTAATCTAAAAAGAAAGGTTATCTCTAAACTGAAAAGCGAATGCAAAATGTCTTGCAGCAATATACTGAATAAATAAATACTTTAAATAACCTTTTTGGCATTGCATATGTCGAAAAACATTTTTGGGTGGAACCTACATTCTGGCGGTATCTGATCGTCAAAATTACTACTTAGCGGAGTTTTGAGCGCCATAAATTTGCCTACAATTAGCTGGTGGCTTTTTCTAGGGCAATACAACCACCGCTTCGGTGGAGGACCAGGATTACTTATTGGTCTACTCATTTTAGGTTATGCAAGGGATGATGAATCCCAATATCCTAACAGAAAAACATTATCGTATTTTCCTGTGACTCTTTACTGCATTTTAAAGAAAACGATTTATCAAGCAGCACTCACAAATTAGGCAAATTAGACCAATTTACACTACTTGCGTTATTGCCAATCAGTCGGTCAATAAAACCATAGAAAAATAATTTCGCACGAAGTAGAAAGTTGAATCCGCCGTAACAATTCACATAAAATTGGGCAATATTGTCTAGGTCATTCGCGGACTTTCTACATCCATCGACGATTTTTAGATCACTACTGAGAACATTTGAGGAAAATTAGTGTATTTCCGAAAATTGCCATTCCTGACACTCACACGTTTTATTTTCTCTTATAAAATAATTTCATAAACAATTTGCAAGCCTACTTTTACCCATTCCCCAAAGTCGCGGTAGCGTGCTCCACAAGTACCTGGTATACCTATGTAGGCAAACAATAGTATTAAGGTCGGATTTGGAGTTGTGTCAATCGCAATTGATTCACTTTGATTCAATCACTTCATAAGATCGAAAGACTGAATTCCTCTTGCTCGTAACGAATTGATCACCTTGTTCGCTCTCGCTGGCGCCCTGACCGGTCTGAAGTGACCGAATACAGGACGACCTATCGACCGACCGTACCAAAACAAATCGAATTCGTCTTGCGGAATACGATTCATTTCAATGGTTTAAGATTTAAATGCATGACTGAGACAGGCCACAAAAAAGGAAAGGGTGTATTGTTATAATATTATAATATTATAGTATTGAGTTTCGCCATCGATCGGTAGATTTGCTTATGTGTTGAATTGAATATTGAATTAAATACCTATACATATGTACATATTTAGTTTAAACAACTTAATGTATTACTGGTACAACCCAATACGTATTTTGATAAAGTCATGATGTAATAAAAAGCAGAACACAGCTAAATATTATACTAACTAAAACAACAAACAGAACATATAGACATAACAATAACTCAAATTCAAATGAATCTGAATCGGTCGTTCGAACTGTTCAGATTCAGTGAATATTCTAGTCACATATCTAGTGATCTAGTGACATGTTCACTGTACTTGAAAGCAACAATTACGTCATTGTTCTAATAATTCGTACTTTGTTTAGAATCGGGATGGGCGCCCTCATACATTCTTTTAAACAGATTTTAAAAAGGTTTTAGATAATTATCGGCACACACAGTTACTACATATAATAAATAATTGTTGAAATATACATATTAAAAAAAGAACAGCAACTTGCTCAAATTATCATTTATATCTAGCATTACAATAGACAGCATAAAAAGTATAAAAAATAATTTGTAGAGAATATTCAATAAAATATTACCATAATGGACAGCAAAAAGTATTATTTATAATTAAAAAACTCTTGCACACTATAAAAAGTTTTCCATTAGCATTTTTATAAAAGTTGATCAGTTAGTGTTCTCGTCAGTCGAGAAAATTGTTTCGAGGAGGATAAGTGACGTTATCATAATATCTATAATACCTCTTATTTTATTGGATTGCATGCCCACCGAGATTTAAATGTGGAGACATTAAAAGAAAGGACCAACAAATTTGAGCGATGAGCGGATATTTGAAATAAATTCGAGCTCATAATCTAAAATGTTTTGGTTTTATTGGATGCTCCTACTTTTTATCATCTTTACCATATTTAGAGGTTTGGAACACAGCTTAATCATTCACGCATTTTTAAATAGGTTTAGAAAATCTAAGATATCTTTACGCTTCGTTTTTTTACATACAAATTAATGTGAAACAAATTATGTATATGTATTTATAATTGTTATTTAATAGAAATGATTATATAAATATATATATATTATATATATTACAACTAAATAAATTATATACAAGCAATTATAGCATTTAAGAAAATTGTGCTGCAATATTGCTGGTTGTTTTATTATTTAATATTTCAATCCAGTAGCCATCTGGATCAGTAATGAAAGCAATTCCTTTCATTTTCCCATCATTGGGCTTTTTAATGAAATTAACTCCCAGTTTTTCAAAATGTCGGCAGGCTTTATCTACATCAGGGACTGCAATTCCTATGTGACCTAAAATGTTATTACATTATAATATTTAACATTTACATGTACGTATCCAATTACATTTACACTCAAATTAACTCACTCAAAATATAAACTAAAAACCTACCAAATCCTTTCGGATCTTGATTTCCATTATGATAATTAAAATTTGCATCATTTTCAGTTCCCCAATTACTGTAAAATAATGATATTTATTTAATCAGCTATTATTATGTTAATCTTACTGAGTAAGTTCAATTGTTGCTTTTCTACTCAGCGCCCATTCAATTCGTTCAGTGGAACTCACAGGGGATTCAGGAGTTCCACTTTCATAACCCATAAAATATAAAGAAAATTCCATTGTGGGAAAATCTAATTTCGTCAAAAGTTTCATTCCTAGAATTTTTGAGTAAAATGGGAGAGATTTTCGTGGATCTTTTATTCTATACATGGTTTGCTGCATGATAAAATCCTACAAATATCTCGCTGGTAATATTCGGCATGGGTGCTTAAACAACTCTACCTTTGTTTCATCTGGTGACTGACTGCACAAATCTAAAGCTTCTGTAGTGGTTATTGGAGGCTCTTTTGAACGATCCATGGCAAATTAAGTAAATGAAAATTTTAAATGTACTTTTTCTATTTTACGTTTATAGTGGATGAGACATAGAAACCGGGTTTGTCAGTTCGTCCACCCTTAACCTTATAATAATTTTAATTGATGGTTCCTGCTCACTCAATAAGCGGATAAACCAAATAGATATTAGATAATATACTGAGCCTTCCACGGTAAGAATTGAAGCCCCGCAAGCGGCATTGTTAATTTCGTAGAGAAGGTAATGATTTTCCGCGCATGCTTCTACATTTCACCTACTAATTTCCACGCACTTAACTCGTTTACCCAGAATATTCAATGAGATCTAGGCTATATTTTGAGGAAATACTATCGTAACAATGCCGTATCCCAACTTCAAGTTAAGTTCAAGTATGCGTTTCACAAAAAAATGTGGGGCAAGACTGCTAGGATCATTCGCCTATTGCCGACTTCCGTCGAGGATCTTCGCTTTTGGTTTTGGACCAACACGTACAAAGAAGACATATAACCAATATTTGCTCAACTAGCAAAAAAACAAATTTGACCGATACCAAAAAAAAAACCGACACCTCCCGCTACCGCCGCGGACCATCCGGGCCCATCCGGCCTCTATACCGGCGTGAACGGGGAAAAACGAAGGGATCGGCGACGATTATCACTTTACAACGTTCACAAAACACTGAAAACACTAAATCCACTCAGTGGAGACCGATTTCAAAATTTTAGGTCGATTACAACGGATTCTGTAGGGAACGAACGGAGGTTAAACCGCCGCGTGCAATGTTCCACCACAGAATCGTATCCCAACTTATTAACGATCTGTCAACGGCCATGTTGGTTGTTAAGTCGCAAGATAATGATCATTGAATAAAAATGGAATTATATATATCGCTCATACTCATTTAGGATGGTCGGATTAATATTTAGTTTTTAACCATTGACCTCGCGGCATTAAACAACTAACATGACCGATGACAGATCGTCATTAACTTTGGATGCGGCATTGTACGACAGTAATCTAGGCAAATATGGGTTAAGTGTCTGCGCATCGCAGTTTAGAAAGAAAATGGCGCAAAGTGAAGGTTGCGTGCAATTATACGTATGCGCGGAAGATCATTCTCATCTCTACGAAAAAATCATGGCCACCCGCGCATCCATTTTGCAGGATCATGTAACTTAATAGCTATATGATATGCTTCAAGTATATGAAACAGACAAGCACAGGACGTACTAAAGAGAAACTAACACTTGAGCCATAGCTATGGTTTTTGGAAGGATTCTAGGTTATAAATTTTTTTAGACAAACCGATTGTCACATAAAATTTTAGCTGTTAGTTATGTTTCGTAGCGGTTTTATCATTCTAAATAAAGCTATACTAAATTTAAAATACACAAAAATTGGAAGGACGATAAAATTCCCGAGGACAAATCCTCTTGCTCAAAGGAGTTTAATATTAAAAGCTAGTAATTATTCACCAAACTTTCTTGGAGCCAATCATTTCGCGAAAAGTTTGGCATTAAGCATACTTACATGGCTGGGGTTCACAAAAGACGATGAACAGAAGGAATCTGAACTTATTATGACCTTAAAACGTGCAGTCTTATGTACCCAAAGAGAACAATACGATATGGCGGAGCAGATGTTGCACTTAGCTTTGCGTCTCGCTCAGCAACAGCAGAATGAGCAAGGCATTCTCTATTGTTATGACTTGATGGCAAATCTAGCTTTTGATACGTACAACTTGGACAAAGCAGAAAAATTGTTTGTTAATGTGCTTCAGTTACTAATTGGATCAGGGGCATCACAAGATGATTTGCAGGTACACACTACAAGTAAACCAGGTAGGTAGTTGAATTGAGAATTGTGATTGAGTTTGTAGGTTATCCACATCAGCTTAAAGCTGGCCAGAATTTGTCAGTTGAAAGCAGATTTGGAAAAAGCTGATATAGGATATAGGTGGTGTTTAGAGCAAATAGAGAAAAAGAAAAATGAAAATGAAGATGCTCAAGTATTATTTGGTGTAATTAATGATTGGTATGCCCAATACTTACTTGATATAGGAAACAATGAAAAATCTTTGGAATACTTAAATGAAGCATACAAAGTATGTAGTGAAATACAAGGTATTTTACTTTATTGCAATAGTATAATAATAGTGCAAAAAAATCAGTGCTAATTTCCTAATTAAACTAATCTACATTTTTATTTCATTAATTCCTAACTGATAAACATCAGTTTGTGGAATAAGCTCCTTAACATTACCTTTTAATTAATTTTTGTAATTTACATCAAGTACAAACAAAACAACTCGCAAAATTGCTTTTAAACAAGTAAAAATTGTAGGTAAAAATAGTGAAAAAAGTATGCTTCTCTTAAACGATTTGGGTATCACCACATTCCGTGCCGAAGATTACACCAGGGCAGAAAAATATTTGAAAGAAGCCTTATTGATTGGTAACAGCCTAGATGATAAGACCCACGTGGGTGTAGTTCATGCTAATCTAGGACTAGTACTGTTGCAAAAAGGTGTATTGAGTGAGGCAGAAAAATATTGCAAGGGTGGTTTGCAATTAGGTAAGGTTTACGGTAAATATTTTAATCATTACTTCACATTTTATGTTGCTCACAGGTAAAAAACATGATGATCAGGAATCAGTGGAACAATCTAACTATTGCCTTGATCAAATAAAACTCAATCTAGGAATGTAAACTCTATTTGATAGTATGACAGGTTGTACAAATTAAATTAAATGTATGTAAATATGTAATTTTTGAAAAATAAATATAAAAATAATGTGTTTGCTTACTAAGTACCCCAAATCAGTTTTAGAGAGATGTTTTTCATATTTAGTCCCAGAAAAACTAATCTTTAATTCTAAGCTCATTAACTATTCAAATTCTGCAACGATTACCATCATACCAACACCTATAAGCATTGCACCAATTTGAAGCATTGTCTGTAAAACAGTGGGTTTTTCCTCATCTAACAATTCAGGAATAACGGACACTAGAGCTATATAAATGAAACCTCCTGCAGTGAATGGCAGTATCCATGTCACTGCCAAAGCTCCCGTGGCATCTTGGGCAAACAAAGATATTCCTGTTCCTGAAAAATAACATATGCCCTAGAATGTTTATTGAATATATATATATATATATATATATATATATATATATATATATATATATATATATATATATATATATATATATATATACATATATATATATATATACATATATATATATATATATATATATATATATACATATATATATATATATATATATATATATATATATATATATATATAATATAATTTTTTAGAAAATAATAAGATAGTGTTTTTCCATCAAACCCATTCCCATTATGTAGCTACCATAGGATTTTCTTTGAGATTATTTTTCCCAAGTTCACTGTCACCTTGCACTTCAAATCACCGTGCCTTGTCAAACCAAACCAACAAGGACCAATCAAGTAACAAGTTTCAGATATCCCTAATATGTTTTTTTTTGTAATACTTTTAGGTAAAAAATAGTGAAGTAATGTTTATACTAAATTATTTATACAGTGTGTTAAATATTGACAAACTAAATAAATACAGATTTGAAGTTTTGCACAGTCACAGAGGTTGATAGTTCACATTTTTTTAAATCTTGGACTGAAAGTTAAATTCTAAATAAAGCCCACTTTAAATATACGAACAGGTTATTTGAAAAAGGTGTTCTGAATATTATTCTAACCCCACATACCAAATTTCATAACAAAATTCGCATTTTTACTACTTACACCTACCTACACAAAATCATATCAATATTTTATTTTTATTTATTTGATAAACTAGTGTGCCATGAAAAGTAATAATTTGACACTTCATCATCAATAATATCAATCAGATTAAACTTTCAGTTTAATACATAGAAGTTCCATTTAGTGATCATTGTGAGCTTTTTTTCAATGAAACTGGAAGTGCTATTAAAATCGAATAACTACAAATACAAATACAATATATACATTAAGTCAGAAGATATTTCATTGGTCCCAACATCAAAAACTATAAAGCAAAGTTCTTACATACATTAAAAGAAAATGATGAGAATAAAAGATTAGATTATTATTCCTCAATGGCTAAATCAAAATTTTTTTATGCGCTTGGAAGAAACAGTCCCAAGACCAGTCTTTTAAGAAATTAGCTTTCCAGAACTTGACGAGTATGCACACAGAATTGAAAAATGTATTTGAATAAATGGAGGGCTAGTCGGGCAAGATGAAGTTTGATAAATTACCATTTGAAATGAAAATTATTGTTTTTTAATATTTTTTTAAATTACACTATTAAATTGACCATATCGTAGAGAATTTTTCTTCCATGGCGCAGTATTTTATCAAATAAAAAAATCAACTTTTAATAATTTTGTGTAAGTATTGACCAAAGTAATGAAAAAACTTTTCTAATAACTATTTCCGATATCTCAAACACGAAACAAAATATCAAAAATTGGCCCTGTTTGTCATTACACAGTAAGTCGCTTTTAAAATTTAAATTACAGTTGAGTCTGTATGACTATGAAAAACTTCAAATCTGTATTTATTGGGATAGACAAATGGGACTGTCTTTATCTTAAATGCACACACTGTATAATAAGTTAGTTGGATTAGGCTGGACAAGTCAACTAAATACACATTTGTCTTGCTCAATCTGTTATTTGACATTTTATATCAGGTTCTACCCATAATTTCTAAAATGTTATTCAATGTTTACCTGCGACAGCTCCTAGCGCAGTAGTCAGTTGCAACAACATAGCATTTCTTCTTGAAACACCTGACTGTAACAAAATAGCAAAGTCTCCTATCTCATGTGGCACTTCGTGCAATAATATTGTTATTGTGGTTACAACACCAACAGTTCTACCAGCTAAATAGGAAGACCCAATAGCTAGTCCATCGGTAAAATTATGACTAAAGTCAGCAGCTAAATTTAAATAGCCCGCCACTTTAATTTCCTGAGACTGATTTTCTGCTATAACACTCTTATCGCTAGTGGACTTTTGATTATTTTTGTTAGGCTGTACGTGAGAATGGCTATGAGATCCCTTCATTATCCTTACAAATTTTTCAACTAGAAGGAACACGACAATACCTGCTAGCACCCATAACCCCACAGACATGTCATGGACATGACCCCCGTCTTCATGACTGTGACTGTGGCTGTGAGTATGAGAAACTTCCTTGTTTTCATTAGCCATGGTAGAGTGAGGAATTAAATGAAGAAATGCGTCACCCAGCAAACCGCCTGAAGCAAAAGCCAACAAAATTTTTAATTTTGGCTGCTCTTTATCACTCCTATCAATTGGTAGGAGAAACAAAATAAAAAATGGAGCAGCGCTTATTAAAAGTGTGGAACCCATAGCATATAGCCATAACTGATCACTATCTGCTCTTTGTGTGTTGTGTTTATTTTGCGGAGATTTGCTTGAATTTTCTTCTTCGCTGCCTCTTTTTAAATTGATTTCATTCGCAGCTTTCGAGTACTTAAAGGCTGGATTTGATTCAAAATCGTCATGTTCATGTTGCTGCGATCCGTGAGAATGACCATGACTTTTTGTTAATTTTATATGAAAAATAAACAGAAGAAACACTAAAATCACATAGTTCCTTCTATACATGGTAATTTATTGTTAAATTCAAAATTTTGTAAAAAGGAAATTACATTAACTTAGCTAAATTACGTGTCATATTTTATAGGTTAGGGTTGGAAAATGCTGCCATATTTATGCTGCGTTCGGTACACACAAGTCATAGACAACTATTGGTTGGTTAGTTTTGGTTAGTGAGACAACGGCCTCTGAAGTTAAAATACAGCTCACTCTTCAGCACACTGTCTGGCATTCCAACGAAAGGCTGAGGTTCAAGATACAACGTTACCGCCGTATCCTGGGCTAGTCTACTTGAAGACACACTTTGTGCTTTTCATCCCGTGAAACTCTAGTGCATCAAAATAATATAAAACAAAAATAAGTTAACTTGCTCACTAGATGACATTAAGAAGAATTTTATTCATTTTTTTTATTCGCAAATCCTTTACTAATTGCACATTTCTTCGTTAGTGTTTTAAGAAATCACATGAAAAATTTTCTTTAAGTTATAGTTTTTATAAATGAATATATTCTGATATTCTGAAAATTATCCTACATTTAATGAAGGCAAAAATATGTTGATCCACGTAAATAATGTATCATCGATGTTTTCACTAAAAAACAACTTTTTGCTTTTTATTTCTAAATCTAAAAATAACGAACCCTGTCAGTTTTAGGTTTTTCTTAATAATAATAATAATAATAATAAAAAAATGGAACTGGGAAACAACAAAAAGATCAAAGCCTAGTCCGAATTCTGAAAAATTGCGATATATCTATAGCGGTTGAAGTTAAGGTCAAAACGTGTTCAGAAGACCATTATATACATGAGCATGCGCGATTCATTTTAAAACTTGCACTCAATCGATAAGACTTTGAGATGTTCATAGATCAATATGGCCGCTCACAGTCAAATTCCCTTCTCTACGAATATGTCATAGCTACCCAAGGGGCCTTAATTTGATAGCTATCTTTTATTTCTCCAAACGATTTGGCAGTCAGAACGGCGCGGGTCTGAAAATCAACATTTGATAGTCTGATTATGGTTATTCTAATACAAAAAAATGATATTGAAGTCTAAAAATAAACTAAACAATATTTGCCGTATTCAGGATAGATTATATTAAAATGAGATATTTAAATTTGCTTTGGCCGATTTGTTATAAATAATTTAATATAACACTTTTATATTATTCTATTATTCCTTTAAGGCAGCGTTTTGTGCAGTTTTTTGTCCAATTTTCAAAAAATGTATAAATATTTTTGATAAAATTTGTTCCATTTTTAAACATTAAACAAATTGTTCTACTCCCTTCTCTAAAATAGTCAATTCATGTCCGTTTTCTAGAGGTGTATATTACCCACGGATTACAAAAATGTACCCAAAAACTAATGGTCGTAGAAAAAGAATAGCATGCAATACGTATTCTAAACTTTTCAAGTCAAATATACTCCTGATTCAAATGCCGTTTACATTTTGCATAATATACAATTGTACAAGTATGATTCATAAACTATAAAAAAATGTTAAACGACATTAGGTGCCATTTCTTTAGTGTCCGATTGTTTTTTTCTGCCATATTTCGCTTTTATCTTCTTGATCAACTAATAGAAGTTTATTATTGTTAAAATGGAAAAATGTTTTATTGCTAATGTATAAAAAAGTTGTTCTGTTTTTAAATGCTTAATTCCATAAAATTATAAAAACGGAGTATTTAAAGTTGAGAAAAATAACTTTTAAGTTTTTGTTTACTCTTATATCAGAAAACGCCATCAGGGGGCACGCAAGCTCACTCACTAACGCAAGTAATAGTCAAGTAAAAAGTCTTTTTAACGATTTATTAAAATACATTAAGTCATTGGGAGTTATCGACATTTATTTCTAAAAATGTTGGAACAATAAAAAAGATTTGGATTTGACTCAAACTTAACTATGGTTAACATCAGAAAGTTTTGTAGAAACTAAGTTTTAAATTTCAAAATAACAGTTTGCGCACTCTGGTCGTACATAATATATTTCTATCGTAGTTCGTTTCTCAAAAACCGTACCCCGTTGCTGTTACTGGAACATCAGGTATTAAACAACAACAATTAACAAGCTATTAAACTGGTAGGTAATTAAAATGACGATTTTGCATAAAATTGGAACACATTTTGAGAAGAAATTGTTGAACAATTGGGGTTGATTTGGCTAGCAACTGCTCCCGTTTAAGCTGACTTGTCTTCGTTTTTTGTTTTTTTAAACATTTTTTATACATATTTTTTTCTTTTCCCTCTTCTGATATACGCAGTTTTGCATTGTTCAAGCGTACGCAAAGGGACAGTTCCAGAGTTATGTTTCGAGAGCCACTTCGGTCATTTCTGGTATTTTAGTCATGGGTCTAGATGTTTTCAGTAGATTTTAGCCAAATTTAATTTAACGTTTGTCAGTTCTCATAATCACGTCACACCTCACTCAGTAAATGTACTTATGCTGTTTTGCAAAAATGTACCTAAAAACTGATAGCCTTAGAAAAAATATAGTATGAAACACGTTGACAAACTTCTTCAGTCTCGTTTATTAAGCACTTGTTACGCTGGGCTGCGAGTCACGAGTTTGATTTGTTTTCAGTGTTTAAATAATGGAGAGCCATCATTTAATGAAAATCATCGATGTACACTTACACGCCTTTGAAACCATTAAGAACTTCTTGAAACATACTATGGAAAATTCTGGAATTGGAACGAAGTATATAAATATAACAATTGAATATTTTCATGTACTTCGGGCCTCCCCCCCTCATTTTTAAATAAATATTTTTTAATGGTCCTGATTTAACTAATAATGTTTTATTGGAGTACATATTCATCAAAACTATGAAAAAAGTTAAATATATTCAATTCCAGGAGCCTTGATGCTAACAGTAACTAACAAAGCGCAACTTTATTTCATATTATTTCGTTTTATTGCTGCCTTTCTATTCTTGGAATGAAGTAGGTAACATATACAACTAAAGCTAAACCAAAACAAACTTAAACCAAAGTTTCGTATGGTATCGTTTTTTATTTTATGTTTGATTTAAAATTAAACGGCTGCACAAAGAAGTTAATTATTTAAACAATGATTTTTTATATAGGTTTACTTAATACAATATGCATCATCTGAAAAATCGTCACTATAATTTTCGAAATTTTGATAGTCATTAAACAAGTCTACATCCTCGGCGGAATTCTCTCTACTGCGATTCCTCGAAACAGAACTGGTGTTTTTAGATCCATATCGTCTGTCGGATGTATCGTTGCTATTAAGAGATTCGCTCTTATTTGAACGCCAAGAAAAAAATGACTTTCCAGAGGTGTTGCGATTATCGCAACGACACGTGGTAGATGATCTCTCGAAACTCACTCGCATTTTTCCACCCAATCCTAATCTTCTCAGTAACCGCCGCTTATTCATTTTGAACTTGTGGGTAATGTCTCTGATGAAGCAAGTAGGACCGTCTCTAATAATTAAAAACAAGTTATAGGTTACCTGAATATACCATAACTTTTCTTACATATAAAGTTCATAATTAATTTGTGTAAGTTTAGTTGGTATAAGTATGGTTTCTGCAATTTATCTATTTAAATTTTACAAGAATATCGAACTTGAAGTGAGGTAGCTTTTACTTGTTGAAAATCCATTTAACAAAATAAATAAGAACTAAAATTATATCTTTTCACATGACAATTGTTTCGACAATACCGTGCCTTTATCAAATGTAATATTTACAAACTGCCTGCTACTATACATACCGAAAAATGACAATAAAACTTTAATTAATATTGTTTTGAGAATTTGAGTTTAATAATGGAGAGGTATTTAAATCTAATTGATCATTAAGCAATACATTTGAATGTCTCATTTTCTTAATCTCCATGGCTTCTTTTCTACTTTTGATAGCTGTATGTAAAATATCAAACTTGTCGGCAAAAATGTGTTTTTCTGTGTTTAAGTGTATAGTATAATTAGAATCTAGACTATTGTTTTTAAACGCTCTTTTATGTTCGTTGGTGCGTTTCTTGAAGGATCTAGGGTAAAAGTGGGATAGATGCCCACCTGTAAGCTGACTATAACTTTTTTTTTAAAGCACTATTCGAGTGAGTTAACTATTTGTAACAACAATAGTCCTTACACTTATTATCTACTCATATCATCATTCAATGCATACCGTAGATTTGTAGATATTCGGCTCTAAAAAAAACTTATTGTTTGAGGATAGACGCCTACTGTATGGGGTAGTTGCCCCTGGCAAAATTTCGACCTGAGTATAGATGCCTTACAATGGGATAGATGCCTCCGTAATAAAGAAAAAAATTCGTAGAAAATTAAATAAAATGTTTATTTGCTTTCTTAGTTGCAATAATATATTATAAGGTTTTCTTATCCAAATATACCGTAAAACTAAAGTAAATGGCACTTTTATAGGAACAAATGGCTCAGTCTTTCAATCATTTTTTGGGTTAACTTAGCAACTTAACAAGGTCTATTAAAAATTATTTAAAACTTTACCGAACTAAATTTAGGAATAATAAAACTTAAAATAAATCCGTCCCTTAGGACTTCTTTGGAAAAAAACAAAGCTTCCTTCTTAAAAAAAAGTAACAGTAATCAATATTTTCAAATAATCAAAAAATATAGAGATACTGTTTACTTTGGCCAGGTTACTTATTCTTTGAATTCACTTTGGCCAGGTTAGCTTTTAGAGCTGCAAGCTTCTTCTTGTGCCCACATATATTACAGCAATCGCCATATAGAGTGCAATCTTCGTGTAACCAGAGTTTACACATCAGGCACTGAATCCAGTCCGCCGTGGACTTGGTACTTGCATAGTCATCGAAACATTCTCTGCATTGAGTATTTTCTTTATAAGATTTAGTCTGGTCAGAATCTGATTGATCGAACTCTTGTTCACTTTTAGAGCTAAACCTCGGTTTTTTCTTCTTGTTGATCAGGTTTATCGATCAAATCATTTTCAGTTAGTACTTTTAGCAACAATTTAAACATCTCGATTTAATCCTTGAGCCCTTGTAATAGACAAACCTTCTGTCTGGCGAATACTGAGTTCTGGGTGTCGGTCAAGAAATGATTTGAGCCAGTGCTGACCGGCCATATGTGTCTCTTTGTTAAAAGAATTTTCCAAACCCAGTTTCTCGGCAAATTCAAAAGCGAGTCTTCTTACATCCTGTCGTGTTGTGGAAAATCCTGCCTTTTCTAATTTTTGTATGTGCGCTACGAGACGTTTCTCGTTGTCAAAGTCCAGTGTGGGGTATTTTCCTGAAAAAGAAGAAATTAATAGGTACAGAAAAAAAACTGAGGATTCAAAAAGGACAAGTATGAAAAAACAAACTAGGAAGACGGTGCCTAAATTAAATTTGATTAGGGCAATTTATTCCTCTATTAAGTAAGTAAGTTTTTCACAGCTTTTTTTAGCATATCGCCTCCTCAAAGTTCGAGATGGAATACCATAACGACGAGATATTTCATTTACACCGACTTGGCCTTTATCCATTTCCCCAAAAGCTTTGCAAAGGGCTCCTTCAGACCAAGTAGCACGAACGGGTGCCCCAATTTTCCTTTTATATTTTCGCGGCATTTTGTCTAAAATAAAAAATGAAATTAGGTGATACGCTGCATTATTTTTTACAAGTACAGTGAAGTACGACATGTAAAGGAATAAACAGCTCATAAATAAACTGGAAAGTCAATTTTCCTATTAACTTGCATATTAACTAGATAGGTTATCTAAAAAAATCTTACCTATAGCCTAAGTACCTGTGAATAAGTCAAAGAGGATATATGCCTCTAAGGGCGTCTATACTCAGTCAATAGTGGGGCCTCTATCCTTTTTAGTAGGGATAGACGCCCCAGCAAATAAATAAAAATACTTAAATAATTTCGTAATTTTATAAACACACCATAAATATAAATGATACATACTATTTAAATAACAATACACACTTAAAATTTACCTTCGAAAACGAAAGTTCTGAAGACGTCAAAATGTCACTGTCACAACAATCATGCAAGCGCGGTAAAATTTTACAAGCGGCGACACGTGCAGTCCTGTCGAAACGCGTGCGCAGACTGTGCTGTGCGGAGCGAGGTTTGTCCGAGGAACTTGGTACTAGAGCGTGAACTTGGTTTTAAATTCTCTTTTTTTAAGGTGCGGCGTCTATCCTCCAAGGGCGTCTATCCCACTTTTACCCTACCTGTTTGTCCAATATAAATTTTAGGACAAGATCCGCATTTCAAAATTTAGACACCTGATTTTTGATTTTTTGGACATTTCGTTTTATTGTTTTTTAAAAATTTTCCTATTGTATTGTTAGTTCTGAAAGCTATTTTTAAATCACATTTTGACAAATGTTTTGACATTTTTTCACTGGGTTCTCCTATGTATGTAATAATTTTTAATTGTTCGTTTATTAAGTTTCGGATAAATAGAGTTTACTGTTCCCTGGATTTGTTTTTTATTTTTAATTTTATCGATAATGGATGGATTGTAGCCGTTGTTCAGTGTTTTTTTTTAATGATATTAAGTTCTTTGTTGTAATTTTCTGTTGAGAGTGGCATATTAAGAAGTCTGTGTATAAAAGAGTGATATGCAGCCATTTTGTGTGTATAAGGCCCGTTTCGACCTGTACTTAGTCAGGTGTAGGTCCTTATTAAAATATTACTTTAATTGAAAAAACTCCTAAAATGACAAAACCGATCTGTAATGATGTTAGAGGACAAGGCGAATAATTATTAAATTTTTAAAAAATTTTAATATTATGAATTAGTATGAAAAAACGTATGTTTTAAAAATATTTTTAATGCATTATGTATAATATTAGTATATTATAATCTAATATATTTAATAATATATTTTTTTGCAAATTAGCTAGTTAGTTTGAGAACATAATGTAACATATGTACAGGTAAGAGTGGGGATTTTTCGAAAGGAGTAAGGCACTGATCTGTCTATGATATTCAAAAAGTGTTAAATATTGCAGTTCATACAAACAGATAATAAAACATATTTCGTGGATGTGAGATTTGCTTTTAGGTCAAGAGTTAATCTTTCGAATAATTTTTCTAATTCTGTTATTTATATTCAATACTCTTTTTAATGTTAATTTTTAATAATAATTAAATGTTTGTTTTAGTGATCAAGTGTCACTTTGCTCAATCCCATTCGAGCGTTTTCGGTGCTTTATTCGCCGATTGGAAGCGATAGAATATTTTTGCTAGATACTTAAAAACCTGATGGTATTTTAATATTTGTCAGTTCTGATGGTTCTGAGTTCATTCCGGTATTCAGCGGAAGACGGGAAGCATCAAAGTAGGTATAGGCATTTATTGCAGACAATACCTTAATAATTTTACAGGAAACTTTACTTTAGTCTTTTTGTTTCGATTGTTAAGTGAAGTAATTTAAGTGGTAAAGGTAAAAATTATCAATCATTACACAGAAAGTGCTCACTATTACACAATAAGACAGAATTTATCCAAATCAAAACGAAAAAACATTGTAAATTATTTTTTTACAACTTACCTCAATGTCCGCATATCAATAACTCTGGTGGCATGTAAACTGGCCACTAAAAAACTTGAGCTCAAAGCATAACTGATCAGATATCCAGCGGCCTCGCCCTTCAACCAGTCACATAATGTCTCGCAAACCCAGTCTCCCTGGGCAAGCATCTCTTCCAATTCCTCTGACAATCTGAACAATAAGTTCAACAAATTAAGCTCCAATGGAAACCAGAAGTCGATGATTAGGCTCTCCATTATAAATTGCGCTATTAGGAACTGAAAAATGAATATAAATGCGAGCTCCCTATGCTGACGATCTGCAGTTACCTCAAAAAAAAATTGCGCTCGCCCCAACTTCCGGATGTTTCTTGGATAAATTCTAACGCTCCACAACAAAAGAAACAGAGACAATATGAAGATGTACAAAGACATTAGGGGTCCGTTTCCAATCACCCTCGGCACCCGAAAGATTTGAATTCCTGCCGCATTTAGACCGGAAACGGTCAGGGACGCCCAGAACATACCCATGTAACATTTACTTGAATTTAAGGTGCTGGGTTCCGAAAAAAATTAAAAACGCACCAACAAACTGGGTTTGTCAAACTGACATTCTTGAATAATTAATGTCATTCATATGCGCCTGGTAAACAGTTTTTGATAACAGGCCAACATTTTTAGGTGTGCTCCGCGGTACAGGGAAAAACGGACAAAAATCATAGTTTTGCCAAAAATTTAATTAAGTCAAATATGACATGTTTTTTTAAATACAACGCGAATCCATATAACTAACCTAGTAAATTAAGTTTAAACTCGACCTTTACTTAGCTTAAAAAAAAAAGAAACTTTTTTAAAATTTCTACACAGTTCCATATTATTAAGGAAGGAACCATTTGTGTAGGTTTAAAATAGATTTCAACTGACATGAAATATAAAATTAGATATGGGAAATTTTTGCAGGTTCTTAAAAATCATTTTGTATATATTTTCTCCAAATTATTTAATCCTCTTTCCGTTGTATTTTAGGAAATTCCAAGGATAAGCAATATATGAAATACCTTAAATATAAAAATTCAGGTGTCAATTGTATCATTTCTATTACTCTTGGATTGATACAACAAAAATCTCAAATTTAAACAATTAAAAATTAAGTAATATAAGCACAACATATAAAACAAAAATGAATTACAACATATTAAAATAAGAAAACCTATCTATAATTTATGTTGGCTTTATCAATATTTCTTATTAGTTGTAAGTTAGCTGGAATCATCAAAATCGGAGGAGCATAATTCACTTAGATTAATTTTATGATCATCAGTTTGGGAATTTCTAGAAGTAAAATGATATGCAAATTAAATTTAATCAAATGTGCCAATCAAATATATATTATATATTCTCTGCTGCAATTGAAACAAATAAAGATCTTTAACTATTTAGTTAACCCATTTCAAGCATTAGTGAATGATTTTATGAAAGAACCGATATATTATTAATAACTCTTTACCTCCATACCACATGAGAGATTCGCCAGAAGTGGTTCCGATTATAAGAGGAACTTGGTTAAAATTTCCGGATTCCAAAAAGGGCAACGCTAATTCGGTGACGTAAGCATCTTCATCTTCCACTTCGATCACGGGACCAGACTAGAAAGGCGTAAAACGTGTTCGTGTAAAGCGCTTGCAAAGAGAAAATTCGAAATAAATTGCCGTAATTTTTGCTATTTGTTATAGAAGTTTGCTTGTTTTTCAAGAATGACTCTGGGGCGGTAGCATAAAGCGCAAAGTTAAAGAGAACTGCTAAAAATAGAGAAAAAGCACAACCAATAAATTTGAAAATATAGGATTGCAGCCTTCTTATTTTTATTTGTAATACTATTGTTTTTATAAATTCCTTAACAGAACAAAGTACTTTTTACAAAACTTCTGGATTCCTCGTGCTTCGGTTTTTGTTGAGTCGAACTCGCTAACATTTCGTTAATCATCCTGTTGGCTTTTTCAGAGCTTGACTGAAACTGGCTCGCATTTTTCTCTCTACCTGCCTATATATTGTTTGAGGGTGGCGGAGCTAAAAGAGTAAAACATCGTCTCGGATGACTGATTCTCATATTGACAGGTAAAGCGTGAGTCATGGTTGCTTATAGATTTCTATAGACTCTCGGATTTTTGAGAACGAAATAGTAGGTATTTCTTCTAGCAATTTTGATCCCGCTAACCAAACAACTTTTTCGTGTTACACACACACAATGTGTTTGAGGTCACATCTATATAAACCGCCTAATAAAGCTTGTTATTTGCAAGTACGAAATATTTCTTTTTGTTTTTAATTATTGAGATGGTAATTATTTTAGGTTATTATTTAATGTTGAGGTAATTACATCAATAAACTCGCCCATTTTTATTAGTACCTACTTACTTCATTAGGGTTCACGTTAAATCCATCTACTAACAAATCGACAGGCTGAGTTTGAAGGAAATCTTTTATTTCAACGGTGGTATTTTTCTCTGAAATTGAATTGCGAACCCAATTCAATCTTGAGCAAAGCACATCCGCTTTGGCATATGGCTGCTCGATATAATCCTAAGCAGAGAGATAGCATGTTACTTCTACAATAGTATTGGCGATATTGAAGAGGTAATTTACATTACCGGCAGACATTTTGTTGACGATGTGAGCTCCAACAGATACAACTCCAGCATTTTCGCCGAATATAGTCACTTTTGCTGGATCATCACCAAAATATTTGATATTTTTCTGAGTCCACTTTAAAGCAAGCAACTGATCTTTGAAGCTCACATTGTCCAGTACAACATTATCCCCGGTAGACAATCAACTGAATACTCCTGATCTGTAGTTAACTACTATCACGCCTTTGTTTACTTATTTATTAGGAGTTAGCACTATGTCTGTAGCACATCCTATCTTCATTCCAACTCCGTATATAGAAAACTTTACGGGTAATAGTTCAGTATTGTGGAAATGTATGTATTGATTAGTTTTTGTATATATTTTCTTAAAAACAAATTTTAGAATAGCATTTCGCTTTACAACTACTTTACTACTTTCTACAAAGGAATCCCCCCAGATATCGATAATCAGAATTTAATAGTTATAACAACAAAAATATGGAGAATATGAAGAAGTCAACTGCATAAGGATGTAGAAGGCAAGAAGAAACCACTACATTAATGATCCGCATGGATTTCTCTAATACAATCACCATGGCTGTGAAACAACAACCTAGTTCAACTCTACAAACGGTAAGGTATATTTTTCTATAAATAATGAAACTTATTATAGAAATGGAGGTGCAGTTGCAGTTGCAACGTTGTGTCATCAGTTTTCAGTTTTGCTCCTATACCAGACAGAATTATGCTATTACAACTTAAAATAAATACGATCAAGCTCAATATTATAGAGGCATATGCTTCCACAGCTGACAAGCCCGATGATGAGTTCGAGCTGGCTTACGAAAATATAAACTCTAATGTTGAAAAGGGTAGGCGCGATGGATATGTCGGCAAATATGAAATAGGAACAAAAAATGCAAGAGGCGACAGACTAGTAATTCTGCCTAGAGAAAAATTGCACAAACACAAACATCTTATCAAACTTCCTATGTACATGGAAATCCCCACAGGATAACAGAGAGAGACTAGTAAGAAATCAGCTTGATTACAAGGCATCACGACGGCAAATACGACATAAAATTAGAGTAGCAAAAGAAATTCTGTACAGAAAAAAGTGTGGAGAAATAGAAGAATTGCAACAAAAATATGACAGCTTCAATATACATAAAAAAGTGAAGAACTCACGGGATTACAAAAACGGATTCGACCCAATACATTATACGACACAAACGACAATTTCATAATAGATACAGAAGAAAAACTATAAACGTGAATAAATTATGTGGGAGTTCATTTCTAAAATCATAGACAAAAAGTTGATCTTGAACATATGGAAAGAGATGAAGGTCCTCAAATAACAAAGGAAGAAGTCTTATATGCAGTGAATACGCTGAAGATCAGAAAACCACCATGAACCTGTGTTAGTTGCATCTAAAATACTCTCCCATGGTTCCACAGGTATTGGGGCCTGATGGTAATCTTATAAAATTTACCGGAAAAATAGTTTGATAAAATCGTTATAGTATACTATAAGTAAATTATCGTCGATGATAGGTTAGACTGAGGAGAAGGAAAAATATGTCTTCGAATTGAAGTTTTTTTTTTGAGTTTGAATTGAATTTGAACAGAAGAATTATAACATGGTATTTTAAGTACTTGACAGAAGCAACAGACCTAGATATTTGGTACTGGTACAAATTCTCTTTCATTAATTTTTTGTAAATTTTAAAAGTTTTTCAATTCTAGCGGACGGAAAAATGTGGCAAAAGGTTATTCATTACATGGTATCACTGCACCAATCTTTATTGATATAAAATTTAGAAAACCCTTAATAATATTTTAAAATCCTATAAAGGGCTGTTTGCCGTATTTATAGAATGTATCGTTCCACATGGCAAACTCGTTAGCTTTCCTTCCGTGTTTAAGTTCTAGAGTCGTGTCGATGTCTAAATACTGAATGTCCGTAGACGAAACTGGCAGCCAAGTCACGTTAAGGAGCGGATCTGATTCATCAGGGGTGGGATTTCTACAACAAACAAATGATTCCAGAGATCACCGAAAACAACTGACTTACAGGGTCTTCGCGAAGTTAGTCCACAGTCTGACCAGCCTGTCTGCGGTCAAGGCGTCGTCTTCGCTCAGTGGCAATGGTAATATTGACAGTTCAAAAATATAAAAAATGTCTTCAGCGTGCGATACATTTCCAGTCCCTGTGTAAAATCATAATTTACTTTACCGAGAATGGCGCATTGCAGTGGACATAATGTTTCAAGAGAACTAATTATATAGATTATTACAAAGTCGATGACTTCTTAAAGGGATCTAAAAAAACTGAGGGAGATATGATCAGACATAATGTTTCAAGAGAACCAATTATATAGATTATTACAAAGTCGATGACTTCTTAAAGGGATCTAAAAAACTGAGGGAGATGTTATCATGTTTGGATGCAAACATAGAAGGCTGCGGTATACATCTTAAAAATATTCTCACTTTTGCAGTATTGCCAGATCTACCTTAAATTCATAACATCTGTAGAATTTTAAATAAAACACCTTGTAGCTTATTTAACTAATCTGAGTATAATTCTGAATTTACTTCACCTACAAGCGGCGTTTATAGACAATTGTTGTTGATTTTAGATAGTAGAAGTTAGATGTACGAAATATATTTGAAATTGTGCGTAGCTCGCAAAAAATGGGCCACTAAGGTAGTTTCAAAAAATTTAATAATAATAATAGATAATAATAATATAATAAATTGAATATGCAATACATACATACTCACCTTCGACCTTAATGTGTGTAAGGCTAATAAGACCTTCATAGGAGAATTCGTAAAAGTAGACAGGTGAGTATTTCGATTGGAGTTCCGCTTGCTTTAATGACGATGTTACGAACATTGTGTCACTGTTATACTGAAATATGATACTGGAGTTATATTGTTTCATGTACCAAACGCTTGTTTTGCTCCACCTCGATAATGGCTCCAAAATTTTTTGAAAAAGTTCCGGATTTGCCTACGTAGGCTTCTTTGATTATATTTCCAACTTCATTCCATTCGACACCATCTAAGGGTATCAGACTGTAGGGTATCAAGCTACTGCTGTTGGTATCATATTCTAAAGCAGTTTCGGCAAGTATATCCCAGTCTTAAACAAATCGTTAAAAGAAACAATGATGTCTTCAGAATTTATAAAAAAAAGATAAAATCATTTCAAATGTCGAATCTATCCTAAGCAAACTGCCATCTCAAACATCTAATGACATTTGATTTGAAAACTCAAAAATCCTTAAAAATCAAAACCTCCTAAATCTAATATTTCATTATCCAAAAATCTCTAAAATCTAATCGCGACATCGTAATCCTAAAAGTAAGATAAAGGAAATGCTAAATGCTACAGTGGTCATGAACACAAATAAATATCAGGAAAAGATTCAAGATGTTCTTACAAATGGATCATATTGGCAAATTAAAAAACATCCTAGGTCATCTATGGAACGCAACCGTCTCTATTAGATTCCGTGAAAAAGTCTGTCACCCCTCATGACTCTAAAATTTCTCATCTTTACTAAGATTCATAAACCAGGACCTTCGACCTATTGTCAGCACCATTGGTTCTCCAACATATTCTCCAGCAAAATATTTAGCTTCTTTATTAAAACTGTTTACAGGGAAAACTGATAATTTCATACTCAATTTATTTCACTCCATTTCACTGTTTTGCACAATTAAATAGCATTGCATTAGATACATAAATTATTCTGGTTAGTTTCCGATGTAGAATCCCTCTTTGCCAAAGTTCCTATTCCTGAAACTCCCAACATCATTTCAGATATATTAAAATCCGAGATTCTGGAACCAAACCTTCTGACCTTAATTGAAAAATGCTTGTCTATAAACGTCAAATTTTTGAACAAACGTCGGAAACAGCTATTGGTGCTGGTTCTCCATTCTCATCATCAGTCATCGCGAATATATTTATTTATGGAAAAGCTACGTCGACTATACTTTTGTTATTTAGCCCCATATTCAAGAATCCCTAGTAGATTTTCTTAGGCATTTAAACACTTTACCTCTGCTCTTCTCTCTTATAATTTCCACATTTAAGATATTCAGCGTTCCATCACATAATATACTTCGATAGCAAGGAGCCCGAAAGCAATCCCATACTTGCCACTGTTGTCCTTCCTTTCATTCAAAACATCACTGACCACATATCAAAAGTTCTAAAGAAATATAAGTTCAAAACCAGATTTACCACTGGTCCAAGAGATGCCAGGAGTTTACAGTATTCAGTGCATATGAGAGACCGGTCGAAAAATATCAACTAGAACTAGAATCAAAGAACTAGAATAGAACTAGGCTAAAGACTAAGATGCATAAACTTATCAGCAGTTGCCGAACACATTCACGAAACCGGAAATTTTATTCCATAAAACTAAAAATCTTGCATGTAATCAGTTCTTCTACCAACGAAAAATCCGTGAGTTTGTAGAAACTTATAAGCAACTCAGGTCTTTACCTGCACCAATGGGAATCAGTCATTCATGGCGATGTTTATGCGCTTCATTTAGCTCCGCCCCCGCAAATAATATATAAGCAGGTACAGAGTAAAATGCGAGTCAGTTTCAGTTAAGCTCTGAAGAAGCCAACAGAATGATTCGCTAAACTTTAGCAAGTTCGACTCAACAACCGCCGAAGCAGGAGGAATCCAAAAGTTTTGTAAGTATTACAGTAGCCTATGGAAGTTTCTTTGAAAAAAATTTATAATCTATTTGTTCCATTTTACTAAAATTTCCGTTGCAAAAAACTAAACAAAACTAACACTCGGCATTTTGCCATAAGTTAAGTCGTTTAGGTAATCACGAATTATATGAAAGGAATAAGAAATTAGTTTTGGTTAGTTACCTCCATAAAACATGAGAGATTCGCCAGAAGTAGTTCCGATTATAAGAGGAACTTGGTTAAAATTTCCGGAATCTAAAATGGGAAAAGCTAGTTCGGTGACGTAAGCATCCTTATCTTCCACTTCGATCACGGGTCCAGACTGAAAAACCATAGAACGTATTGATATAAGGGGCATGTAGGGATGCACATTCGAATGCAACTATTTCGCGTATGTAACTATAAATAGCACAGGACAATTTCATAAAAGGCAAAGTTGAAGAAAACTGTCATAAATAAAAAAAATGGAATTAATACATTTAAAAATGTAGTATTACAACCTTTGTTTAAATATTTTTTGGTTTTAGGAACACTTTAATGGAACGGAATAAAAGAAATTTCTTTTTGCGAGTTTAAACTTACGGTGAATTTATCACATTCCAAAAGAATGTTACTTGGTCTAGTCAGTTGTTACCCTACTAGAATTATATATTATAATAATAGATAAAAACTCAATAGCTTTGGTTAGTCGTTGCTACCTCCAGAATTTACGCATTAAATTTTATTTGAGTCACATGTCGCATCCTGTACGATAAATGAATCAGTTGGCTCTTAATTGAAACAAATTAAAAAGGAAATAGAAGCTACTTACTTGAGGGTTCGCAAAGAATGCTTGCGTCAGTACATCGGCAGGCTGACTTTGAAGAAAGTCCTTTATTTCAGTAGTGGTATTTTTCTCCGAAATAGTTGCATCTATAGATTTGGCGATATCGAATGTAATTTGTTTGGGGTTGTCTTGCGATTCAGGTGAAAATTTAAGCAAAGAACATCCGCTTTGGCATATCGCTGCCCGATATAATCCTTAACACACACATTGATTTTAGAATTCGTATTAGACTAAAGCGAAATTAATTACCGGCCGACTTTTTGTTGACGATGTGAGCTCCGACAGATACACCTCCAGCACTTTCGCCGAATATGGTCACTTTTTCCGGGTCACCACCGAAATACTGAATATTTTTTTGTGTCCATTGTAAAGCTAACAACTGATCCTTGAAGCCGGCGTTGCCTAAAATTACATTATCTCCCGTGGACAACCAACCATAACCTCCCAATCTGTAGTTGGAGGTAACTATTACCACGTCTTCATTTACTAATTTGTAAGGTGATAGAAATGCATCTGTGCTGCATCCTGATATAAAACCACCCCCGTATATCCAAAACATTACGGGCAATTTCTCGGTATTCTGAAAATTTGTTAACTGTGGATTTAAACATAAATAAATTATACTTAACTATTAGAAGTAAATAAGTTATATGAGGAGCATAACCGCTCAAATATTTTTTGAAAGCATTCCAGATTTTCCTAGGTACGTTTCTTTGATTATATTTCAATCTGTTGGTATCACATCAGTCTTAAAACAATCGTTAAAAGAAACAGTGACAAAAGACTTTATAAAAAATTGCAATTTCTGAAATTATATTTACCCTTAAATTAATTTTTGTTTATATTTCTTTGTGATTGCGACTAAAATTATTATTGTTCAGTTCCTTGACCTCTATTGGGATGAACTTGTGTTCTATTTTTGCCAACAACGTAAAAAATGCAGTAATAACTTCCCTAAGTAAAAACTAAATCTTTCACTTACGTTTAGTGTGGGTGTGTAGACGTTAAGGTTCAGGCAATCTTCTTGTTCGTTGAGCCCCGAGCTTGTCACATTTTTCATTTCAATGCAACACGGCCCTGAATTCTTTGCATCTAAAACGCCTTCCCACGGTTCCACCGGCACTGGAGCCTGATGGTACCATTATTATTATCTTTTATTTTTTACCCAAGTGTTTAAGGTGTTAGTTTCACAAAAACACATTTTATGCAGGAATGAGACATTTTTTACCTGAAATCTTAAGTTTCCCAAAGGAGCTTTTGCGAATGGGATTCCTCGGGAGGCGTATATGGTTTTGTTCCTAAATGTAAGTTCAGTGCCTCGAATTTTGCCATTTGTCGTATCGACTATAAAGTCTGCAAACTAAAACCACAAAAGACTATATTTTTATTCCATAGTTTCTTTCGGATCGACTACTTACCGCAGATGACAAAAATGAAACAATCAGTAGCAACTGCATGATATTTACTACTCAGATGTGTTTATAACAATGGTTCAGATGTTCAATCTGGGTTTAAATAGTAGTGTGAAGAATGTATCATTATTATCATCACAGATACATATTTTGAAGTGTAAAAATTACTGATTTTAATTGAGGTGATACAGGGTATTAAAAAAATATTTCATTTTGATTATATGGTCTAGTTTTTTATACCAACCGATACAGGCTCGGTTAAATGGTGTGTACTTAGATGCATAATGTCCTGAAGCAACCAAAATTGAATTGTAAGTGTATGGTGGTGTTCAAATGATTTCTGATAAAATTCGTTTTCAGCCCTACAATTTTTGAATATATTTTTTTTAGTTGGAAATAAATGTGCTAGGAAGGAAATACAAAAACAAAAAACTTTATTTTACTGAAATATCCCTTAGACCACCTCCTAAGATTCAATTTGTGAGCTTCGGGGCATTGTGCATTTAACCGACCCTATATTTTTAATGGTTTAAAGGGCATTCAATTGGAAAAATGTTCGCCTTGTATGGAAACTGTCCAAAACTGAACGAATATTCATTATAACTTGACATGAAAAAAAAGTTGCAGGAGGGGAAATTTTACATATTTTTTGATTGAATTATTGAGCACATTGAAATTGCAGCCAGGGTGTTACTACTAGTATGCGTGATCTGAAGGCGGCAGAGAAGCCGCCATATTACAATATTGTGGTAGTCATGCCTTTATGATGTTGAAGCCACTATATATTACTGAAAACCCACACGTAATTAATATCAGTTTTATTTAAATGGATTTGCGGAATTGGTGAGTAATATTAAGTACTTCAACATATTTGTTAAGCAGCAAATGATAAAATTAAAAATCTGAATAAGATACTGTTTTATTTCGAAACATGGGAAGTAAATAGAAAAAATCGTGAGACTAAATACTTGTAACTATTTGGACTACTTGAAAAACGGTAATTCGCATGATATTAGGAAATATAAGTTGTGGAAACCTCAACAAATGTTATACTAAATAATTTGATAATGTCGGTAATTAGAAAAATGTCACTATCGAAAATCTCGTTGGTTTATGTTATTATTTTTTCAGTCAGACTCAGCCGTTCACTCAAAAAAGGTATACAATACACCGCTAGTACGTAAAAGTACGCAAACTTTTCGTTTCCTCTTTAAGGAGGAAACTGATGAAAATTCAATTGGAAGTGATTGCCGGCGCTACGACATAAATTGCAACCTTCTCAAATCCTGAATTTAATAATGTTGTTTTCGTATTAACGTATCAGTATTTACTGATTAAAGCCTTGAAGTTTATTGTTCTAGGTAATATTTTGAAAATGGTGTTTATGATAAAACGACCGCGTAATGAAAATTATTAGCAATATACAGAGTGTCTCATAAATCCCTCACAGTATTTAACATTGATACTTTAAATGGAATACCGTGCATGTTATTTCATATGCCTAATTCCAATAGTTTCTTAGATATTCGGCTTATTTTGAAAAATTTTAACTGAATTTGAATTTTCAATTGTTGTAAGTGTGTTTATGATTAAAATGCTCGGATGCATAACTTACTTCTACATGCCTATGCTTCCGACACCGCTTTTCAAAGCCTTTATTGTAATTTAATATTTTGATTTTGATAAATTTTTACATTTAATTTATATCCAAGGACTTAATCAACATTGCAACTGGCAGTCTACATCACCGATTTGTAGCACCTGCGTTTTCAATTATGTGGTAGTAAAAAAGAAGTACTCTAGGCCTGTATAAAATACAGAGGATTTTTATTATTGAATTGTGTTGATGACATCTTTATTCTAATCCATATAACGAATTTTCTCTACTTAGGCAGTATTTGAAAAAAAAATGCTTCGTTCGTTTACTTCCATTTTGTGAATGTTCTTCCTTGTGGTCCAGGTTTCTTTATGAGTTTTGCTGGTGATTACTTTGTAAACTGAGCATTTTATTTCGAAAATGTCATTGTCTGGCAAGAATTAAAAGGAAAATACGGAATAATAACAAAACAGCTGAAGCATTAGGCAATTTCAACTATAAAAATTTGACACGGATTTCTTACGAGTTCTGTAAATAAATAAAAACGAAATCTCCGGTTTACGACAAATTGTGTATTTATTTTCGTGTCAAACATTTTAAAATCCTATAAGAGGTTGCTTGCCGTAGCTATAGTAAGTTTCGTTCCACATGTCAAACTCGCTAGCTTTCCTTCCGTGTTTAAGGTCTAGAGTTTTGTCGATGTCTAAATACTGAATGTCCGTAGACGAAACTGGCAGCCAAGTCACGTTAAGGAGCGGGTCTGAGTGATCAGGGGTGGGATTCCTGCAACAAAGGAGCAATGCGTGATAATGCCAGCAAGCGAAAAAAAATCTTACGACTTACAGTGTTTTCGCAAAATTGGTCCACAGTTTCACTACTCTGTCTCCGGTCAAATTGTCTTCTTCGGTCAAACTTCCAAATATCAAATCGAAGACATAAGCCATGTCTTCGGCGCGCATTACATTGCCCGTCCCTGCGCAATGGGAAAACGATTAAATTAATTCAAGTCAACACTACTGCTAATTTCATATTCCAATTAGTAAAGTTCTAGTATTTTTTCCGCCGATGAAAGTAGTAACGGAAGTAACTTCAAAAGAAAGTGTACATTTTTAAATAGGATAAGATATCCTGTATCCAGTACAACTTCACTGATTTTACCGACTTTGTGGTTTCAATAATAAAGAAGTATACAATAGTGCTAGGCTAAAAATCATATTAATAGTAATTGATTTCAGTTGATTAGGTTGATGAAATATCATCAAATAGGAAAGATAATAATTTTTGTTAACATGCTTATTTTGCTGTTTGTTGCGTTTTATATATTTCATTTTCTTAATTAAGCGAAATTAATTAGTAAGCATTGCATTTTTATTACTTCTTTCTCTAATTTTAAGACAACTGTCCCGATTCAAATTTCCCGCGATCTAATTCTATAAAATTAGTAAGCACTGCAATTCACGATGCCTCAGGCGAATATGGTTCCGATATTTACTATAGAATCTGCAACTCCTTTTTTTTATTAATTATTCAAATCGAGAAGTTGTGTGGCAAATAATGAAAGTTTTGTGTGAATTTTTCCAGGAAGAATGATTTGGATATATTGCGTCGATTATTCGAAGCGATAAGCGCTCACTAGCAACCATAACGTCAGTACGAACTTTAAAATACTGCAATACTTAATTTCCAACCATAAAGAGCTACATAATACGTTTTAAGTACTCACCTTCGACATTGATGTGTAATTGGGTCACAAGACCTTCGTACGAAAATTTGTAAAAGTAGACGGGTGAGTATTTCGATTGAAGGTCCGCTTGCTTTAGAGCCGCTGTTACGAACATGGTGTCACTATTATATTAAAATATAGCGCACAATATATTCTGTGTAATCTAGAAAATATTGCTTGGCTTTACCTCGACAACTGCTCCGAAATTTGTCAAAAACGAACCGGATTCGCCTGCGTAGGCCTCTTTGATTATGTTTCCAACTTCGTTCAAATCGACCCCTTCGATGGGTATCAAATCGTAGGGTATCAAGCTGCTACTGTTTGTGTCGTACTCTAGGGCAGTTTCGGCAAGTGTTACCCAATCTAAACGAATGTCACTAGTTTGTAAACATAAAGAGTTTTCTTTGAGAAAAAATCAATAATTGAATTATTTATATGCTTAGATTCAATAAAAATATCGCCAACAAAGGAAGTTCTACAAAAAAAATTAAATACTCAAATGTAAAGTGTAAACGTTCATGAAAAGTTTATTGGGATGTGAGTTACATGAAAGTTCTAAAGCTTGGATTGAATAGAAAATCACAAGAAGATATATTTTGCAATTTCCTCATAGTTCACCGGCTACCAAAAATTTTAAATTTATATTTACATTATACTCTTATACGTGCAGGTTCACAACTGACATTATTAAGGTTATATAGGATATTTAATATCCTCTACCGAATCCTACTCTTACAATTAAAATTTTATCTTTCATGGTAAGTTAATTGTTATTTTTCATTATCAATTAACCACCGAGCGTTGGTGCCTGTTTTATAAAACAAGTTGTAGAATATAAATAATTATTTACCTCCATACCACATGAGAGATTCGCCAGAAGTAGTTCCGATTATAAGAGGGACTTGGTTAAAACTTCCGGATTCCAAAAGGGGAAATGCCAGTTCGATCACGTAAGCATCTTCATCTTCTACTTCAGTGACAGGTGCAGCCTTTTAAAATTATAAAGGGTGTTTAAATAAAGTATGTGAAGCTAGAAAATTTGTCACAAACCGTGATGTTTATAGTTTTAAATTTATAGTCATCGGAATTCTTGATGGTGAGAATTTGCATTGCAATCTTGCAGATAAATTTTAGGCCACTAATGGGTAGTCCTTTTGGGACGAATAATGAGTAAGAGGATATGGTTAAAAACAGAACTATTTAAGATTTTGCAGCCTTATTCAAAGTAATATTACATTGCAGCCCGTCTTAAAGCCACCACTACAGACGACCTTAGTTTTATTCCATAGTTGTTTTTCGGATCGACTACTTACCGCAGATGTGTACCAAAATTGAATTGTCAGAGGGTTGTTGTCACTGTAGAGTTCAAATGAATTCTAATAAAACTTGTTTTGAACGCTACAATTTATAAATATTTTATTTTCAGGAAATACAAAAACAAAAAAATTAATTTCACTAAAACTTGAGCCTCTTCATACACAACTTCTATCCCATTTTATCGACCCTATTTCTTTAATTGTTTTAATGTTATCTATGCCAAATAGCACAGCACATACACCCTGTATCTCATACGTCTCTCACAGTATCTAACTTTGATCATTTAAATGGAACACCATGTATATATACTCAATTCCAATAGTTTCTTAGATATTTTGATTATTTATTATATGCCTATATGCTTTTGATAATTTTTTACATTTAATTTATGTCAAAGGACTTAAGGAACACTGTAGCATCCGGATTATGAACTATGTGGTTGTATAAAAGAAGTATTCTTGGCCGGTTCAAAATAGAGAGGAATGATTTGATTGTGTTGATGGCGCATCTATTCTAATCTACTCGTATATAATGTCCATATAACGAATTGTATCTACAGGTTCGAGTTTTATATTCCTTGTTCCTTGTGCTACAATGGAAAATAGCCAAGTATCCGAAAAAGCATAGTCATTGGATATGTACGATTTTAATTGCAAAAATTTGACACGGATTTCCAGGGAGTTCTATAAATATACAACAAACGAAATCTTCGGTTTACGAAAAATTATGTTAAATGTTTTAAAATCCTATAAAAGGTTGTTTGCCGTAGCTATAGTAACTTTCGTTCCACATGGCGAACTCATTAGCTTTTCTTCCGTGTTTAAGTTCTAGAGTCGTGTCGATGTCTAAATACTGAATGTCCGTAGACGAAACTGGCAGCCAAGTCACGTTAAGGAGCGGATCTGACTGATCAGGGGTGGGATTCCTGCAACAAGGGAAAAATGGGCGATAAGGCCAGCGATCGAAAAAAAATCTTACGACTTACAGTGTTTTCGCAAAATTGGTCCAAAGTTTCACTACTCTATCTCCGGTCAAAATGTCTCCTTCCGTCCAACTTCCAAGTATATCGAAGATATAAAAAACGTCTTCGGCGTGCATTACGTTGCCCGTCCCTGCGCAATAGGAAGAAGAAGAATTAGGTGGTTAGGTGTCCCACAAATGGAATTCACCAGGCCAGTTTGGTTTTCATTCATGAATAAACTCAATTTCTTATTCCAATTAGTGGAGTTGTGGTATTTTTTGCGGAGATGAAAGTACAACACTTTTGCATAGGTTGCCATAATATTTCAGATTGGTACTAAATAAGACAAACAACAATATGCTGAAATATTGGTTAGTTTTGGTTAGTTTTGTACCTTTGAAACCGTACAACTTTGAAACTTTAACCACATATTTAGTAATTTGCAAAACCGAAATAGACTCATAACTTGATTTGAGAAAGTTTGACAAAACGAAATCATAATCTTTAAGTCCATAAGCATACATATTACAAATTCTCGTAGTTTCGAAGATAAAGAAGGAAGCAATAGTGCCTTCTTAATGTTATTTATTTATAAGGGGTCAAGCATAGACAAAACCAATAATAAGAATGTGGCGAATAAGACAGTAATAATCCTCGTATCATTCATACTGTGCCTTTATCGCAACTCAGTCCCAAATTTGAATAGAGCTCCGCGTGTACGAGTTTTTCTGTCTTTATAGATGAAAAAAAAAAAAACTGGAAAATCGCTCAATACTGTGTGTTTTAATCTATTCAGTTTGTGTTGCAATAAGGGGAAAATGATCCATAATTCCTAAGGTTAATATTATTTGAACTGAGGTGTTGTCGAAACAATTTTCATGTAATAATATATAATTTCGTGAAAATCTGAACTTTTAGTTCTCATTTATTTTAATATTATTTATTTTTAATTTTTGGGACGATTCTGCTCTGTAACTAGTCATAAACAAATAACAGGAACCCATTATTAATAGATAGAAGTTCAACTTTTTATATTATATTCATTTTATGTTATGTAGGTTTATAATTCGTATTTGATGATATCATGTTTTTTCCGCCACTTAACTTTATAAAATTGGGCTCTTCTGTAGCTCACGTTGGTGCTGGCGAGTGTGGTTTCGATATTTACAATGGAATCTGATTAGTCTTTTCTACGGGGTCAGATCGAAAAGGTATCAAGCTCTACCATAGTCACTTACATTAGACAAAAATGGCGACGCAATAATAATAGTCATTAGCGGCCACTAGCCATCACAACCTCATTACAAACTTAACGTATTACACATCACCTATCAAGTACCCACCTTCCACCTTAATATGGAATAGGCTTATAAGGCCCTCGTACGAAAATTTGTAAAAGTAGACGGGTGCGTATTTCGATTGGAGTTCCGCTTGCTTAATTGCCGCTGTTACGAACATGGTGTCACTATTATACTAAAATACAGAATAAAATAATACACCCTGTTGCAACTAACAAATATTGTTTCGCTTTACCTCGACAACTGCTCCGAAATTTGTCGAAAATGATCCGGATTTGCCTACGTAGGCCTCTTTGATTATGTTTCCAACTTCGTTCAAATCGACACCGTCGATGGGTATCAGATCGTAGGGTATCAAGCTGCTACTGTTTGTGTCGTACTCTAGGGCGGTTTCGGCAAGTTTTACCCAATCTAAACGAATGTCACAGGTTTGAAAAAATCAAAATATTTCTTTGAAAAAAAAAAAAGAGATATTTATATGGTTAGTTTCAATAAAAGTATGACTAAAACTAGGAAGATTTTCTCCAAAGAAAAGTTGTAAATGTGTATTTAATAATTTTCGATTTTCTACATTTATGTTATATAAATTCCCATAGGTTTCAGAAAATTTTCTCATGGTCCACATTCAACATTTCAAATTTATATTTGCATTGTATCATTGATATTATATTACTGATTATGATTATTGAATCATAAATGAAATCTTATTTTAAAATGTCAATCATATCAATTCATCCATTAGTATTACGCAATGTTTACGAACAGCGTTTTGTTTTAGCTTCACAGCAAGTTAGGTTTCTAATCAAAATGACTTTCTTTTAATACTATTAATATTATGCAAAAGTTCAGTTAGTTGAATGTTATTTCATTATTTAAAAGCGAAAGTATGTTAATCGGGATTTTTTGTAATCAATTAATCATCGATCATTGGTGCGTATATATTCTGCCACACATCTTGTAGAATATAAATAATTGCTTACCCGCATACCACATAAGAGATTCGCCAGAAGTAGTTCCGATTATAAGAGGGACTTGGTTAAAATTTCCAGATTCCAAAAGCGGAAATGCCAGTTCGGTAACGTAAGCATCTTTATCTTCTACTTCTGTTACAGGTGCAGCCTGCAAAATTGTTGATATAAAGTATGCGCAGGGAGAAAATTTGTCTTAAATCGTGATGTTTGCGGTTTTGGGTGTTTAATTTAACATCATCCTAAGTCCTTGATGGTTAGAATTTGCATTGGCAGGTAAAAATTTGACCCACTTGTTGAAATTTCATTAATTGAATATATGTTTTCCGATATCTATATATTCGCTCATGGGATATGACCGCCATCAAAATTTGTTTACTACAATATTTAAAAACGAATCATGAAGAGAAACATTTTATTACATTCTCAGTAAACGAGCAATTTTAATAACACCAAAATAGCAAAAATTAAATTTTATCAGTAATTTGGGTTGGGCTGAATTCAGGATTCTCCGGTGAAAATATTTCTAATTCTTAACGAATCGCTGTATTGTATAAAAGAAATTACTGGTAAGACTAGATATCAATAATGTCAAATTTTTCGAAAAATCAACGGGAAAATCTAAAATACATTTACGTGCCACAGAAAACTTTTGAGATAAGATAAAGCTGCAGTAGGTAAGTTACTTACTTGAGGGTTTACATAAAATGCTTGTGTTAACACATCGGTAGGCTGACTTTGAAGAAAGTCTTTTATTTCGGTAGTAGTATTTTTCTCCGAAATAGTGGGATCTATAGACTTGGCGATGTCGTACGCAATCTGTCTGGGGTTATCCTCTGACGCCAATTCAATTTTAAACAAGGAACTACCGCTTTGGCATATTGCCGCTCGATATAATCCTAACACGGGAAAAGTATATTTACACGCTAATAAAAGATTTTGCAACGTACCAGCTGACTTTTTATTAACAATATGAGCTCCTATAGATATGGCTCCAGCGCTTTCGCCGAATATAGTAACTTTTTCTGGATCTCCACCGAAATTCTGAATGTTTGCCTGAGTCCATTTTAAAGCCAACAATTGATCTTTGAAGCCGGCGTTGCCGAGAATGACATTATCTCCCGTGGACAACCAACCATATACCCCCAACCTGTAGTTGGCGCTAACTATTATCACACCTTCGTTTACTAATCTTTTAGAGCTTAAAGCGTCTGAAGCGCATCCCGCCTTAAAACCGCCTCCGTATATCCAAAACATTACGGGTAATTTTTCGGTATTCTGCAACAGTGTTTCATTATCATTTTAAATATAAATAAATAATTAGAACAAAAATTTGAATTACTAAACATTTTTTTTAATATTTCAACAATGCAGTAATATAACGGGGTTTACCTTGAAATACCAATCGCGTTATATACAGCTTCACTTGACACTGCATTGTCAAATCTGGTCAATTGATAATTAATATATCATAAAGTCAAATGTTCTCACTCACGTTTAGAGTAGGTGTGTAGACATTAATATGCAAACAATCTTCATCCACTGATATTAGTGGGTTTGATGTATTATCATTTTGGATACAACATGGCCCTCCATTGGTTCCATCTAAAACATCATTCCATGGTTCCGCCGGCACTGGAGCCTGATAATGTTATTTTTAAGTAATTTTTTAGTTTTCATTTCACGCTTTTTTGTTAGTTCCATATTATACAAGTCGTCCAGTTATCAGAGTTGTTTTTTTATGTGCATAATACTACAGTATAGCATAGAACCTTTGAATTTATCGGAATATATTAAAATGTAACCTTATTTTAAGTCCTTGGATTATGTAAAAAGGGTTTTAATAATTAGTGTTTAAGTAATTTTGTATTAAAGTGAAATAATAAACCGCATTTTATATATAAACAATTATAAAAACTTCCGGTCTTATATCTATTTATAATATATAAATATATAAATTTCTTCAAACGTAATACGAACTTGATTAACCTTAATGTACTTGTCATTTACCCATCGAATGGGAATAAGATGGTTTTTGTTGCCAATTCGACGTTAGTGGCAATTCTATTATTAAAAATTGTTGTGATACATAAAATTCAGTGGCCTGAGACGACCAGGTGCTCTGATCAATAACACAAAAGTTAATCGATAAGATTTTTAGAAGATTTCGGAAAACTGAAAATAACGACTCCTAATTAATTCAAACTAATTCAACTGCACAAGAATAGTAGTAGCACCCAAAAATAATTTTGTCATATATATTCCGAGTCATTTACCCAATACAACAATATGCAAAGAAAAATTATTCCTTACAAAACAATTTCTTACCTGAAATCTTAAATTTCCTATAGGAGCTTTTGCAAATGGAATTTTTTGAAAGGCGTATATGCTTTTATCTTTGTATGTAATTTCGGTGCCTCGTATTTTACCATTTGAAGTATCTACTATGATTTCTGCAAACTAAAATCGCAATAGAATTTAATTCCGCATTTGCCTTTCAGACATTAAGACTATTGATGTTTACTTACCGCAGATGAAAAAAATAAAACCGACAACAGCAAATGCATGTTATTTAGTATACACTTTTTGTGGTTAGTAGTCAATTTATAGCCAACAGTAACGTGATGCAGAGTGGCGATGTAAAAAAGGTATTGTTGTTATCACTATTATTACAAGTATTTTGAAATTGAAGTATCAACTGAACAGAAATTATCAATTCTAGCTGATGCGCTATAACGTGTCTGTAAAATATTTATGTCGATTTGTTAATTTTAACTGGTTTTGTATTTCCAGCATCCGTGAATATCGTCACACCTCGACGGTTTACCTGCCAAGGTAAAGCTAATAAAGTCAATCGCATATCAAAAAACAAAAATAGTATATGATACGACTGCGTAGTAGTTTTGATTATAAATAAAATAAGTTCTATTGAAAAGTATGCAGACGACGTCCTAAAGGAGACACAACAACTTTATTGGGGTTCTTGTTCGTTGAAGTAAATATTTTTCACTATAATATAAGTTGTAGGTATGTATTTAAATCATGGAAGCATAGGACAACATGCTTCAAAAAAGCTTTCACGTGCTCTACCAAGAATAATTCATCCCTTGCCCGCAGCGACATGATCAGGCTTAGGCATCGTAAAGTCTGTTATTCTAAGATGAGGATCGTCTTCCGGTCTTCAAGCCTGAGGGTCTTAACCCTCAGTTTTCTGTCGTACATTTTTTCGTACTTATTCTTTCGAATAAGTCAATCACCGTATGTGCGTGAGTTTCCTCTGATCCATGATTTGATTTTATTCGTCACCGATTCATATGATGCAGGCTATGGACCTTTTGTTCTATTAGAATATCAGCTATTATAATAATATATAGCTAATAGATACTAGCAGCGGTTCATCAAAATATATCCAAGTAGTGAGGTGGACTCGTCGATCAGTGTTGGAAGTGCGACAAATTCACTCATTTTTTTTTAAATATTTGGGCCAATCTATAACATTCGAAAACCAAATTTTTAGATATATGTTATTATTATAAGAGTGTTTACATTGAATAGGTGAATCATAAATACTTCAAATAATACAATAAAATTAGAACCAAAAATTTGTTTTTCAAAGTTATCTATCGAATTATGACAATATTCTGACATGAGCTTTAATTACCGGTGTAGGTTTACAGATTTGAATTTAACAACGGAGCCGCATTTAAATAAAATTGGTCATTTAGCAATAGATTTAGTTTTTTCCTTTTTGATTGATTATGTAAATGAATGGCATAGTAAAATCTTAACTTTTATATTTATACGCCCATTTATTTTCGTTAATGCGTTTCTTAAATGTTCTACCTGTTTGTCCGATATAAATTTAAGGACATGATCCACATTTTCGGATTTTCGAGTATTTCGTAATTTGTTGTTTTCAGTTTTAAAAGCAAGTTTATGCTCAAATTTAGGTAGATGTTTCGACATTTTCTTGCTAGGTCCTCCTATGTATTTTATTCTTCTATAAATTTTGTGTTCGTTGTTTAATATGGGATAGGTAGAGTCGCGAGTTAAAAATTGTTAAAAACTATTTGTTTTATAATAATAATCTAAATCTCCCATTTTATATGTTTGTTAATCTGCTTAGATTAGAAGCAAAAATTGGTAATCGGACAAATAGTTTAAAACATTTTATTTCAGTAGACATTGAAACTACAGGAAAACGTTTTTATTGCTGATACAGCAAGCTATAATGTGGGTATGAAAAATTACAGTTGCTGTAATGAGCTTATCCAATTAAGTAGGCCGGCTAACCGCCGAGTGAGCAGAAATTCGGCTTTTAACACATATAGCATGCTACGTAGCATGCCTTTGGCTAGCAACTTCGGTTGGCCAGACCATCTGGTGTGGCTAAGGGCTTGTTCTAGAACTCCCGTTTCCTAAAACAATAATAATATTGCATGTGCTTCTCTTTGTGTGTATTTCGGACAATTTATATTTACCTTGAACCATGAAGGTGGTCTATAATTTATATAAATCGAGAGAAAAAAGAAGAAAAGTAGGCCATTACCAGATATTACTATTGAAAAAGTATTAAGTAGAAGAAAAAGTTATACTCGGAAACGTAGTAAAGATATTTACTCAAAAAATAAATGGATATGTGGATGTAACAAGTTAAGTTAAATAAATATTCAGAACCATAATGAAAAAGTGTCAAAGGATGGAATATTTTATAAAAAATTATTAAATGCATTAATTTTTTGGGGAGTTTTTGAATTGACTTTCCGTCTGAGCGCTACTTCCGAAAATCCCGGGAATTTCATGGACTTCTTTTGGCTAAATTAGATACAAGTCTAAGTGAGCCCCTAAAAAATTCTTCGATATTTAAGGGCCCTTACAAATAACATATAAATAATTGAAGAAATTGGATTAAATTAAGTTTTTTTGCAAAAATTGAAGAACATCTTCAAATTTTTTCCCCGAGCCCGCCATGATTCCCCATTTTGGGCCTCTCCATATTGGTAGACTTCGCATCTACGGTACGGAAATCGAGAAGCTAATAAAGTTAAAGTCTTTTTTACCCTATAGTACCTCAGAAAAACCACACGCTCGGTATCTAAGTGGGCCGTGACAGTTGGTCTTTATATCACCGTACAAAACAATAAACCAGCAGGTGTACTTGCTATTAGAATAGTTTTTAGCAGTAGATACTAGCTGCATTTGGTCAAAATCTATCCAGTTGGTGAAGTTGGAAATTTGAAAATCCTTATGGATTAGTGGACGAGATGCGATTTGTTGATTAGAAGACTTATTTAGTGTTGAAAGTGCCGCAAGTTTACTCCTTTAAACGCTATTAGGTTCTTTTATTACTTGTTTGTTTTAAATATTTACGTCAATCTATAACAAGCGAAAACCAGATTTTTAGATAAGTATTTTGATTTTAAGAGTTTTTGCGTTGAATCTGTGAGTCATAAACACTTCAAATTATCGACACCTTCAATTCCACATTTTTGTTAAGCTCTGCATATTAGAAATAAAAATTAATAATCGGACAAATAGTTTTAAAATTTTTATTTCAGTCGCCTTTTAGAGTGTAGGAAAACGTTGAAACAATTAAATCTAAAGACCCCGGCAACAGATCGGAGATTTTGCTAATTTTTTCTTTAATGGATTTGCAAAAATGTTACTTTTTATTTCCTTTTCATTTCAGTAACAAGTTTATTATAACGCTACTAAGGGGTGTTTCTTTTCGATGTATAGAACTTTAAGTTGCAATAAAACAACGATGGATTATTCGATTGACATGAATTTTATTTATTCGAAAGATAATCTTTTGGCATTACATTTTAAATATGATTTCATATGACCGCCACGGCTGGCGCGGATGTAGTCCAATCTGGACGTCCAATTTTCGATGACTTTTTCCAACATTTGTGGCGAATGTTGTCTTCCAAATGGTCAAGCGTTTGTGGCTTATCCGCATAGACCAATGACTTTACATAGCTCCACAGAAAGTAGTCCAGCGGTGTTAAATCACAAGATCTTGGGAGGCCAATCCACAGGTCCAAAACGTGAAATTAGGCGGCCACCAAACGTGTCTTTCAATAAATCGATTGTGGCACGAGCTGTGTGACATGTTGCGCCGTCTTGTTGAAACCACATCTCCTGGAAATCATGGTTATTCAATTCAGGAATGAAATGAAAGCTCTATACCGATCACCATTGACTGTAACGTTCTTGTCATCATCGTTTTTGAAGAAGTATGGACGAATGATTCCACCAGCCCATAAAACGCACCAAACAGTCAGTTTTTCTGGATGTAACGCTGTTTCGACATACACTTCAGGATTAGCTTCGCTCCAAATGCGGCAGTTTTGTTTGTTGACGTAGCCATTCAACCAGAAGTGCGCTTCATCGCTAAACAAAATTCGCTTATGAAAATCGGGAACAACATTTTGGGCCCATTCGACGAATCTACGCCTTACTTGACGATGGTTTGGCTTCAATTCTTGTACGAGTTTTATTTTTTTTTAACACGTAAACCAAGATCCATCCGCAAAATCTTCCAGAAAGTGGTTGGACACAGATTCAATTCCTGTGCTCGATGGCGGATGGACTCATTCGGGTCTTCCTCAATGCTACGCTCTACAGCAGCAATAGCTTCTTCTGCACGCACCGTACGGCGTCTCTGGGGATGCGAGTTATTAATAAGAGTAAACGATAAAATGGACTTAGTGCGCGATACGTATTCCGCACAGAACCATTATTTTCGAAATAAAATTGCACTATTTGCAAGAGTTGTTCAGGCGTGAGTCTATTCATGATGAATTGACAAACCAGACTGAGAATAAATCACTTGACAACTGTTAAATCGGTCACCATCTTGAACAGTAAACCAACTTAAAGTTCTATACATCGAAATAAAAAACACCCATTATAAAAACCACCTAAGTGACTACTAGCGGGCTTGTAATTTGCTAATGCAGCTCAGCTATAAAATGGCCGTAAGTAATGAGGCTGGACTTTGCTAAACAACCGCCAAATCAGCAAAAATTCGGCTCTTTGCAAATGTCGCATACAAGCGACCTTCCTTTGGTTAGCATCCTCGGTGATGGAGGCGTTGTTCTGCCGTCTCTTAAAGCTGGTGTGAATTTGGGCCCCAGCATGAACCATTCTTGGCCTTTCAAAGTACCACTCCTACTCTCAGAGTTCGCAACTATGAGCACCAGTCCAGAAAGTAATAAATTTATACTCATTTTAACTATATAATAGCTAAGTATGGTCCCTCACAATTCCACACGCCAGGTAGATAAGTTGGCCGTGACAGTAGTTCTGTCAAGCAGCATGTACGTGCTATTCTAGTCAAAATACAGAATTGAAATTTGCACATCTTAATGGATTAACTGACAAGAACCGGTTTGCTGATTAGAAGGCCCATTCAGAGTGTGCACTATATTCACTTATGTTAGTGCAGAGGGTTAGCGGAGGGTTGGATATTAACGATTGTGACCTGTACGTCACGACATGCACTGGTCGATCACGCCACTTTACAATAAATCCAAAATAAAATTTCTGTTTTATTTCAAAGTGTTCTATATTTTTCGATTAAACATATTTTAAAATCCTATAAAAGGTTGTTTGCCGTAAGTATAGTAAGTTTCGTTCCACATGGCGAACTCTTTAGCCCTCCTGCCTCTTTTAATATCCAGCGTTTTGCCAATGTCTAAGTACTGAATATCCATAGGCGAAACTTGCGGCCAGGTTACGTTAAGAAGTGGATCCGACTGGTCAGGAGTGGGATTTCTACAAAGAAACACAATTGCAGAGTAGGGTTAACGAACATGAAAAAACGACTTACAGTGTTTTCGCAAAGTTTGTCCAAAGTCTAACTAGTTTATCTCCCGTCAAACTGTCTTCTTTCGTTGATGGTAGTATCAAGAATGGATAGATATAATAGTTGTCTTCAGTGTGCATAACATTGCCCTCCGTACCTGCGCAGAGTGTATGATTTGCAAATTATATCCCAATTGGTTGGTAGCTTAAAATTACCAAATTACCATAGTATAACTGTCATGGTAATTATTCTACCTAATAAATTAGAGTTTCTCGCTATGTGTTTATCTTTTACTAAAATGGAAAAAATCAGAAACAAAATTCTATATAACCCATTACCAAACACTATTTTCTATCACCCGTGCCTTTTTGATGGAAGATCGTTGCTTCAATTTGCTTACATAAATTGCCAAAAAAAAAAAAACTGAAAATATTTGGTCAAATTTAAAATTATGTTTCACGTTTTGAGACAGAATTTTATATCACTTTTATAATAATAATAGCAGTATATACAGAATGTGTGGAAATTCGGCGATCGGTTTTAGGAAAACTGAAATTGTACTAAAGTTGTAGCAAGAAATAGGAAGTTGCGGAATAAGTGTTCTATCCAAACTTACTACTTAATTGTTATAATATTCCTACCGCGGTCTTCGGTATAACCTTTATAATTGCAAATACGTAATTTTGTTTGTAGAAAAAGCTCTACCTAACAAGTTTAGTTTTAGCTCGTCTGGATAAAAATTAAAGCATTCCGTACGTGGAAAATTTTCAGCTATTATTCGGCAAGGAAGCGCAAGCAACTAACCATAACACCTGCCTCTGGTGTATGGAAGTGCCGTCCATCATTTTCATGATATTTTAACGGGATGTTCCACACCGACTTTAGTGTAATCAAAATATTTACTAGTTTCCCATAATACATCGCAGAAATTTCCGAAATATATAAAAATTCCTTTGTGTTATCATAGATCACTGTTGTTAAATACTCCTCACCTTCGACTTTAATGTGAAATATGCTGACGATACCTTCATAGGAGAATTCGTAAAAGTAGACGGGCGTATATTTCGACTGGAGTTCCGCTTGCTTTAATGCTGATGTTACAAACATGGTGTCACTGTCATACTAAAATTTACCATATAATGCTCCAGGTAACATCCACCTTTTTCTTTTACCTCTATAACGGCTGCTAATGATTTTGAAAATGATCCGGAGTTGCCGACATATGTTTCTTTTATTATATTTGCAACTTTGTTCAAATCCACACCATCTAAGGGTATCAAATCGTAGGGTATCAAACTGAGGATGTTGGTATCGTATTTTAGTGCAGTTGCTTCAAGGGCACTCCAGTCTAAAAATTTCATTAAAAAGTGGTTAGGAATATGTATTTTTATGTATTTATGTTTTTTTTGTCCAACGAATAAATGAATTTTTCATAAAATAGATCTTGGGTTTATTGCATAATGCTGGTTTAGAGAGGCTTTGGAATAATAGTTTATGTATGAGTATACCAGTTTAGTCTCGGTCAAAGATGTGTTTAAGATCTACAAAAAGTTCAGCCCACTAATGAAGAATACCAGATTCAGATTCGCTTCCCGATACTCTTTTTTTAAGAAGGTTGATTCAGACTATCTGCACTCTTTTTTTTATTTCGTTGCTTGTAACGAAGTTCATACCTTCATACCACATGAGACCTTCGGCAGATGTAGTTCCGATTATGAGGGGGACTTGGTTAAAATTTCCGGATTCCAAGAGGGGAAAAGCTACTTCAGTAACGTAAGCATCTGAATCTTCTACTTCGATTATCGGTCCAGTCTGTAAATTGGTAAAGTTATTGTTACTCCATTGAGTTGAGAATATTTAATGTTTAAAACCGCTTTTCTCAACCTTTTTTCGAAGGCACAATACCGATAATCTAGAAATATGTATTTCAAATTCGAAATAACCGTTTTTGAAATCAATAAATCTTAAAATTTGGCATTGTACTCCAAACTATTAGAAACTCTCAAATTAGGATATATTTTAGATGTTCTGCTTGAATTTTACTCACTACATCTGAAAAATTATAGTTTTATTAATTATTGTACGCTAATAGGTAATGAGAGGTTCGTGTATGAGCGTTGTGGGAACCATAATAATTGGGTCTATAATGTAAGTAATTTAATGGAGTCAAAGTCAATTTTCTTTTTACAAATTGACGCATGCGCACCAGGAATGTGGAATGTCGCAGAAAACCTAAATTATCATTTACGGAGAGGTGAACTGTTTGAGTTTTTAAGGTCTATGGTTTCAAGGCAACTTTATTCCCTTTTTATTGACAAAAAATGTCCAGAAAAAATGTTAATTTAAGCCGACCATAGTTGATAAAAATCAGTTGAAGTTGGGAGAAGAGAGTTTGCAAAAAGATTAAAAAATCTACTGTTAAAACTAATCCTAAATTAGCAGTAGTTACGTACTTGAGGATCCGCAAGAAAAGCTTGACTTAACACATCGACAGATTGACTCTGAAGAAAGTCTTTTATTTGAGTAGTAGTATTTCTTTCTGAAATCGTGGGATCTATAAATTTGGCGAGGTTGTAAGCAATTTGTTTGGGGTTATCTTGCGATGCTAATTCTATTTTGAACAAAGTGCATCCACTTTGGCATATTGCAGCTCGATATAATCCTAAAACGCAAAGAGCCATTATCCGAACAATGAAAATTAAGGTCTAGAACAATGCAGTACCAGCAGACTTCTTATTGACGATATGTGTCCCAATGGATATGCCTCCAGCGCTTTCTCCGAATATGGTAACTTTTTTCGGGTCACCGCCGAATTGTTCAATATTTTTTTGGACCCATTTCAAAGCCAATAACTGATCTTTGAAGCCGGCGTTTCCTAGGATTACATTATCTCCCGTAGATAACCAACCAAAAACTCCTAATCTGTAGTTCGCCATTACTACTATCACGCCTTCATTTACTAATTTGTAAGGGACTAGAACCGCGTCTGTAGCACATCCTGCTTTAAAACCGCCCCCGTATATGGCGAACATTACCGGTAACAACTCGGTATTCTGAAAATGTGTAAATTTGAAAAAAAAAACATTGTTAATGTTACAGTTCTATTTGGTAAAGTTAGTTTATGTATGAATAAAATTTCGGGCTACAACAATATATTTATATACCTAATTGAAAAAAAGATTTAACAGATAAGAACTGGAATTACCTTTTTTGACAAAATTGCAGTAAAGTGAATATTTCTTTTTATAAAAACTGACCCAAACATAGTTGCTAGCTATTTATTTAGTATGTTAAAAATGACAAGCTACTGTATTAACTTTTGAAATGTCTCTTTAACAACTTACGTTTACATTGGGAGTGAAGACGTTAATATGCAGGCAATCTTCACTTTGTTGCAGCAACTGGGTTGTCGTATTAACCGTTTGGTTAGTTAGGGTTGAGGGACCATCAAGTTGAATGCAACATACGGCCGTATTGTTTGAATCCAAAACACCCTCCCATGGTTCCGCCGGTACCGGAGCCTGAGTTTATTGTTATTATTTATTATTATATATTATAAGAAAGTGACCAATTGCTTTTGAATGGGATTATCCAATGGTGGTCATTAACATAAAGTTTGGGAATTTAAATTCAGGTAAATTTGTAGTCCGTAATAGAAAATAATTTTATACCTACCTGTGTTTACTATTCTTTGGTTGGGTATACTACTTAGTTTAAGTTTATTAGTAATCATTCTTATTTCGTGTGTAATACAGCGTGTGTTGAATCGTGTGCGAATTATGCAAAATATGTGCGAGTCTAGTGTATCTCAGGAGATGCTCCCGCCCAAATGTAGAAAACACTATTCTATTGAGACTACGGAAGTTATAAACAATGTTTATTTGAATATTATTGAATGTGGTGCCAGCAAGTAAGCATCTTTAGAAGAAACGGCCACATTGACGAAAATTCCAACAACTGTATGGAACATTGTGAATAATCCCATGTCAGCGAGGAAAAAAAGAAACGATGCTGACATTTTCTCGAGTGTAGATGAAAGTGATCAAGATATAATACGACGTAAAATTTACCAATTATACGAGGAACAAAGCGTGCCTACATTAAATATCTTAATTAGGAGGCTTGAAAAAGATGAAACCGGTTTAAATGTGGCAGAACTACCTTATGGAAGTGTATTCAACACATGGGTTTTAGATAAAAAAAAAGCAAGTTTTAATGGAATCTTTTAGAATTCGGAACTGGCGACAGGAATATCTAGAAAAAAATAGGATTTACAGAAAACAACAAAGGCCAATTATTTACTTGGATGATACCTGGTTCGACACTTATGATACCCCGGAAAAGGGTTGGGTTGACTCAACTGATAAGTATAAAACAAACACGCCATCAAAAAGAGGTAAAAGAATAACTATTTTGCATGCTGGCTCTAAAGATGGTTGGATTCCAAATGGACTTTCTCTGTCTGCGAAAAATATTAAACATTCTTCTCTGGGTTACGATGAAGACACCACCGCCGATTTATTTGAAAGTTGGTGTAAAAACAAACATTCCTCCTAATAGGGTCATTGTAATGGACAATGCAAGTTATCACAGTAGACAGTTGACTAAAACCCCTTCCTCATGTGACACAAAAGCAACAATCCAAAACTACATGTATAATAACGACATTTATTTTCATGAAGAATATACCAAAAAGCAATTAATTGAGGTTCTAAGGTATACAGTTTTAAGGCTTCCACCTTACCACTGTATATTTAATCCCATTGAACATGTTTGGCACCAACTGAAATCCCTATTCGTCGTAACAATGTTTTTCCCCGTGTTAACTCTAATGTCCTCAAACTTATAGAAACCGAAGTTTTTAACATCCCTCGACAAAGTTGGGCAAATTCTGTTAAACATATAGAAAAAGCAGAACAATCGTATATCCACATTGCAAATAATATAGAACAAATAATAATTAGAACAGGTGATGATAGCGATAGTGATACTGATATATTATGTGAATAATTTTAAGTAATTTAAGTAGGTAATAAAAATAATTTGTAATTTTATTTTAGATTTAAACATAAATACATAAATAAATCAATAAATATTGTTTAGTATCTTTCCTAACAAAACCCCAAATAATTAAATTCTAAGCAAAGTACGGACTTGTTCGGCCATATTTCATTCTTACAGCTTGCCCGGGTCTTTCCTTAATTCGTATCAGTTAGTCACTTTCTTATATCTATGAATAGACTTTATAAGGTGACGCGACAATTTTAAGACAATATTTTAAGAAAGAAACAGCCAAATTCAGTGGGTGGGAAATATTTTACCTGAAATCTTAAGTTTCCTAAGGGAGGTTTCGCGAATGGGATTCCTCGAAAGGCGTATATGCTTTTGTTCTGGTATATAACTTCGGAGCCCCGAACTTTCCCATCCGTGGTATCGACTATAAGGTCTGCAATCTAAAATTTATTATTATTAAGTATTTTGTCGCTTCTACGCGAAAAATAACTAAAGACAAAAAGGGCTCCCTCTGTCGGTGTGCAAAACAGTGCCGATCTTTCTCCACACTTTGCTATACTTTTCAAGCCGTTCGCTAGGCTTATCGAGGTTGTAATGGATATCTCGTATGGATCAAGTTTGTTTAATTGCATTGTGACGGGGTGGATTATTATTTGCCATTTAAAAAAAATACCTAACCTTGTATTATTGTATATTAAGGGTGGTCGTAATATTGAATCCCAAATGAGTGAAAATAAATTAAAACCAAGTATGACACAACGTATTCATTTGTAAAATGTTAAACAATTTTTATGTATTTTGTTCCATAATAACTTATTAATAAGTTTATTTGTTATTAGTATAAATATTGCAAAAATTAATAGCCTATTTAACAAAAGAGAAATCTTTTGGATAATGCAATAACTCTCTTGGTATTACTTACATGAGGATAAAAAATATTAATATTAACAAGGTGGGGAAAAAATTCTATCTTATATTGGCAACGTCGATAATATTCAATTTCCATGAACTAAATATGTTTCGAAAATCCCTCTATACACATGTTCGAGGCACCTGACCGGAACAAGACCCTGAAAGGGAGTAGAGATCTGTCGCCCCGTCACGTCCTTGTCAACTGTTTGATCTAATTACTCAACGGGAAAACTTTGCCCTCTCCCCTCTTGTCTCGAATACGGAAGACTTTGTGTGAAAAAGGTGTATTTAAGCATAAAAGTAAAAGACAAAGAAACAAAGAGTATAGAAAACGTACTTTAATTGAAATAGAAATAAACGGAATACCTTAACATAGTAGAAATTTAGCAACAGGCGATTTTTTTTGAGAAAACTAATATGTAGCTAGTTATCGAAAGATCGTCACAGTATCTCCTAAATTGTGTCGAAACTTCAAAAAAATGGCTGGAGATCGATACAAGTACGAATATCGAGGGCCAAACTCAATTCAGTAATTTGAAAAACAATTTTAGCAATACGTAAATACAATTTATAAAAAAGGGATGACCATCGATTAGGGGGTAACTACAATACATTAAAAACTTAACGTTATATAAATAATTATATGCTTTAATCAGAGAAAAAATGTGACTACTTCACTAATTTAACCGACCTTGTAACTTCAATAACAATGAAGTTTGCAATGGTCCCGACTTGATTTTGTTCACACTGTCTACATACCAAAGCTAGAAGAATAAAATTTAAATTTAAAGTCATTAAATTTAAATATAAATTTTAGTAAGACATTTACGTTTCTAGTAACCTTTCTAAATTCGTTGGGACAAAAGTAAATAGGGTATTCCATTTAAAATAACAAAAGTATAACGTGTAACGTAACAGTCGTAAATCTAATAGCACTGCTGTTAGCATTTTTGAGATCTGCATGTTCAAAAACCCCCAGCTTTGGCTGTTCTGGAGGTATTTAAACGTTCCGGTAATTTTTACTAACCCGGTATATACATATATTATTAATATACTTACCGCATGTGAAAGAAATAAAAGACTCAATAATAATTTCATGATATTAATATACACAATGCCTATAAATATACTACTATTGAGTTTAGAACCTTACTTTATAATGAACAGAGTGAATGCAACCTGAGATTAAATTGGTACGCGAGGTGATTATCATTACAAGTGTTTTGAACTTCAAATCACCAGTATTTGTTTAATTTCGACTGGCTGAATATACGTCCACCAATAATATAGCTCGCGGTATTTCACTTATAACAAGGTCAACCGTAAGCAAAGGGAAATAACCATGTGATTTTCTGTTAAATTTTCGTTGGGATAGAACTTAATTCATGACATTTTTATAGCGTTTCCAAAAAAATTGTAAAATTTTAAATTATTATGGGAATTTTACTTAAAATGAAAATTAACAAGCTAAGGAGGATTGCTGAGATGAATTACAGCGTTTTCTTTTTGTGATAAATAAATATGTTGACAAATAAGTGTCATTGTGATAAACATAGCAAATAGGCAAGCATCTGCTAAATTGAATGCTTCAAACGATATCGAAAAACATGTGACTCATATGCTCTTCAGAATTATCTGAATTTGTCATCACAGTTCGATTTAATTTTGTTCCATGGACACAACTTAAGTAAAACATTTTCAAAGTGGAACATTTAGAAACATGTAAGGTGGAAGATAAATAAAAGTATTAATGATGACATCACTACGAAAGGTGAGGACAGAATAAATATTTTACATTTATTCGCTGTTTTAAAACGAAAGTAAAAACAGGTTGTGTTAGATATTAAATAGGAATTAGCCTATTGGCTGGAATCACTTTTATTTTATAAAAAAAAACCGAAGATACGAGTTGATTTACATCCACAAATTTGTGACTGAAGTTTTTGCCTCCATTTTATGTCATTGAGTCATTAAACTATTCTACAAATTATAATTCTGAAACTCATTCACTGAAATTTTGAGTTTCGGGTTTTTAGTTTATTATTCATGCTATTGCAAAATTATCTGAGATATATGACTTTGTTAGTGTCTTAAATACTTCTTGCTCTTTCCACATAATTTTTTAGTTTTCTTATATGATTTTCAGTAACATCACCCTATCCAAGGATCTCATAAGTTATTATTATTATTATTATTTATTAACCACGTTTCATACAATCGGTGCAAGTCATTAAATATATAGAGGTATAAGAACATATAGAAAAAGTAACATTACAGAAAAACTGCTGCTTTACAACTCATTAAAATTGTTGACAGTGTCAGCTCGCAGCGAGTAAAAGCAATGCCGTTAATGAAGATCGTAATAAATTTTGAACAATATTAAATCAGTCTGTTCGTGTTTTGAGCTGTTATCAGGTCATGTTAACTACTGCATTTTGTATTCACTCTTCTGAAAATTGACGTTTTAAAGATTCAAATCCAGGAAATTTGTCTCTTAAAATTTTAAGTCACTTTGTTTTTGTTTACACGTTCACAAATTAAATATTTTTTAAAAATATTTATCTCAGGTGGTACGTGATACGAAGCTTTTGCACATAACGAGAATATCTGTTTTATTTTCATATTAATGAGGAATTATGCATCTATTATGATGAGCAATCAGGAGAAAATTTGTATTTAAGAAATAATTTCCATAGTTGATACACTCTAAAAGATATATGTGCAAACAAAACTGAAGGAAAAGGAAGGAGAAATTTGAGGAATATTTTGATTGGGTGAGAACAATCTTTATTTATTAAATAATGTATTTATTTATTTAATCAAAAACCTATGAAGGGTTGTTGACTGTAGGTATAGTAAATTTTATTCCACACGGAAAACTTAGCTTTTCTATGGTGTAAGTACTGAATATTTGTTGCTAAGACTTGAGGCCACATGACGTTAAGAAGCGGATTCGACTTCTGAGGAGTAGGATTTCTTGAACCGAATATTGCCAGAGTTAGACGGTTAGAAAACATTAACGAAATCAACTTACAGTGTTTTGGTAATATAGGTATATCAAATATGCGACATCTTCTGAGTGCATTACTTTGGCAGCACCTGTGTAAAATCCATTAGTTACTGCAAAAATATCGGTTCGGATTACTAGATAAAGGCCATTTTAGTCACCAGTATGATTTATCATGAGCGGAACAAAGTGGTGCTAGCGACTAACGAAGTTTACCAACGTATTGCATACGAACAACATGTATTCATTGAGTGATGTCTGACGTGATCGTCAGAACTGACAAATGTCAAAATAACATGAGTGACTAAACCCGTGACTAAAGTAACAGAAATGTCGGAAGTGGCTCGCGACCGTCGATGACGAAGCTGACATCTTACGGTGGCGTTTTCCGTGCACTGACCTCAAACTCAAGGCAAAAAATAGCGGAGTCGTAGCTACATATATATCGTGTAATTGATTACAATGCATTAATCTGCGGTTCCTTGGAAGATGGGCTAGATGGTGGGAAATTAGGTAGACATATTGCAACTAAATATATAGATGCTCTGTAGTACAGGAATTTTTGAAACGACAACGAAAAAAATTTTTTTTTTAAACAAAGCGTTTCTAAGAGTTTTAAAATATGCTCAGATCTTGTCAAATATTCTGCAAAAACGAATTTGCAGATCGCTGTTTAGAAAAAAAATTGGGTAAATTGCAGGTTAGTGAGTGAAATTTAGCCGCCCGAGGAGCATTAATTTTTGCTCTACTAGTTCTATATCTATATCTATTCTATAGAGCTAGAGCTAGGGATAGGGCTAGAGCTAGAGCTAGAGCTACAGATAGCGATGGAGCTAGAGTTAGAGTTAGAGATATAGTTGGAGATAGAGATAGAGCTATAGCTAAAGCTAGAGCTAGAGATAGAGATAGAGCTAGAGCCTGTGATAGAGCTAGAGCTAGAGATAGAGGTACAGATAGAAATATATTTAGATATAGAGATAGAGATCTAGATGATAAAAATATAGAGATATAGATATTCGTCCACTCTTTCGTCTTATTAAAGGAAAAGAGTAAGCGGCACGGCTTTCCGCGTTACCCACGTCTTTTACGTCTTTTTAGTTTGATGGTCTAATACATAATGCTCCTGGTCAAGTGTCGTGACCTGCTTTTAAATCTTTCGCGGGTACGCATCAAAAGTAGACCCGAAATCTCAGCAAACACCGCAAAGCGACTTCCTTTTGTGATCGGCTCAAGTCCGTTAAAAGAAATAATGTAAACATAACATATATATATATATATATATATATATATATATATATATATATATATATATATATATATATATATATATATATATATATATATATATATATATATATATATATATATATATATATATATATATATATATATATATATATATATATATATATATATATATATATATATATATATATATATATATATCCTATACCAGGTGGTCCGTTTATGATGGGATGGGATGATACTTTAAATTCTTCGGATATTCTGAGATAAGACATCATCCGATAATAAACGAGCCACCAACGTTAGCAGCACTATCTCTCTTCGAAGGAAGAACATGTTTTTTACCTGGAATCTTAATTTTCCCAAAGGAGCTTTTCCGAATGGAATTCCTCGATAAGCACGTATGCTTTTGTTTTGGTACTCCATTTTGATACCCCGGATTGTGCCATCTGGGAGATGGACTTCCAGGTCTGCAAACTGGAAGAAATCAGTGCAATGAGTTACCCGAAGTGTTAGAATAGATTTGATCATCAGGGAATATGTTGGGAAGATCCGATTGTTCACTAATTATTAATATTGGTGTTCATCGTTATGTATATTGATAATACAAAGTTGCAATGTTAATGTTGCGCTCAAGCATCGAAAACGCTCAGTGAGTGAAAAAAAAAAGCCACCACGAAATCAGATATTTTTCTCGTTGTCGTCGTTCTTGTTGTCCACAACGTGTTTAGAGAGCTCCTAAATGGATCTTACCTTTCAGTGTGTTTACGACTGCGGTCCAGTTTATTTATGTTTGTTTTTAAAAACGGCATGAGAAAGGAAAATAAATTTGCGCAACAAGGAAGGGAGAGGAAAGGTGGTGCAGTATCAAACCAGTACGGTACCATGTTCCATTTTCTAAAAATTAAGAACTATGTAGTTTAATTGATTGATGATTGAAAGATCAACTTAGATGTTTCGAATTGTTTTTTAAATTTAAATTAGGTTAGAGCTTTTGATGTGCTTAAAATATTACGGCCAAAACTAATTAATAACTGATCATCGAGAAAAAGATACTACAACACAATGAATCAAGAAGTGCACGCATTTGGTCGTGCAGGCTTAAAACTAGTTCACTGCGTCTACAAGCTCGCGTGCTAGAAGAAAGTTTATTGTTTTTGTGGATGGATGCTAACTTAATATTGACTAGCACCTTTTATATTCTTTCAATATTTTATATACCTTTTGTAGAAACAAATTTTAGAATATGGTCATGTTACTTTTTTAGATTTTTATTTGGATATAGCGGTGTTTAATGTGTTTTATATGTACTATGTACATAATACACAGCGCCACTGCACACAATTTGCTGATCGAACACATACTGTAAATTGGAAGCATTTAGGCAAGAAAATATTCTCTTATAAGATGTTTTTCCCGTCATTTACAAATCTGAATGCAAACAACTAAAGAATGGTTTGTATTTCCGGCGTCTTAAAAAAATGGCCCGCTGACGTCAAGTTTTGACAAAAATAGTAATCAGATGCCATTGTCAGATATTTTCATAAAAACCAAATTCTCAGTACATAAAGAATGATAATTCAGGCGTTCAGGACGTTTCTCACAACTCACGGGGCAAGGTAAATATTTGACATGTATTTTCGAAATACTAACTCGCATTCGTTAAGGTTTGGCAAAATTGTAAAAAACCTGAGAAAACTACATCTTTCAACTAGACGTCAAGCGAACGCTCCATCGGGCAACTACCAAACATGCACCGTAACAGATACAATGGTAGATCCTTGTAAAATAGAACCATCTGTGGTAATCATAGGCGCCGGAATCGCAGGACTTTCTGTGGCTCAGAGACTTGCCCAGTGCGGTCTGAACAAATTTACTGTTTTGGAGGCTACCGAAAGGTAAGTTTCTTAATGCCTCTGTATTGAGACTATATGAGTTTTAGGGAACCGAAAAAGCATTAAAGAAATACTAAATATTTGTTTTTTAGATTCGAATGCACCAAAACTTATAAACAAATAAAATAAGCGATAAATTACGAGGATCCTATGAGATAAAGCATAATTTCATATTTTCTTAAATGTGCCCTTTTGTTTTGCGGTCGGTATTTTTCTCCAAAATCTTGATTATTTCAAAGGGAACACCCCATACATTTTGAGATTCTGTGTGAAGTTCTAAACATATTTTATGTAAATGTAAAATGATCTATACCTATGTCTAACCGCTTTTGAAATATTTGATTTGGCTTAAGAAATTTTGAACATACATATTTTTGTCATTTTTGAAAAATTGATAATCATATTTGACAAAATAATAAAAAAAGATGCTTAAGTTTACGTTTTTGTGACTGTTGTTGTCAAATTTTATATAGGCAGCAAATATCCACATTTTCATCGCCTAACCCCAAAAATTGAAATGAGTTTCTAAATTATATCTCAAAAATTTTTTAATAAACGGGTATATTTAATCGCAATTATTGACTTTTAGAGAAATAACGAAGTTAGTCTATCACATAAATTTGTGAAAATATAAATAATGAAATTGGAATAGAACTGTGAACTCCATGTCAATACAAAGATGGCAGTCCTGGGACTGTTTTATTTTTGTTGGTGTTGTTAATGGTAATATTAAAAAGTCGGCAGCAGGTTTTTTAATAGGTACAAGGACAAAGAAAATACTTATTTTCTTCGTTAAGACCCAGAAACCAAATTTAAAAAAAATAGTCTAAACACACTTATTTGTACTACCAGACTTGTACGTTACTTTGAAATGAATTAAAATCTTGGTTAGTTAGTTAGAAAACGTAACAACATTTTCGTTAACAACCTCAAAAAAGGTTAGTTTTCCTATAACTAATTATTAATATACTTACTTAATTATTTAAATTCACAACCTAGTTTGCAAAGCGATTAATATAACTCCCGCTATTTAAACAAATGATAATTTGCAAAAAGTCCATGGAATATTAAACAATCCTCCCATTAGGTTTGGATCTATATATTATGTATGTTTATCACATTTTGTATATGAAACTAAAATAGCAAGCTACCTTTTCCATCCAAACAGCGTTGTGAAGACAACAAATGAGGAGGGTCCAAAGATGTCGTGGTCGGTGAACAACAAATAATTACGAAAGCCTTTTATATATGCATTAGTATAATGTCTGCCTGGCATTATGTTGTGGATGATAATACTATCGCTATCCATTACAGAAAACAAAATATATTTGGAACCTTAATGTTTTTGTTTTCACAGTTCCATTGCTGGCTTGTACAGGGTATCAGGAAATAATGAAACGTAATAGATACTATGGTTACTGAGAAATGGTCAAATCTAAAAAAATTATAAAGCGAACTTTAATGAGCACGACAACTGATAAGAACAAGAAACTCGGTTTTCTATGAGACGAAAGGTTCTTGGCGCGTTTGTAGAGACCCAATGCGCACAAACTACATCCATAATACGTATAATCATCGGTCATATCAAAGTGCTTTTCTCGTATGTTTCGAGGGTAACGAACGGGATAAAACACTACTTATGATCGGGTATCAATAAACCAGATTCGTCCACCTACGGAGGTGGACGAATATTGAAATAACAAAACGTTAGTAATTACTAGAAAGATTCTCTGGGGCAGAACGCAGCTCGAACAACGACAATCGTAGAGTCAATTGTAAAAAAGCAGAAGTCATTTCATTGACCCGGTCCTATCCAAGATTAAAATGCGTCCATAAGCATCGCAGTAATTTCAATAGAACCGGCAAGGGTCTTTTATTACCACAGATCTATCTCGTATATAGAGATGGAAATCAGCTGAGGAAACTTGGAACCACCAGTAGTCGATCAACTGAATAACACAAGAAAACTACAAAAAAAAGTGCAATCATCTTTAAAGGACTTATTTGCCTTAATTTTATTCTTATTTATGGACAAATGTTTCGTTTTAAATTTCTTGAACCATTTTATGCCGGGTCCGTAACATGAGTGTTTTGTGTCTAGACCTGGAGGCAGAGTCCATTCGTGTTGGTTGAGCGATGTAGTTGCCGAAATGGGTTGTCAGTGGATATTCGGCGCTTGTGTGGGTAATCCCGTTTACACTTTGGCGGCCCAAGAAGGATTGCTGAAGCCTCCGCTGAGAAGGGCGGATTCTTCGACTGGGTTGTTCTGTACCAGTGATGGAAGGGCCGTGGATCAAGCGGTCGCACTGATGGCTTACCATTGTTTTGGCGCCATTAAATCAGAAGCTATGAAGTTATTCACTGTCGGTTGCGGAAAGGATCATGGCTCCTTGCTGAACTATATGAGTAAGTTACTCTTTATGAGGGCAAACTTGGCCTGGAGCTTTTATAAAGGATCCCACACTTTAAAAGCTTTAGATTATTGATGGTCGTCAATTTTAATCAAATTTTTGTTTATATACGAAACTATCAATGTTCGTGTAAAAGCGTGAAAATAGTCAAAAATAATGTTTATCTTCAATATAAATGTATCATTTAAAAATAAGCATTTATTAGTCTAGTTATTTAAAATGTCAGACAAGGGGTTTCATTTAAATAAAACAAAATGTGCCATGTATCTCTGTAATGGAGCAGATACTTTTTGCAATATTTTATAGGCATCATTTTCCGGAAATATCAGAATAATTACGGACTGTTTTGGTATAAAATATTTACATTTATTTTTATACCGCTTTATGTAGTAATTATAGTCTAATCTAAGAGTGACTACATACATAGGTTGTTGTAAGAGAAACCTTGAATCGCGGTCCTGAGAAATTTTGAATAGGTATATTACCCACTTAGTCGATTTAAAATTATTAAAGACTATTGTTATAACGATATCTGATCTTTATTTTCAGGTTTGCGGATACATCAGGAGTTGCTGAAATTTCCTGAAGACATGAGATATGACGCTGCGAGAATCATGTATGGTCAAACAAATCGGATAAAATATTTAATGGGCGATGATTTGTGCAAAGTCAGTGCCGATAACTTCGGAAGTTACATTCAAATACCTGGAGGTAGCGTTCAGATTCCGCTAGGGTTTGTAGGTAATAATAAGTAATAATTAAGTTTGAACCCTGTTCTTCAAAATTATTGGCTTTGGGTTTTGTATATCTTACATATTACAATCAAATTTTATTTTTATAAGTTTTTAAACGTGTGTTTTATTTAATTTAAGAAAAAAGTGGAATACTTCTTACTGGTTTTTAAGCAGATGGTTGAGCATTATCCACAGGTAGATGTGTTTTTTTTCTTTTAAAGTGAAGAAAAAATTAATTTTTGTTTCACCAAAGAAAACCATCGTAACTGGTTGATAATACCTCATTGTAATATGTCATATTAACAAACTGGTAACGATAACCATAAGTATGTAGAACAGTAGCTTCGTAGTAAATTACAGGTAATTACACCATTCACCCGTCTTTTTATTTTCTATATGGGTATAATTACCGTAACGACCCCAAGAAATCATAAAATAATATTAATATATCAATAACATATTAAATTGTTGTAATATGCAAATTCAACCTTAATATCCAACGCTACGGTTTCGGAGGCACACCCTGTATAAATATTGCTTCTAGTACCCTAGCTACAAGTGAAACGCAAACTGTGTTGCCATCTCTCGACGAGTGGCAGAATTAGATTTGAATCACTTTAGAAATCTGTACTTCGGAAGTTATGGTTAGTTTAAGACTTAATATTTTAAGATGACCACACGTGGAACGTTGTGCAGAACTTGGACTCTTCTACTTATGACAACTATATAACATTTTTTGTATCATAAGTTTATAGGCATATGTTATGTTGTTCAGTCTGGGACAGGATCTTGTTTGGAAGAATTTATCAATCATTGAATTAGAGCTGGCGATAAATGTGGTATAAAAAGCTCTGCTGTTAAATATTTCTAAATTTATATCCAGTATAAATTTTTCTTGCCTGAATAATAATTTTTGTCATCTTGATTTATATAAATGACTTTCACGGTGTGAGTAAAGGTTGAAAATAAAAGTAATTTTCTCCTTAGGCGTTTTATCCCCTCTCCTTAAGGAACTTCCCGATTGTAGTGTGAAATTTGGGAAACCCGTGAGTCTTATTAGATGGGGCGCAGTCCAAAGCAGGGGAAGCAAAGGTGTTCCGCGCAGCGTGGTGCAGTGTTGTGACGGCGAAGAATTTTACGCGGACTATGTCGTTATAACCGTGTCTCTGGGGGTCCTCAAGGAACACGCTGAGAAAATGTTTTGTCCTGCTTTACCTGCCAGTAAAATGAACGCCATTAAATCATTAGGTAATATGTTGGTTGTTTCGAAATTGCACTATTGAAATGGGACCTACTTGCAGGTTACGGTAACGTGGACAAAATTTTCCTGGACTACGACAAACCTTTCTGGGTGTGGTCTGAAGGAAGTATTAAATTCGCTTGGTCTCCGGACGAGCTTGCTCATCGAACTGATTGGACCAAAGGATTGGTGTCTGTTGAGGAAGTAGAAGGAAGTAAACACGTACTTTGTGCTTTTATTGCCGGTCCAGAGTCTATTGTTATGGAACAGGCTTCAGATGAAGAAGTCGCGGAAGGTATAATATAATATAATATATAATAGTCTAAATAATATAATATAATAAAGTATAATAAATCAATAAAAATATTATCTTTAATTCAGAGTGGAAAATCTGTTATTTGCCTTTTTTATTCGGGACTATTATAAAACTCAACATATATAGGCATTTTTTGGATATGCATAATTCAAGGTTATTGCAAAATATAACGTTTTGTGGACACGCCAAAAAAAAAACGAAACAAAAAATTGTGTTTCCTCTAAATTTTTCTCTACAGATCCCTCCCTCAATTCCAAATGAGAAACACGAAAATGAATATATTTGTTGATTTTAAATGCTTGAAGTAACAAAACTTCTATTTATTGTTGTAACTTCATATCGAATTTTAAATGTATTTAGTATTTAATTATTGTTAAGTCGTATTTAATATCTTATTTATTTTAGGTGTGACAAAGGTGCTTCGACAGTTCACAGGAGATGCGTCGCTGCCGTATCCATCAACAATCCTCAGGAGCAAATGGGCTTCAGACCCATATTTCTGTGGTTCCTACAGTTACATGAACGTCGATTCCAATGTAGGTCACATATGCGATTTAAGTTGTCCAATACCGGGATCGTGTGATCCTGTCCCGCCCATCTTGATGTTTGCTGGTGAAGCCACCTGTGCTGGTAAGTTATATCTTGACGTATAGTATCTCCAAAATAACACTGAACCATAATATATTGAAAATTCTTATTGAAAAAAATTATTGTCTATTAGTCAAAACAGGGTTTAAGAAGTTCATATATTTATTTTTTATATTTGCGTAGATGTATTCTCGGTTCTAGTGCATGTCATATAATATAGGTTTTAGGTTATTGTTCGATTGGCGTACGTTCCCGTTTTTTTTTATCTATTTCCTATATTCTATAATAAGTCACGGAGTCTTAAGTCAGCTCCAAGTCACAATATTTCATACACTGTCAGAAAGTTTCCTATTTATCTTTGCAGCCCATTTAGCAATGAAATAATAAAACTACTTAGATTTGAATCTTAGATCTCTGTTAAATCTGATCCTTGAATTTTTGTTTAAGGACACCATTCGTCAGTGCATGGAGCTAGATTGAGTGGGATACGCGAAGCGGAGAGAATAGTACAACTGACTAAGAAATTCGGTGGCCCACCGCCGAAATCCTAAGGCGGATAGAAACGAGTCGCAGTAATTGCAGATAAATATATTTGCTTAAGAGTCAACGTTGCACAACAGTAATTTATATATATAATATTTTGGTCCTTTTACAGTTTGTTCTTTATTTATTCCTTAACCTAATAGCAATATATTAATATTGTCTTCTAAAAATATTCTCAACAACTTAACACGTTCATGATTGGTCCAAAGAAAATACCACGAGTGATCAACGTGGATTGTCATACCATGGGAAGCGTTTCATAATTTAACCAAATAAATAAGTAATACATAGGTTCATTAATACTGATGACGAATTATTTTTGTTCGGTTAAGACCTCAGTGGCAGCCTCCTTGACTTCTTTCCATGAAATATCAATATCCGCTTCTTCAGTCATTCTCGAACATATTGCCAATCTCAAAAAATACGTATCTCTGATTTTCGACGGTACTAAATGGATGACGCCTGCAAATCAAACATTGCAACATAAAAAACACTAAAGTGACATTATATTGAACAACGATATATATATAGACTGCGTAGTGTAAACTAAAAGGTTACAATTGTTTGTTAAAATAGATCGATTTTTCTTTGCTGTCAAGACTGAGGATTCCCCGAATTGTATCGTATTCGTGTATTCCTTGACGAGAGTTATAAGTAAATTGGACATCACAAACGCATAATAATTTAGTATAAAATACATATTCACTAAATAATGATAGATAACACTCTACAATTGCAAGATGTAATTTTAAACATTTTGATTGAATTTGACTAGTCAGTTAAGATTGATCGAGCAATTGACCAGTCCCAATACTAGTTATAACGAAAAAATTGTAAGCTCATTTCATTCAACACGTACCTCTGCCGTTGATTCTCTTCAGTAAAGCTTCGTTGATATCATTAGAGCCCTTTAGCCTGAAGCAGACGAGCCCCATGATTACTTCTTGGGTGATTTCGAAACGGTCGTCCGTCCGCACAAGTGATTCGAAATAGTGAGCTAGAGCGATTTGTTTCCGTATGTGCGCTTGGAGATTCTCAACACCGTACAGACGAAGCACGAACCACAGTTTGAGGGATCTGAAACGTCTCCCCAAAGGAATCTGCCAATGGCGGTAGTCAGGAGCGGCACCTAAAATATTTTCTGAAATTGTTCTGTCCGCGTGCGTTTGACATATCACAGACTGTTTTGAAAATTGTCAAAAAACGCGCGCCAAACAAGACATGAAAAAGACTTACTTCACATTATGCAGGAAACTGACTATAAGCAGCATAATAATTCGACAATTTAATAATTTATATATAGTAAGAAAGTAATAAAAAAGGATATCTTTCTTTTACTTTTCTCCATTTCTAATTATTACATTAGTTTCAATAAAATTAATGTACCTGAAAATGAAATATTCTGACCCTCTCGATCAACTGAAGCTGAATGAATATGATTATTGATAAGACATTTTGAACTATTATTTATTATTAATAAAACTTATTATTGAAACCGTTGTCATATTCGGTCACATACTATAAACATATATACCTAACTACATCCTAAAAAATTTTATAAACATGGTTACTACTATCGCATTGAAAAAAATCTCTAGACAATTAATTATTCTATAACAACACAAAAAAATTGCTGCAAATGGAAGTTAAATGGTGAAAGTTTTTCCGACAGTATAAATCATTTACTTTTTTTATTGCCAGTTTTGTCTAAATCCTGTTTACCTTGTTGTTCGTGCTTAAGATACAAAGGGTCCACATTAAAAGCGTTAACAAGCCAGAACGGATCTTTCAGCCACATGCATGAACAATCGAAATTCACGACCATCCACTTGTGCGGGTTGAAATTGAACGAATCCGCCCTTTCAATGCCTTTCATGAGATACCTAAAAAAACAAATTTCGCGTGTTAGTCATTACTACAAAATTGTGGAAAGCGTACCTATATTCCGGACAAATAAACGCAGAACCTGCGTAGGCCGCGTCGATATGCAACCAGACGTTATTGTCGTTGCACACAGGTCCGATTTCATCTATCCTGTCGAATACGCAGGAAGACGTGGTTCCCAAAGTAGCGACTACCTAAAATTTGAAGAAAAAATAACCAAAAACGCTATATAAAGACTTTAAACCGTACAATAGACTCAAAAAACATTCAATTTTTGGCTTGATGTGGAAATAATGGCTGAGAGATTATGTACTGTCAATGTCCACCATGTGCCAAATAAAAGGATTCACACCCTCTCAAAACCCATAGGAACTACAAAAAACAGTTTCGTACAAAAGTTTCTTGGACTGTCATGAAGATTTAAAATATTTTAATTTTATTTATTCTAATTTCGCTCAGTTTAGGCAGAAATTGAGGCTATATGTTTTTTTTCATATTTTGATTGCCCATATAAAATTATGTTGTGACGCTACTGCTCCAGGTGTTGCAACGAAAATCTAACCACAGACTAAAGAGATGATGTACTACTCAATCAGTTTACCAGATGCGCCTCAGCTTATACAGGGTGTCCCAAATTGGTGGTGCCGTTTTGGCCAATTCAATTAACAAAATATCATATATTTTTCTTCCGATTTCAATTCTATAACAAAAAATAAGGTAAGTTTGTAATTTATTTTTATTTAAGTTTGACTTAGTTTTTGAGATATTCGAGGTTTAACATCCCACCCATATAAATTCTTGTTGAATTTACAGCTGCCCACATTAAGTCACTTGTTCGCAAAATTAGGTATACTACTTCTTTTAAAGATATAATATGACAGATATGCGAATAAACCTATTGCTAATAATACCGATTGCTCATTAATACGTAGGAATTTTGAAAAAAATCGGCTATATACTACACACTTTAACAGATTTAATAAAACTCTAGAATTAGTGTTTAAAGAAACATTTAATAGTTATTTATCTAACTAAATAATTAAAGTTTATAGGCTAACTAAATAAGCTAACAAAATTTGAATAAATAAATCTATAACACAAAAAAAAAGACAGAAACAAATAACTAAAAAAAAACTTATGGTGATACTGATTTTTAATATATTACCATTCTTCCTCTGCAATACTCATTGAATCTCTAATCTAATTTTTTAACCTCGAATTTTTTTAAACCTCGAATATCTCAAAAAGAAAGCAAAATTTAATTATAAGATAAATTACAAGCTTACTTTATTTTTTGTCCTAGAATTGATATCTGAATAAAAATATGGTGTGTTCCATTTGAAAATCTTGCGCATCTGTCAAACTGATTGAGTAGTGCATAATCTCCTTAGTCTGTGGTTAAATTTTATTTGCAGTACCTGGATCAGTAGCGTCACAATACAATTTTATATGCCGCAATCAAAATATGAAAAAAAAACAAACATAATCTCAATTTCTGCCCAAAATATGCAAAATTTGAATAGGAGTTGCCTAAGAAAGTGACCTTTATTTTAACCAAGGATTCCAAAAATGTCGAAATATATAGGGTATTCCATTTAAAATAACAAAGTTAATTATTACATTATAAATCATCAGCAAAGTCCAAGGAACTTTTGTACAAAACTGTGTTTCGGACCTCCAATGCGTCTCCAGATAGTTGCGGTTGGTGTATCAGGTTTTACAGTAAACATTGTTTTGTTCTATGGCAGATAAATTTTCGTTAAATATATTAATAAATTTTGTTAATGACAAATTTCAAAATTATAAACGTATCTGCTTAATAATTTAAAATTAAATTTTACAAATTAAGAAAAATTGTTACTGTTGTTGGACTTGTTGGACAGTAACATAAATTCGGTGGTAGTTCGGGTCTAGTTAATATTGCCTGAACATGCTAATATGTTTGGTAAGCAATTTCTAGTACAGGTCCCAAACGTATTTGACACAAAACGATAAAAAACTAACTAAAGCCAATAAAAGCCGGACACAGCCCATCAGGTCTTATTTTGATATTACACCAAGAGATGTAAAGTTTGTAAAGTTTCGAACACGTGCAATTTTACCCTTCATTCGCTACAAAATTAAAGCACATAAAGAAATGTAAAGTTTAGCAGATTTTTAAGAGTTTCGATGTACACATTTAGTAACAGTCCAAAATAATGGATATTTATTTCACAATACTGTAGAGAACATTTTTATCTCTGGAAGTCTTTCAAATTTTATACTGACTTTTGAGTTTGAAATTGTATACGATTAAATTTGTTATCTAAGGAAGTTCTCACATAAAATGGGAAAAGACCAGCCTCCAGATCTTTTTTAATCGCTTCCTCGACTGTCTCCCCTCGGAGTTTGTTGTTTTCGTCTGGCTGAAGAGGACGTAACTGCACCCCACCTAAAAGTCCGGCACGTTCTACCGAGGAATGACTTTGACCTGAAAAGGTTGTGAAAGAACGGATTAGTTAATTTGCTGTTTTATAACCCAAGTGCGAAACTTAAGTGTACGTATTATAGACCGTGATAAACGAAAATGTTGCGCCAATTCAGTAGGATTTTACTTATGAATTAATTATTCAGTCGGCATGTGAAACTGGAAATTGCCGAAATATTATCCGCATTGTGGCGTTACACTGAAGAGTAGAAAACAACTTGTTGGTCTTACGCAATCAAAGCCTTACTTAAAAACAGATATATTTAGAAACATCTAACTGGTAGTGATACTAAACTCGGCATCAGTTTTATGCAAAATCCACATCGAACTGGTCTGCCGTGTAAAGCTTCTGAGAAATTAGTTAATTGAGGCAATATGCAGCAAAAGTCTAAAGCAGTTGATATGAAAAACAAAATAAAGAAAAAGAAGTAGTTAATAATAATAATAATGACGATTTTTGGAAAGTTTTTTGAAACTTTGAAATATTTGAAAATAAATGAAAATTTTCCCCAAGATTTCAAGTGTTTCATGAATAGAAATTTTACTAAAATTTAGTAAGTCAATTAATTCTCTATACAAAAGATACAAATTTTAATTTCATTAAAAATTTAAAAAGTTAAAAGTTAAATGTTAAATTCAAAAGAACTTAATAACTTTTACTTAAGAAAACAAACGCAAACCAAGTTATGAATTCTCTAAGGAATAAGAAAATGTAATTAAACCATAATTCTGTTAAATTTTGTAAGACTCCAGACACAACGCGAACCACCCTGTATCCTTCTTCTTTGTTCCGATATCCAGTTTTCATAAAAATATTTTGAAATTCACTTATTCAAATATATTTTTTTATTTTCAATGTAGATTATTTATAATGTTTGTAAAATACTCACTAGAAGTATAGCCGATCAATTTCGCAACGATGTCTGATTCTTTCATTTCTGGATGCTCCCTTTTAATGGCCCCAATGGCACGGGCTTTGGCCCCTAACAACGCTACAAAAGTGGCCTCACTAGCAGTTCCCTGAATCACTCCACCGCCTTTTCCCGAAGTTGACAGAAATTCTTTCGGTAACCCTAACATTTTGCCGAGCCAATCGAGCATGACTACTTCGAGCTCCGTACATGCTGGACTCGCAATCTAACAACAAAATCCGAAATCTTAATTTTCTACGAAGTTAACATCGTTTGTGCGGGGTTAAAATCGAGTTTCGGAAGTCTTTTGTCGTTGAGAAGTGAGAGCTTGAAAGCGTATAATTCTCTTTCTCTTCTTTGATGACAAACGGGCGCTTTATCGTTCCAATCCTCAGATGATATTCACAGTAAATTGGAGTACCCAATAAATCATCTATTTTGATTTGAATGGTGGATGATGGTTTTGATTAATTTTGAATAGTTCATCGTAATGACTGGTTTATTATATAGTGCAAATATTTTGTAGATATTTAGCCCTGATATATGTGACATAATTAACGCTGATCAATCTTCCTGGGTCAATAAAACAGGACAGTAATTCTAGAGGATATTTCCTTTATTTGACGTACATTTATTTGAAATTCCTGTATCCATATAGTACGACTAACGGCTTTGCACGACTCTATTCCCCTATTTTATTTTTTTAATCTGAAGTTCTAAATTTTACTAACAGGCGTCGAGATAACAGAAGGTTCGATTCAGATTTAATGAAAAAAATGTAGTTCACAAGTAAACTTTGAATTCTTACAGCGTAAATCTATTTAATATTTTTAATTATGTACATTAGATTTATTAAATCAATCTTAACTTATGTTGTTTCCAAATACAGCCTCGCGTTATTATCTTAATTTACAAAATATAAGATTTTCAAGGATCTTGAGGTTATCGTAATTCTATCGTCAATCTACTTACCCAGGAGAAACCGATACACGCAATAGCCCCACTTAAAATGTCGGCAACGATAGCGGGATAAGAATTGCCCGTAGGAAAATAGGCGTGAAATCTGGGCGAGTGCCAGTGAGTCACCTGGAATGTGATGTAATATTTTAATTAATATCATTAAAAAACCTTAAGATAAAAAAATGTAAGAATTTCACTTGTCACTTCAAACAATTGTTTAATGAACTAAATTATCTTATAATATATCCATGTTTGATAATAGCTGTAGTTTGTGGGATAGGTTTCTGTCTTTTGATTTAATAAAAGCATTTTAATTTCTCAGGAGAGCGTGCTAAATTTATTTTCAACAATAACTTGAGCTACTTGGTTGTTTGCAAAACAAAAGATTCGAAATATTATGACACCTGATTGAATTTTGCATGGTCACTATTCGCAATTGCAAAGCTTATTGCTCAAATGGTAAATAATAATGTGTTAATTTATGCAAATTCTGACATTAAGTCGATTTTTACACAAATTATGGCTATCGTAAAAAAGTAATATTTAAAATATATTTTCTTATTAATAAGTAAATGAGAATTTAAAGATAAAATGCGCAAAATGGTTAAAAGGATGAATTTTTTTATCCCAAAAATATTAAATATCAATTGCAATCCCGTAATAATAATTATTATTAATATAACTAAATTATCCTCAGAATAAACTCTAACTGTTCATAAAACGGGTAGCACAATGCTTTTTCTTGTTTATGGTACTAATGCAAATGCATTGACAGCAGAGAAGCTACTTTGTACACACTTTTGCAAATTTTTCAAAGTTTATTTTAATATATTTTTTTAATGTTATATTTCTCCTCAGTGAAGTATGTATGAAAGAATTGCACCTTTTGTACCTTTTAAATTTGAACACGGAAAAATAAAATAACGTAGATTTCAAAATTTATTCGAACCGCGCGGTGCAACTAACCAAACCAATTTAAATATCACTAAATTTTTTACTTATTTAAAATTAATAAAAAACTGTTTTAAAGTTTAGTAAGTATGAAAAGCAGTACGAGTGAGAATTGGTCCCAACACCTGACCGGAATTTCTTAGCGAATTGAGCTAACTCTTACAGTAAATATATATTTTATTGGTACCCCATAAGAAAAACCATTAGTTTAAGTGCAGTGCTAGATGCAAAAAGAATTCATCAAAAAACTACTTTACAAGGCATAGGAAATCGTATCCCTACTCAACGTGGACTCTCAGATCAACCATATTCCTAAGTTTTTTAATGGTACATCCTGTTGGTTAGTTTTGGTTTGGTGAAATCACGAATTTAATAAATAAAAATCTTTCTGTTGCTTTCAGAATAAATACATGAACATATTTTTAATAAAATATTGAAAAAATAAAGATTGATTTTTCTTTTAGTTAACAAACCAGAAACGTGGAAGAAACAGTCAGTTGCAGGATGTAAAACTAACTTCTTAGATTAATTGTTGTCTACTGAGTATAACACCACTAAGTATAATTTAATAACATTTCCGTGGTGGTCAATATTCCTCCACGATTAAATGAAATATGACTTTAAACAAATTCTTACACCGGGCATAATGACTCTTTCCACGTCTTTCAGCACATCTTCCCATTTTTCGGGCTTTTCTGGTGCGGTTTCAGGAATTAAAGGTCTCAGGTATCCCGGTTCGACGGTTGGAAGCACTCGCCTGTAAGTTAAAATTATAAAGCACGAAATTAAAAAAAAAAACTCGCTAAACGCGAATATATAGGCAGAAAAACTTTACTTGAATAATTTATGGAATATTTTTTAAAGGCTAGCAGCCGACTCGACATACCTTGATATATGGTAAAATGAAGAACATATGTAATTAGAAACAACAGTAAGTCAATAAATAAACAAATGTCACTAAGAAAATGTATAATGTTATGACTAGTGTTTTTCAGATATGCATCAGATTACATTGTAAGATAAGTTGTTCGATGCATAGTTTAATTCAGCAAATAAATCTGGGTTTGAAATATATCCTTGTATCCAAATGCAGACCTGGTCGTTTTTTGTGGTTTTTACTACGCCCCTACCTGTCACTTTTTCTAAAATTTGGGTCAAGGTGGATTAAGTAACAACCATTGTACATTCGCGAGTACGTTGAGGTGTTTTAATGTTATTAACTAATATTTAACATCCAGGATAAATACAATGAATATCAAAGGATGAACAACATATTTCTATTTTCTGGGCCCTATTGTTTAAACATATAAGTGAAAAAAGTCATAAAATTCCAGGAATATTTGTACTTCATCTTGTCAACAATTCTCCCTCCTTTAATTAATTTATTTTTATTATTTACTTTAAGTGCTGCATGCATTAATAACAATAACGCCTAAGAACGCGCACACAAACTTTACCACATCTCAGAAAGGGAAAAGTGGTAAATGACAACACAAATATTTAATTTTTTTTCAATATAAATAATAAAACCGTTAATTTTCACCAGTTCTTGTTTAAAAACAACTTCAATTTGTTCTTATACATGTACATGCGAATGTGATTTATGGTTAATATGAACAACTGCATAGTTCCATAAGTAAACCAAAGAGCTGCTTTCAACTTTGATCAATTTATGACTGTTGCATTTGCAGTATTGGGTCAGACCGTTGACTTGACCTAAGACCGGGTTGATTGTTTTAAAAATAATTTAATAATAAATATTTCCAATTTAAATAACGCGCTTAACAGATTGCTATATGCTAACACTTACCGGTCTCTTATATTCTCTAGATAATTCGCAGCGTAGTCTATCATCGCTTTTCCAAAATCTTTAAATTGATTAGCCTCCATCGCTGAAAATGATATACAAACATAGACACATTAACTAAGTATATCGGGTTTAAAACGTCAATTTGAAATTTGAATATTACGACACTGGTGTATTCTTCTTTTGGTTTGAAAGGAAACGACGGGAAGATGCTGTATTTTATTGTATTTAGAAAGAGTGACGAATTAAAAACGAATTTTTATTTTACTTGTCTCGAAATAAATCAAGATTAAAGTGCTTTTGAGCCAATAAAAACGCCTATACAGGATGCTAATTAAAATTTAAACGTGAGTCTATTTCACTCCATACAATTTTCATATGGAACCTGCTAAAAGTTGTTCCCACTTTTCTTATGTTACCCGGTATACTACAGCCCCATATATTATACCAATGCTCGCTTTAAGTGTAAAAAGTACACCATGAAAAAAGGGATCTTGTTTTTGAATTTTAAAAATAAATTAAATGTAATCTGAAATGTAAAAAAAATAGTTGATTCCCGCTCAGTCAAGCACTCATTGAAATTCGGATGAAACCAAGCAGATTTTTTCAATGATTCTCCGTTTGACCACAACTGAATCTAAGTTTCTTATTTTAAATAGTAATTTTAAATGGTTGCAGCCTCAAAGCAAACTGTCTTGAAAAATAGCGGGCTTTTTTGTGTCAATGTCAATTAGAGAGATCAGCACTCTGCCTCTTAAAATTGTCAAAATATGGTTTAGAAATGATCTATATTTAGTCAGTTTTATTTAAAGCACTTCAATTACGAGAGCACTGCACGTGAGCAAAGTCTAACCTAAAAGAACACAAAGCTGAAAAGGAGCTCTAATACTAATAATAATAATAATTATAGCATCAGAGAGCTTAGCGACATGCAATAAATACTGTGGGAAGAATAATAAATATTTCAAACATTTAAAAGTTTTGCAGAGATGCTAAATTGAACAGCAGTATCCGTAAAAACAAATGACTGCTTGTCATTTTAAGACGTAAAAGTTAGGAAGATATAGCATAGAAAATTTGAAAGTATAAAAAAAATCAATACTAATAAAAAGGAATAAACATTTGCGTACTTAACAAAAAAAAGATATACCACAGCATTGGTCACTAAGAGCTATAGAGTTTTTTCAAATCTTTAGCTGATATCATCGCAGATGTAGACAATTATTGTTCGTTAAATAATTTAATATGCGCGGGCACTGCGAAATCAAATAAAAATAAAAAATATTCATTTATGACTTCCCGATAGATTTTTTCTAGAGAATTTCAACCACACGTATAATGCGTTTCCATGTTAGGTAAGTAATGAATTTTCCATAAACACAGGTTGATTCCATGCAAATTCGCCAAATCAAACAAACGAGCAAAGCAAGAGTTAATAAAGTAGGTCACAAACCGTCCATCTTCGAAATGGGTTACTATCGTCTGTTTAGAACCTAGCAGTACCTTTAACCAACCTAGAATTGAAATATTATTATACGACCATGCAAATTAGTTTAATGTTTGTGGTCTTATTCCTTAATACGGGTGTTTAAACTAATTAAAGGAAACAACTATTGTCAAAGACTATTTCTACACGCATCACTAACATTTAAAAAAAAATTATTTAGTCATTCATTCCATTTGTTTTTTTATGATCCAAGATTGTTCCAAATGGGCGGTTGATTTTACCAAAACTATATTATGGTTGCACACTTTTTTATAACCATTGTTAATATATCCGGTTAAATTGGTTAAAAGAAAATCTATGCTTTGGTTAGTTTTTAGTGCGTTAATTGATGCAGATGTCATGTCAACTGTTCAAGTACCTATTCGTGTCACTCTGGTATTTTACCACGGACAGAAACAGAATCCACTGAGCGTTATTAATTAAAAAATTAAACAGAGTATGTATAGATTCCATTTCCAATTTTCCAATTCCATTTATTACAAAGCTTTCAAACATATGTATTACGAATATATCAGCGTGGTGAAAGATTAGCATTAACCGTGGACGATTTTAATTAAAAATAAATAAAAATGACATTTAATTTTGAATTTGATCTATATTTAGTCAAAGTGATTCTTAAAAAGTCATATATTTATTTAAGAAGCACTTTGATAGATAACTTGATCTTCATGACAAGAATTATTTAAATTTGTATGACGTTCTCTTTCAGGTAAACGGCTCAATCATCCTTATTATTATTATTATTATTATTATTATATTCGTCATTAAAAAAAGAAACGATCACGAATGACCAGCAGAGCGTTTGCGTATATTTCTTTAAACACCCTGTATAGAATCCACTCTTGAAATCGATGTTGAATTTTTGAAATAGTTGCTACTTTTTATTACAATTTTAGTAGTGCAATAGTAAGCACTTTTTTAAATACTGAATAAATATTCACAACTACTTACCTGCACCACGTCGGTTGCGATACGTATTCAACAAGTCCACCCGGCACTTGTGCGACTGAGACTGAGAATATTACGTACTGTATCGGTAGCTCCTGAAGCACTGCGATAAGAAGTAGCGTTCAGCAGGAGTAACACGGAACGAACGACAAAGTCGATTCCGAGATTTTGATTTTGAATGTGTGACTCGCGCGTTCTGAAGAACGAGAGAGTAGCGAACAGGTATATCCATTTCGCTCTCGCAGTGTATCGATCTGCCATGGTAAAACCTCTTTCACTGGGATTTCATTGGGACCCCGTTTTTAATTTACTTCCTGCAAATTATTTGATTTTTAAGAATGGAATGGGGATTTACCCGAGCACTCCAAGGTATTTTTCGAAAATATTGCCCTACGATGGGTTGTTTCAAAATAAAACCGGTCCTAAAGCAATATTTTTTTAGTCGAGGGTATTGTTCCTGTTTATTTCGACTCAACTGTCAATTACAATTTTTTCTTTTTTATTTTCGGACTCTTCCGCTTAAAGTTTACCGAAAGAAAATATTTATATATAATTAATATAATTTATTTTTGAAATTACAGGTTTATTTATATATATTGTTTAAAAAATATGGCGTCCTTATAAAGATCTGTTTAAGTTTTCTTTATTTTTGTTAATCCTTAATGCATTGGTTTGATGGGAACGGATATTGTAAAGTTGTGAAATATGTTGAGCGTAATTAGCTTAGCACCACGATTCTATGCTTTTGTTTTTTGCGATTCTAAGTTTTTAAAATAACAAGATGTGTATTACAATTTTTGCCTTTACTGCTTGTCAATTGCATTTCTGCATTCATGATATTAATTAGCATCAATTTCTTCTTATTCTCATGGAGTATGAACAGTAAGTGGTACTGTTTTAGAACGGACTAAAAGATTCTGTTCTCCACTCGAAGCAATCATTCTTTTCCCTAATTAAAAAAGTTGTACTCATGAGTAGAAAACAATTAATCCGATTTTATATAAAACAGTGTATAACACAATAAAAAATAAAGGTATAATTAATATGTGCTAAAATTACATTAATTAAACTTAATAATTCAGCTTAGTTTGAATCAATTTCTATAAGTTTATTAAGCTATTTTACGTATGAAACTTGTTTTGGGAATTGTAAAACCGCTCATTCGATTTGGACCTCTCGACGTCAGCCACAGAAGCAGGTTATAATTGTCATTATACGCGGGATTTCCTATGCAAAAGTTGGTTTCCCGAATTTAACCGGTCTTGCAATTATATGTAACGAGAAGTTTGTGTGAAATTTCCACATAGTTTAAGTGCGCTAAATGAGTCTTCAAAATAAATCAAAAACGTTTGCAATGCAATATCTAGAAACACGTAACACTTACAAACTTGTTTAAATTATAGAAAAATAAATAAAAAGAATTTTAAAATGTTTCAGAAAACAAAAGTGTTATTCATAGTTCTAGCACTACAACTTGGCATTAGTGGTGGATGGGTTCTAGCCATTGCCACTTTTCATAAATTCGCTGTATAGCTAAATAACTATTTACCAATAATAAACTTCCAAGTTGCTTTTTGTAGTGGTATAGCATCTTTACCGCTATTAATTTGATTATGAATAACTACTAAAATAGTATTATCTTTTTTTTTGGAAGGAAATATGTCCTGCCTGAAATTTTAGTTTTAGGCAAGAATATGTAGAAATCATAAGTCCCGGCCTATTTTATGCACAATAAATTGCACACGAAATGACATAAGGGGTAATTTATGATCCGGCGGAGTCGAACCCGCTTGATTACATAAACCTTAAGCTCTGAGACGAGCCGGTTTCTATGGCAATAGAGTGCTATTAGTTCTCGGCAGTTTTATTGGCAGGGTTGCTGAATAATATAAATCCTATCAAGTTGAATTCAATAAAGCCTTTTGTGCTTTATACGAGTTGACCACGATATTCCTTCTACAATTTGCAACAAGTTACTTACCGTCTTCGGTCTAGAATATTATTATAGAAGTGGAGTTTATTTACTTGATTTACAATAAGAAAAAATTCCCAAAAAGGCCTTACAAACGTAACCAATTAATTAAAGTCTGTTCATAGATATAAGAAAGTGACTAACTGTAAGAATGAAATATGGCCGAACAAGTCCGTACTTTGCTTAGAATGTAATTAATTAGGGTTTTGTTAGGAAAGATACTAAACAATATTTATTTATTTATGTACGTATTTATATTTAAATCTAAAATAAAATTGCAAATTATTTTTATTACCTACTTAAATTACTTAAAATTATTCACATAGTATATCAGTGTCACTATCGCTATCATCGCCTGTTCTAATTATTAAGTTCTATATTATTTGCAATATGGATATACGATTGTTCTGCTTTTTCTATAAGTTTGAGGACATTGGAGTTAACACGAGGAAAAACATTGTTACGGCGAATGGCAGATTTCAGTTGGTGCCAAACATGTTCAATGGGATTAAATATACAGTGGTAAGGTAAGGCCTCTAAACTGTATGCCCTAGATTTTTTGCGTAATTATCACAGACGTATTCCTGTTGTAGGTTCAAGCTTTGTAAAACCTCAATTAATTGCTTTTTGGTATAATCTTCGTGAAAATAAATGTCGTTATTATACATATAGTTTTGGATTGTTGCTTTTGTGTCACATGAGGAAGGAGTTATAGTCAACTGTCTACTGTGATAACTTGAATTGTCCATTACAATTACGCTTGCTTTTTGTCAATTTTTTTTAAATCTAAAACCCATGTGTTGAATACACTTCCATAAGGTATTACACACGAAATAAGAATGATTGCTAATAAACTTAAACTTAGTAGTATACCAAACCAAAGAATATTAAATACACGTAGGTATTTAATTATTTTTTATTACGGTCCACAATTTGACCTGAATTTAAATTCCGAAACTTTAGGTAATAGTCTTGTTGCATTGTATGTTAGTGACCACCCTTGGATAATCCCATTCAAAAGCAATTGGTCACTTTCTTATATCTATGAACACACCATACCTATTTTTTAAAATTATATTACTGACTTTGGAATTTTAGCATATGAAAAATTTGCACTGAAACATAATGAAGCCGAGAATGCGAGAAAAAAGAGAAGAAATAAAATGATGTTAATACTTTCTTAAGATAATGTTGATGGAATGTAAATATTATATCAAGTTTGTAAGTCGGTTATTAAAAACTTTTTTCCTTTCAACTAAAATTTTATTAATTTGCTGAGATTCCCAGGTTCTGTATGCTCTATTTACGTAGGTATCCTATATACGAGGTGTGGTCAAAAAGTAAGGTGACTTTTGATTTTTGGTTGGTTGGTATGTCCTAACATATGTTTACAGTTTGAGGCAGTTTGAATGTTTACTTTTTTTTGTGAAACAGAAGCGTTAGACTTTTTTTGTGCGATTTTCTAGTGAAAAAAAAATGGAACAAAGAATTGGCATAATTATTTGTGTAAAAAATAACAAACAGTGCTGCTGTAATGTTGACAACTGCATATGGTGAATCTACTTTGAGCAAAAAAAATGTTTATAAGTGGTACAAGGTGTTCCAAGATGTCCGAGAACACGCCGATGGCCAACCTCGCTCTGGACGCCCCAGCACATCAATAATTGCTGAATGCGTTGAAGAAGTGAAACAAATGGTGTTGAAAAATAGTCTAATCACTATTAGAGAAGTGGCCGAAGACGTCGGCATCTCTATTGGCTCGTGCCATGCAAGTTTTTCCGAAGTTTGAAATGTGTAGCAGCAAAATTTGTTCCGAAACTGCTTAATTTTGAAGAAGGAGCTGTTAAACGACATCAATGATGATTCTAATATGCTTAAAAAGGTGAGGAATCATGGGTATATGGTTATGAAGTCGAAACCAAAGCTCAGTCGTTCCAATGGAAGAACCCAGATTCGCTAATACCGAAAAAAGAACTTCAAGTTCGATGAAATATGAAAGTTTTGCTTACTGTTTTCTTTGATTATTGATATAAAGAGTCCTTATCACAAGGTCGTACGTTGAATAAAGAGTATTACCTTGAAATCGTGCGCCGTTTGTGAAAAGCAACATGAAGAAAACGTCCGGAATTGTGTGAAAACATTTCATGGATTTTGCATCACGATAATGCACCCTGATGACACATCGTTGCTTGTGTCTACTTATTGGCCAAAAACAAAACCGTAAGCAAGCCTCAGACTCTATATTCACCGGATATGGCCCGCTGAGACTTTATCCTGTAGCTATACCAGAAAACGCCCAACAGAAGTGCTTTGAGGATTGGCACATTATTATTTCTGGGGGAGGATTACTTTGAAGGGCACAACATTAATTTTAATTAATAAATAAGTACTGTTTGATAAAGCTTAAAAGTTACCTTACTTTTTAAACACACCTCGTATACATATTTTCTCTTGGTTGGTGTCGATCGAAAACGAAGGTCATAACTCTCCATGTCTATTACAGAAAAGAATTAATTTTCTTTTATAATTATTTAAAACCTAATAATTAATGAAAGCATAAAAAAATCCCGCTAGTAAAGAATAGGGATGGCATTAAAATAACATCCACTTTCCTTATACGCAACAAAAAAGGATATAATTGTCCACCCACCTTGGAGTTATTAAAATCAGGAAGTAATAAAATAATGAGATTGTGAATTCCATTTTCCGTTTTTAAAGTTCAACATCGATATGTGAATAGCGGATAATGCAAATATTTACTTGAGGTTCTTAAAAAGTTCAGGGCTGTTGAGAATTCGAAGGATATTGACGATCACGAAAAAAATACGCGCCAATCTGCTGATTTACAACATACGTTTTAAGATTGTCTGTGTGTTCGTTTTAGAGGTGCAGTGACGATGAGTTACAAGCTAGTCGCAGTAAGTATTATTTTTCTTTGGTTTGAGAGCGAAGGAAAAGTTAATTTTACGTTTTATAAAACAGTCAGACTACGCAATGGAAAGGTTCATACTATTAGCCCCAAAAATACACAAAAGCAAAAAAGTCCGAATTTAATTGATTAATATTTATTGTTATTTATTTGTTCATCGATTTTTAACCGTGTGGTTATTTGTAAAGTGTTCAGCATTGGTATCTCCTAAACGCTAATTGGTAAGCCTATGATCGACCCAAATTTAATGTTGTATGTTTTTAGAATTTGAAAAGGAATAATAATTTAAGTCCATTCTGAAAAACCAATATTTTTTTTCTCTAATAGCTTTTATATTTACTTTTTGATTACGATTTTGTTTTTATTAAAAATATTTTCTAGGCCCACACAAAGGTCGGTTTCCAAAAGGCTACACTTAATTTTTTAGACAGATTTTTCTGGTATAATTTTTCTACATGGAAAGATTTTTACGTAAACATTGTTTTGTAAAAATTGTTTTTTTTTGTCAAACAAACTTCAGCAGACTCATGTCGAACTTGCAGGTAACCTTCTTCTGGTTTTTCCCCGAGTGGGATATTGACTCTCGTTGACGTTTCTTTAAATATACTGCTGGCTTCTTCAGAGCGCGGTTTGAAACACTTTAAACAGCGCTCTGCTTTGCGAGATAGAGTCAGAATTTATTTTATTTATTTTAATTTCACATTCTAACCTGTGCTATACTTCATTTTTTTTTAAAAAACAGCGATCTCCATACAATTTACTCGTTTTTTCTTTAAATATTGTATGGAACCTGGGAAATTTTGGCAAATACTGTCACGTAAACACTGAAAACTGTAGAATTGACGAACTGTCTGCGGCCATATTTTATAAACGCCGCAAGGTCTCAACATTTTTTTGATGTTCGCTTCAAAAGTCATCAGCATAGTTAAGACCTGTATATACCTAGTAGCTGGATGGTTTTTCCCAAAGGATTAATAATATAATTAAAATATATAATAAGAGAGAGGGGAAGGTCGCGTACACTGTTACGAATGCCATCTATTATTTGTGTCCAAGTACTAAAGTACTGTCATGGCGGTTTAAAGTAATGCGCCATACTGAAAATACTACAGTAGCTTGTAACAGATAACAGCACTTTATTTATATTTTAATAAAAAAAAATTAAACCTATTTCGAGAATTGTTTTTTTCACATTTTACCTTTTAAACTTTAAATTGAATTGAACCGTACGTCCCGCGCATTTTCCGTTTTCACGATTGGACACAATCACCGGAGGCTTTGAAACTCGTGTACGCTTCTTAATATTGCCAATAATGGAATACTTCTCTTCTATCTTATACTCTTTGGTTTTGCCTAAAATGGTAATGAGGAACAACGGTACGTTTTCAATGGAAATCAGGTACTAAGAAAGCAATTATCTCAAGATTTAAAAGTTTATTGAAAACTATCACACTTAAGTGATGTAGATTATTTAAAATAGTGATTTGACGAAAGGATGACAATGATCAATGGAAACCAATATTTTTGTATGTATCACAAGAACTGTGCATATAAGTTAAAGTCTTTGGTATTTTGCGTCCTCCTGGTAGCTTGATCCCTTATATTCCGGATCATGTTCGCTGCAATCTTTCATCACTTCTGTGGTTTGGGATGTTATTTCCTTCCATGTGGTGTTGATGTCTTCGAGCTCCGTTATTCTGCTACAAACGACGAACCTAAACAACAGCTCATCTTGATAATAATAAGGCATAATATAAATTTTGCTTCTAGATTTAATTCTTTCGAGCACTTTCTTCGTTAGCGTTTCGCCGCCCAATAATTTGAAGCACACTACTCCCAAACTCGATATTATGATCTGAAACCGTTCGTCTGATTTGACTAAATGTTCCAGATGTTTCGCCAAAGCGACTTGATGTCTCACGTGTTTCTGTATTCCTTCTATACCATAAGACCTAATGACGAACCATAATTTTAGCGATCTAAATCTTCTACAATCCGGTATTTGCCAGTGCTCTAATTCAGGCAATTGGTGTGATTCCCCTAGAGTAGGTTTAATTTTGAAAGCATCTTCAACTTCGCTACAATTCTTAAACCACATCGCTGAACAATCTGCGTTTACCAGCATCCATTTGTGTGGATTAAAATTGAACGTGTCTACGTATTCAATACCTTTGATTATATAGCGGTACTCGGGACAGGCGAGGGCGGTACCAGCATACGCTGCATCCACGTGTAGCCACAGTCGTTCTTCCCTGCATATTTCACCGATTTCTTCGAGATTGTCAAACGCGCATGTGCCTGTCGTCCCCAAAGTGGCCACCACCGCAAACGGAATGAATCCATCATTTTTATCCTTTTGTATCGTCTCTAATAGAACTTTGCCGCGAAGACTTCCGGCCGGGTCCGTCTGTATCAGTCGCATTTTTATCGACGCTAGAAGTCCGGATTTTTCTACCGACGAGTTGGATTCCCGGGATGTGTAGGCGACCAATTTACCTCTGATTTCCCATTCCTTTAGTTCGGTTCCCGCCTGTTGAAGCTGTTTCAGTTTTCGGTGTTTGGCAGCTAGAATTCCAACCAGAGTTGAATCACTCGCTGCGTTCTGAAATTACGATAAAAATTCGCTATCAGTTTTGGTCTATGCTCAATGCCAAATGATTTTTTCTTTTTAACTCTTGCGTGTCCAATAAGTTTTCCAGATATTTTTGCAAAATTGTATCTCGCACTAGAAGCCAATTTTTGATTTCTGATTATTAATATTTATTGTGTTCTCTGTACAAATTTTCATAAGTAGGCGGATCGAAAAACTGGATGGAATTGGATGATTTTTAAAACTGAATTTATAACTGAGATGGTGTGTTTAAATAATATTTTTAGTTATAAATCGACTTGAAGTACATTTTAAGTAAATTTTAAAATAATCATGCACTCGGAATAATTTATTACAGTTTTAGGATGGTATCAATTCTTTAACCTTCCGGTTAACAAAATTTAGGTGGAGAACCACTCTTTTAAGGCTTCGATTTGAACAAAGATTTATCGGTTAGAAGCAAAAGTTGCGAAATCATTCTACCGACAAATTTTCTCCCGCATCAAAGTTTCTCACTTATGAACATTTTCGTTGACAGAAGTACGAAATATTAGCTTATTAGTGCAATCAGAAATTCAAATGAACCGCCGGGTACAGTGGACTATTATGTAAATCTAATATCAATACTTAATAAAATAAATAATCTGTTCGAATTACTACAATTTTCTGTATTTACAAATTTAAAGATGTTTCAAAAAGTACTACTGATTAGTTTGATTTTAAAGATATTAAACCGAATTTCAATGTCATTCCGCTATTTAGTTTTGGTTAGTTTGTTATTCGCGTGTCCATTTATGTTATTCAACAGGTTTTACAATTACTTATAAATAACTTAACAAGCAAACAAGAATAATAGTCGAATTTCATTAAAAAAAAATCTGCTTTAAATATATTCCATTCACTTTGTTCTTCCATTGCGTAATATAAACTCGCACCCTTTAAACATGAATGTCGTTCGGATCGATTAAGAGAAGTAAGTTACGATCTACCCTTCAAACTATTCAAATGCCATAAATATACAAGAAAAGTTATGACCTGAGATCTGCTACACATTATTATCATTAATTTATGTTTTATTTTAGCAAAATGAATAAACATTTTTGTACAAAAATATCCAACTTTGACCAGCTTTTATGCACTTCTGAACTGTTCATTTAGTAGAGGATTTCTAAACAATTAGTAATAATATATTGTTTACAAAGAATGCACGAAAAGCATTGTTGTATGAATATCTCAAATAACTTGAACGACAAGCGTACGGTTAGAAAGTTAAATTATTTTAGCCCATGCTTAAAGGTTTTTATTTTATTTAACTGTATTTGTTTAAAAAAAATGATTTTTTTTCATTATTGCTACTTTACTATCTATTTTGGTATTAAGCTTGTTAGCATTTTCCTGTTAAATACAATTCCAATTTTACACACCCAAGAAATTCAACTCCATAAACTTCATAAACCACTTTAGCATCATCGACAGATGATATAAACAACGCTATAAACGCTGTTTAATTAAAATTATATGCGCAAACTGTTTCAGTAGCCACCGGCCATTTCTCGAAAACTACTGGACTTGGAACTTTAAGACAGACGAACTGCAATTTTTCCTTGCAGATTTAATCTACTTTCCGATTAGGATAACAAAAATATACCGAATGTATGTATTTATTTACTTGCAATTTGGGACACAAAATGTTACCAAATTTGTTCGTAAAATCCTGGTTCCAAATAGGGAGATGAATGGCAATATATCATGTTTTTGGAAATCACTATATTTACCTGGATTACACCTCCCCCTGGTCCTTCGGCCATATTTTGAAAATATTCTGGCAATCCAAGAATTTTCGCCAGCCAGTCCATTACTCTCGTCTCTAATTCGACACATGCTGGGTTAGATTCCTAAAAAAAACAGCGAGCATGAATAAATCTGCGATGTAGCTTATACTTGATAAATAAATTTCAAAAATGATTCGCCTAAAATAGCCGATGACAAAAATATGTATAAAATTTGGAGACAATACCAAAGAAAGAATTTTCTAAATGAAAAGAGTTGAAATTTTCAGCTGTTGATAGTTGCCTGATATCATTTTTGAAAAAAAACGTATTTTACTACTACATACATAGAGACCTTGAACTTTCGAAACGAACGAAACAATGTTGAGAAGAGATATTTAATATGCGCGTGCCCAGTCATTTCAAGACTTGCCTTCAACCAATTTCACATCTTTCAACCAAGACATCGTCGCGTTCAATCAATATGGCCGCCAATACGTCGTCAATCAGACAATTTCAGTTTAGATATGACATTTTTCGGCAGACTATTTTGTCAAAATATGCCCAGAATCTAATTAATTTTTAGGAAAAAATAAGCTAGGTAAGTAAAGATCGCACTATATGGCACTATAAATGTAGATTAGTGTCCTATGTTATGACTTAGGAAATATATATTTTCATGAGTCCCAAAAAAAAAAAATTAATAAAACTACTTCAAGCGTTGATCCATTACAACACTGCTATATATATTAGATTATTGCACATAACATTTTTACAAAATTTCTCCATATCCCAATTAACAAATAAAATAAAAGAACACTTGCGGATTTGACCATTACAAGAAAAATATAAGATACAAGCTTTGTGCCTTAATGATGGATACGTACTAGAATGTTTAATGTTTATTTTAAATGTTTGAGCAGCTGTTTGAACTTTGAACTCTTGAAAATTTAACTTACCCAGTTAGTAGTGAGGGTTCCCAAGCCAGCAATGAAAAGCTCTCCAATAATGCCAGGGTATGAATTTGCAGTGGGAAAAAATGCGTGGAAATATGGAGAGTGCCAATGTGTTAAGCCTGGGACGATGATCTTATCTATATCGTTGAGAATATTGTGCCAGTTTTCCGGTTCGTTTGGCGCATTTTTCGGCAACGCTTGGCTGAGGTAACCTGGTTCGACATTTGATAGCACAGGTCTACAAAAAACATTTTAACTTTTACTTTTACCTATAGCTTACAAAGTGTTTCTTAATTGGAATATCTATATTAAACAATTTTATAAAAATGAAAACATTTTTGATCAAATTGTTAATGAAAATAGAACATACAATTAGCAAAAACAAATTATGTAATCTCAGGGAAACGTGATATTTGTCTAATTAAACTTCGTTCCACTGTGCGATAATGAAAAGTGAAATTATTACGTGATGTAAATACTTGTTGAAGTTCAAGGAAAGTGTGTTACTATTATTATTAATATTATGGGATATGAACTGAATGGTGGGTTAGATGGTGCGTGTCATAGTAACGATATATATCGAAACATGAATGATTCGGGATTCAATACTACTTGCCTGTCTCTTATATTTTCAAAATAGTCCGCGAGATAATCTATTGACGCATTCGCGAACTCTTTAAACTCCTGAACGTTCATCGCACTGGTGTACCGCGTTAACTGAAATAATTTTTAAAGATTTCTTCACATCATTTCTTCATAACTTAAAAAAACCTACTTTCACCTTCCATGGTAAATTACTGCGATTATATGAGACGCGCCATCGGCAACAATGACCGTCATAAATGCTGACCGCGATTTTTTAAAAAAATAAATCTGAATTTTAATTGTTTCCACCAAGGTGGTCCGAGACTCGTTTTACTGGTCTATCTGAAGTGCATTTAATTTTCAAAATTATTTCACAATATGACCAGACAAATTATAGATACATTAGATAATTCTAACTGTATATACTATTACGGTTTTAAAAGATTCCGGCCTAACAGAGAGAGCATTTTATATTATGTTATTGTTTACTAATATATGGGCAGGGTGGATCAAAAGTTTGACAAAGTCCTCTAATAAATGTAGTGAATGTAATACATTGGGGGTGTATTAAATCAAATAATAGACATTTCAATTATAGAATGTATTTCACCAAAGCGTGACCATACAAAACCATATATTTTAAATGCAACACTCCATATATTTTTGCGTATTACGATATATGTTATATATTTCTTTAATTATAATGCCAGGTTCCCAGGAAAAAAAAAAGAAAATACCAAAGAGAACATGTTTTCTTCTTTGTTGTTGGTTGTTCTTTCAGTCTGACACAAGGCGCTTTCCCAATTTCACGAATTTAAGGAGATTTTCCAATGTGAACACGCTATATCTAACTATTTTCTTGTATGCAGCTTTTACTGCTCTGCCAATTGGAAGGAGTTAAATCAATTTAAGTTTACATGTGGTATTTTTGTTAATCATACACATTAACTTGTCTCTATTTAGTGAGAACTCATTATAAAATTAATTGGTGCAATAGTTTAAAGTAAACGATTGAATACCTTGCTTACTTAAGAATACGTTTTTGTTACTAGTAAAGTAATTATATAATAAAAATATAATATATATAATAAATAAAATGAAAATTAAACAAATTGTATATGTTTTTAGAATGTTTCTCTTCTCATTTTATGGAACACTGATTAAAACATTTTTTTTAAATATTGCATAAACACCTGTATGTATATGTAGCGTTATATCAATATTTAAATGCAAAGATGTTAGTTTTGCATAGTTAATGGTAAGATTTTAGGAGTGAAAAATGTCCCAAGTGATAAGAAAAATAATTTTCTTACAGGCTGAAGAAAAAAGTTCGAAAGCTATAATTTTCTTAATACCCGTTACATAATATGCACATCAACGGGTTAAAATATATAAAGTTAATTTTTATTGTATTTCATTTAAATTTCATCAAGCAGAGCTCTCTATGTTGCTTAATGTGTACTAAACAGTACTGGTTTCGATATTTTATATGCGTTTCGGGGGATGGTGTACTAGATGGCGCAAGTTGTTTTCTTAGAGATCGCGTTATTATATATCATAAACTCATTTTTATGGGGATGCGTTCAAAAATGTGAAAGTATGTTATACACGTAATGCATAAAATTTTATTAATCTTAATGTGTAACACACGTGATCACAAGTTACCTGTTCTGAAATAAATGCTTTACTTAAAAAATACATTTTTTAAAATAATTTTGGAATAAGTTTATTGGACATGGGTACAAACAAATTAAATTAAAAGTGAATAGTGAAATTTAACTTACCAAATGAAAATATGGAGAAAATAAAAAATATCTACCGCAGATTTTGTAGTAAATAGGCAAATTATATCGCAAAATATCATGTTCTAAATAATTTAACTTAAAAAAACGGTCGTAAACTCTATTTACAACGATGGGTGGATTAATACAAATTGTATTTGTAATTACCATTATAAAATATAGTCGATACATTTCAACAATTGAAATTCCAAATTCATTTTAATAGATTCTAATGTATGTATAGGCGGTCTGTTTCCATTGACCATGTACCACTTGCTTTTTTATCGTTTAATTTCAGTGCTTTATTTGCTATCAGTACCTACAATAAGGCATATTTAGTTATCATTAACCGTTGTAATCTGGGATTTTTCTGGATTAAAGTTCCATAAAAGTTTTACCGGATGATTTGTAATAAAATGTTCGCCAAATCTGTGAATGTCTAGTGCGATTTTGTTTTACATAACGTAAAACATATTTGTTAATGTTTATAGTGTGATTGCATACGCTGGAACAATGTCGTGGCAAACGGTAAGCTTTACGATTATTTAAAAATTGTAAACCAAGGACGTCAGTAAATAAGGCCGATCACCATTGTAGAGTATATTAAAATGAATATTAGCGTAGACATAGTTGTAAATAAAAATTATAATTTGCGAAATTTATGTATTTATTAAATAAACAACGTGTTTTATTTTTTCGAAACTTGAGTGCCATCAAATCGAATTTTATTTGGGGTATTTATTTACTCAGGATTGAGTTTAATTCAAGTTCAATTAATTAATGTGGTTATAGCAGGTAGTTTAAGATTTTGGGATTTAATGCGGAAGTAAATTAACAGCTCGTAGTGAAAGTTTGAGACGAAGAAATTTACAATCAATTGGACTGTGGTTATCGTTTAAAACTAAGAACCCGCCAAGTTCATTTTTAGTTCTTCTTTTTCTGTTCGGGTAAATATCATATTACCGTTTTAACGAAATGTTTCGACCCACTGTGCACTATGTAAGTAATCATTTCGATTTTGTAGACACGTATATTGTTTCACTTTTAGTGCTGTTGTATCATTCAGCTTTAAAGTATTGAAAGAAAATTTACAAATACAAAATATTAATAACACTCAAATTAAAAATGTCAATTAAAGCAAGATATAAAGATATATTATAAGTGGTAATGACAATAATGATCGATTAATAACAATGGATAAGTTTTGTAAATTAATAAAGGAAAAATAAAGAGAAATATAATCAGAATGAAAATGGATCTAACTATAGGTAGCCGACTATGTGGTATTTGTGTTATTTTAAATCGGATTACATTTATTTTACTAGTTATGCTTAAATTGCACTTTGCTGCCGTTTTTGATCTATCATCAGGCATTTTTAGCAGATTGTATCATTCCTCTTCATTGCGCAGCAAGGTAACGCGCAGTTAGAGACTCCGTTTACCCTAGATGAATATTTTAGCGGGACTTTTTCCAGTTCTACGTGGAACGGAACATGGCTGACAGGTAAAATGTTATTCTGGTATCATATCGGAACTTTGGTTCTAGTTTTTAATAAAAAACAAAAACAAGATATAAGTTTAGTACTGGGTGCCTGATTCTAATTTAACACCTCATCTACAGGGTTTATCCTGAAGTATATATAAAAGTTCCAGGAATTGTTCCTATACAGTCTTACCTATGTCCCTGGCAAATTAAACTAATGAATAGAGAAAATTTATCCATCAATATCGAACGCAATTAGTTACCAATTTCAGGAAAATAATCGAATATGTCATGACAAAAAAAAAAGACAAACAAATTGACAAAGAACATAATATAATAATAATAAATTATTTCATTATTGTGTATTCTTCTTAAAATATTCCCGAGCTGGCCATACTTTTTTTTGTAAAGTAGTTAGAATTAGTTAAATTGCTATATACTTTTCCCAATTGGTGTAGAGAGCGTATGAAACTGGTGATTGGATTTCTTATCCCTCACTTAGAGCAATCCTACGGTTAAAAAAATCCTTTCAATTCTTTTCACAATAAATTGGTTGATTATTATTACAAAAAGTTTGACAATTAATTCATATTGGAAGTTAACCTCAATATCTGCAACAGTGGATTAATTAGAAGTGGGAAATTTAAACAGCAAAGCAGTTTTAAATAGGATATTATCTGGAAGAAATAGAAGATTTTGATTAAAACATAGGTTGTTCTATATAAAAAATACAAACTTTTAAATTTTTCTTTGCTTCTCCAAGTTTTATTTAATATTACAGGAAATGTTGATTGTTCAGGTCAATCGCTACAATTTTTGGGTTTGTCATATTTTTAGCATGATTTATGATAAACCTTGTCACTTACTTATTTCAACTTGTCATTTGTTTTTATTTTTATTTCTTATCTATCTATATCTATCTATCTTTTTATATATATATATATATATATATATATATATATATATATATATATATATATATATATATATATATATATATATATATATATATATATATATATATATATATATATATATATATATATATATATATATATATATATATATATATATATATATATATATATATATATATATATATATATTCTCACGTATTGATTCACGGATGGAAAAATGTGATGACACTATATTCCGGGATATCATCCGTTCGCTCGTTGAACTCCGACTGGAATCCTGCATCCAACTGGAATCCTGCAAATCCTGCATCCGACTGGAATCCTGCAGACGTTTCGCCAAAATCTCACTTGGCATCTTCAATGCTCGCGCTCCACACTGAGTGTTCGAAATGTTTTCGGAGCGCGAGCATTGAAGATGCCAAGTGAGATTTTGGCGAAACGTCTGCAGGATTCCAGTCGGATGCAGGATGCCAGTCGGAGTTCAACGAGCGAACGGATGATATCCCGGAATATAGTGTCATCATATATATATATATATATATATATATATATATATATATATATATATATATATATATATATATATATATATATATATATATATATATATATATATATATATATATATATATATATATATATATATATATATATATCAATACCAATATAAACAAGTCGACCGTCGTTTTATTATAGACAACCGTTTGTTTGTGCCTGTTTTTAGCTTGTTTTACCTACTGATTATCTTTATTTTGTTTTTATACAAATATTATACCAACAAAATTTTTAAAATAATTTTTTGTACCCGCTCCTTTTTCCGAAAATGGAAAAATGTAAGAAATAGGAAATCTCCTCTCTTTTTTTATAACATTTTTGGAGCTCTAAAAATATTCTTTTTTTTTGTAAGATCCTAAAATCGGTTTTTAAAAATATCTCGATATTTCTTCGAATACTATTGAGAATTTCAGCATATTTCGTGTGTATTTCGAGCAATATCGGGGGAGTTTGAAAAACTGTTGGTAATTCCTTTTTTGTTTATAATTTTGAGGAATCATTTTCAAAAAAGGTGGTTTGCCCCTCGACTGAAGCCTGACCTGCTATAAAAATTACGTTGTCTCGGTGTAAAGAGTATTTTGTTTTAGATTCCACATTTGTGTATGCAGATAGAAGCGGAAATTATTTACTATACGATATGTTCACTAAGAAGTCCGACGTTTTCTTAGAATCAGCTACTTTGGTAGGTATCAGATGTATAAGAATGACTTTAAATAATTCGCACAATGCGTTGTTTTACAAAATATGATAAATCGATGCTAGAAAAATATCACATTAAAACGAAGAAGTTTGTTGAAAGTTCAGAGAATTAATTATGCTCAAGACACTACAGCTATGTGTGATATTGATATCGATGACATTCCTTGCTGTTAGCTTTTCACTGGAGATTTCGACTGAACCCGATTTCAAATAATTAAATCTAACTTTAAGACAATATTTTCTTGTATCTAGTGTATATGCTCTGATGCTAACAATACGTAATTTCAAATTTTCAGTAATCGTAGAGTTTAAGACTTTTTACAAAACTTCTGGATGTCTCCTGCGTCGGTTTTGCCAACAAGATGATTGGGGAAACGTCAGCAAGTTCGACTCAGCAAAAACCGACGCAGGAAGAATCCAGAAGTTTTGTAAAAAGAATTACAGTAGCTTGTGGAAGTTTCTTAAAAAAAAAGTAGAGTTTAAGCTTTTAGTCGATAAAAAGTATAGTAATTTTGTCTTTTTTCACTCCTACAAGAGCCAATACATCGTTAATAAGGCTTAATTCTTCCCTTTGGATATCATCCATGAAAAACTAAATAGAATATATTTTATGAACGCGAAACTCTTGACACAATTTTTGTGGCATTTGTTCTTTGTGTAAGGGTAGATGGACGAAAACTAAAAATATAAATATGCGACTTTAAAAACACTATATTATTGCTTAGTTTGGTTGCACCAGATATTCAGATATTAGCATCAGATTGTTGGAACGAAACAGTTGCAACATTTACATTTCTTCAACGACTTTTTAATTTATTAGAACGCAATTGATGATTAATATTTCTAGGCAAACTATTCCCCTGCGGTGATTTCGATTTCCAAAGACATGCAGTACATTTTAGTTCGGTACAATGTAACCTCGGTAAATATAGTATATTTCATAGTCTAAAACTAAATTTTCAAAAATCATCGTTTGTAGATATTCCGCCATTCCACGACCGCATCCTACGCCCTTTACGATAAAACTTCTAAGTAAGTGTAAATAGAGCAACGCTACGACCAACTGCAGAAATCTTTGTTTCCTAAAAATAATTGCACCAATGTGACTAAAAGTTTTTATATTGCACATTTTTTAGTGAGTTTTACGAAGTTCATAATCGAAGTGCTCTTCAACTCGCTAAATTCGATAGCAACGGCCATGGATTTGCGTACGTATTTGAAAATAGTATTTACTACGTGTCCACACCGAGCGACATCAATGAACCTACCCTCGTGGCAAAAGGTGTGCCTGGGGTTATCTATTATGGTGTACCCGATTGGGTCTATGAAGGTTTGGAATCGCCGGTATCTGTTTTCAAAATTGCATAAGATTGCAGTTTTTAGAGGAGGTTTTGGGAAGCGGTTCTGCTATGTGGTTCTCACCAGACGGAACGAAGATAGCCTACGCTATGTTTAATGACACAAATGTAGCAGATTTTTCCTATTTCGTTTATGGAAAGCCAGGAGTGTTAAGCGACCAGTATCCTACGATAGCCACCATTAAATATCCCAAGGTGCTAAAGTATAGTTATTTCCACTATTTGTTTACAGAATTCATTTTTAAATAGGTCGGAACGCCAAATCCGGTGGTACAAACCTACGTCTACGACACAAGCAGCAAAATCAGCACCAAATTTGACCTCATAAGCACTATAGAAAACGGCGAAAGTAACAACGATTATGTACTCTACGATTTAAGTTGGGTGTCTGCATCTGAAGTAGCCATGATCTCAACCAACAGAATACAAAACGAATCTGTGATAATTAGGTGTAAGTTAGACGGCTCTTGCGCAGAGGTAAAGTTACTCCCCGTTAGAGTGGTTTCATGTTCTTCAGTTTGGTTCTTCCCGTTTCAGGAGACCTCCTATCAGCAAAAAAATGGTTGGCTACGACCAAAAATTCCTAAATACAGCGCCGACGGCACAAGAAGGCTCGAAATTTTGCCCCAACCTGAAGGAGATGATTACTTCGACCACCTGGTTTCAACCAACGTAGGAAATAATAATCAAATTAGATTAACTCACGGACATAGAGTTGTCACTGTTATTTACGGGTGGGATGAAGTTAGCGGGTTAATGTGAGTACTATCCCTAATTTTAAAGACAAATAAAAGTAGATTTTGAAACTTAAAAACCTATTTTTTGTGAATATATTTTCTTATAGTATATTTGCGTTAACCGTTACAAAAATTTTGTTCAATGCTCACGATTTTACTTCTCTATTGCCGAAAACGTGTTGTAGTTTAATTACACTAAGATAGCAATAAGTGGCGCATTCTAATTAACACTCGAAAGCTTTGAACAATGTTTAAGGACTATTCGCAAAAGTGTCTATTATCCTTAAAATTCTGATTTTTTTACAATATCCTTAAATTATTTTGAATCTTCACCCCCAGTTAATGTGAGATAATCATTCTAAAAACAATATACCGGATCGGCCAAAACTATGATGATTTATGAAATACTGATCTCAATTTGTTTTTACTGTTTCAAGCGGCTAACAACAGCCTTTATATACGGATATCTCTCTCCAAATTAATTTTATAATTTTCCACACGTACTTCGAAGGATGGTCCACAAATTTTGTTTATTTGTTTCCAGTATTCTGCAGCAGGCATATCCATCGATGTTACTTGAACGAATTGAATGAAATTTAAATGAAATAAATATTGCAGGCATCCATCTAATATATATATATATATATATATATATATATATATATATATATATATATATATATATATATATATATATATATATATATATATATACAAACAAATTTTAACGGTTAACGTAAATAGGCTATAAAAAATATATTCACAAAAAAATTAGAGAACACTCTCTAAAACGAAGAAATCTCATAAACTTTCAACAGCTCCTTTTCTAACAAAAGTGAAATGGAAAATTTTAAAAACAGACTGAAGACGATTTTTTTTAGATATTATGGTGGATCTGCAAACGACACTCCCTCTCAGCAACATATCTACGTCGTTGACATAGCGAATATCTCAGAAGACAAATGTCTGACTTGTAGTATGGTGGTCGACGGTGAAAACTGCAAGTACGCATCTGCAGCATTTAGTACCCAATTTTCATCTATTGTCAAAGTGTGTCGAGGGCCTCATCCAATTTATGTCACTATAGAGAGTCTGAAGCAGGCTGTAAGTAATGACCAATAGTTTTCTCTTCACTAATTGGAATAATTTAGGTAACTTACTTAACAAATTTAGATAGGCTAGAGTAATGAATTCGAAGAAATTTAACATATATAAATTTTTAATATTTTTACTCTCATAAAGACAAAACACACTTTCTTGGCTATTGAATCAGCACTGATAGATTAGACTAATGAACTAAATTAAGTTCATTCTAAACCGCAAGATGAACCGAATCAATTTTCGAAGTATAGTGTGTGTTAGTCCAAAATTTTATTTCTTGAAATGGATTACTTAAATGTGGTTTGCAACAACGTTTCATGTTATATCCAATATATGATTTATTTAAAACAGTTGAAAATGTATATTATGTTGAAACGTTTCAAGTTCAAAAATTCCTCCATTGTGTGGAAACAATAAGGAAGGAAGAATTCTGTTAATTTATTTTTAAAAGTTGTTGAGGCATTTTCCTCCCTAAGCTCCCTAGAATTTGTTATACAAATTTAGTTCCAACTAGATGTAACTGTTGCAAGTTTAATCTCCAATAGTCACAATACGTTATCAAGTATGACACACCTAAAATGTCAGGACACAAAATCAGTTTTTGATTGGACATAAAACATACACAGGCAAAAGGAATTGCATTGCAAAACGTTGAAAAGATCGCGACCAGTCCATTTACAGTCCAGGTCCAAGAAAATGGCAATTTCTTAAGTATTCAGGTTAAATTTAAGTGACGACTTAAAAAACGATTATTGAAATCGAACTGCATATTGTTTTTGATTTCATATATTGACGATAAAGGGCGTGCATGCAATTCATTTATCATGCATCATTAATTTCAGACTTATTGCAGAATCGGATATTTTTTTTATGTTGTAGTATGAAACAAACTACGACTTTTTTTCACATAATGCATCATTTTTTGTTGCTCTTTAAAAAATCGGATTTTTGGAACATTTTGAAAAAAAGTAAAATTAATTTTACTTAACTAAAAATTTTATAAAGGAAATTACGATTACGAGAAATGCCATTTATTTCTAATCTTAATTACAGATGTAGCTATCAGATCAAAGGTAGTTAATATGACTGGAAACGTATTCAATAAAATTGGCGTCACCACATAGCTTATGCTGAATACTTTTCCCCAAGAAAAATTGAGGTTATTTTTCTCTCGTATTACTTACGACGCGCATTTTTCTTTTCAGGAAACCGAGACAATAATTTGGCAAAATAACGCGGCCGTTCGTGAACGACTGGCCGCGAAACTGCGACCAACAATACAAGATTTAAGGGTGCTAGTCGATGGCAAGTTTACGGTGAGGGTGAGAATGCTGCTTCCGCCAAATCTAGACGTAAAACTTAAACATCCAGCTCTTGTTTTGGTGTAAGTAGACTAAGGACCCGTATTCCATAAAGGCAAAATATCATTCCACTTTTCACAAAACTTCTGCGTCGGTTTTTGTAGATCAAACTTGTTGATGTTTCGCTAATCATCCTGTTGGCTTCTTCAGAGCTTGACTTAAACTGGCTCGTATTTTACTCTGTACATGCTTATATATTGTTTGAGGGGGCGGAACTAAATTAGGGGCATAAACACCGTCTCGGATGACTAATTCCCTTATTGGTGACAGGTAACGACCTGAGTTTCGGTTGAGATTGTTAGGTTGCTTATAGATTTCTATAGACTCTTGGATTTGTCGTTGGTAGAAGAATTGATTGCATGCAAGAATTTAAGTTTTGTAGAAGAAAATTTTATCTCCGGTTCGGTTTCGTTATTGTGGTCGGCAATTGCTGATGAGTTTATTTGTCTTAGTCTTAAGACTCTTGCATGTTCTTTGAGCCAAGTTGATATTTTTCGTCGGGTGTCTCCAATGTATTCTTTGCCGTATTGTGTCTTTGACGGATCGAAGATGTTAGGAGTTTTTTAGACAAGTGGTAAATCTGGTTTTGACGTGGTATTTCTATATAACTTTTGATATGTGGTGCGTAATGGCGAAACGTCAGCAAGTTTGATTCAACAAAAACCGATCCAGGAGGAATCCAGAAGTTTTGTGAAATGTATTACAGTAGCCTGTGGAAGTTTATTTGAAGAATTGTCAATCCGTTTGGACTATTACATAATTTTAGCACATAGTTCAAATGGAAGAATGTTCAAAAGATAAAACAATGTATTGCAAATGTGTTTCGTGTATTTTATATTAAGAAATATTAAAAAACAATATTTTACAAAATTTTAGTAGACGTTCTTCACATTTATTTTTCGTCGGCCTGGTAGCAGCAGCCTGACTTGTAAGCTTTCACTTGATAATACCACACTTTGTTAAGTCCATCCAAAATTTTTCCTTCATTTATATTTCTTACATGCAATATATTTTAAATAACTGCTTTAGCTCAAAAACTTCCTAGAAATTAATTGCCTGATAAACCTGTAGTCTAGGCATAAGGCTAGCTTCTTGGTGCGCAATGATACCATGTGTGGTATTTTTGGAATGCTGGTTAAGTTAAATTTAAAGTAAACAAATAATACACAGGGCGTTCTATGTAACACCTGTGTCAGTTTTAATAAATCGACCTCGCTGACATTTCACCAATCACCCTGTTGGCTTCTTCAGAGGTTAACTGAAATTGGATAGCATTGTAGTCCGTAACTGCTAATACACTGTTCGAGGGGGGGCGGAGCTAAAGGAGGGTATGAACAATGTTTCGGGTGAATGCGTTCTCCTATTGGTGAAAGGTGAAAGGCAAGACGTCAGCAATTCCGACTTATCAACAACCGACGCATATTGTTTTCAATTTTTTACAAAAATTGGTAAGGAGAATAATCAGTTAGCTTATTATAAAACCGGGTGTCCTATTTAAAAAAGAAGACAATCTCAACCAACCGCAACCAAAACCGTTGACCAGTCATCAATGCTTTGCTCTGTTCTGTTTTGGTTGGTCTATCCCGAATCTAATTATTAGGAGCATAATATTACTATTTTTAATTTACTACAAAATTACTTTTACTATTTCTATTACTATTTACCAAAGACTTTGTGTATAAAACGGTATCATTAAGGTTGACGTATCAGCTGTATTTTAAAAACTACAGGTATTTATTTTCATTTAGAAAAAAAGTGAACACCCTGCTTTTGCGTAAATTTGTGCGCCGAGATAGACAGGCCACCCTATATAGCAGGAACGCATTTCACGGACAAATATATCAGGTCAATTTTACTGCAATCAAGAAAATAATGAATAATTTTGCAACACCGGTAATACTGTGGCCCTTTGAAAGTTGTAGTTTATGTTTTACGGTGATCATAGCAGCTGATAGCAGTATTAATTTCCTATTTACGTCCGTTGTTAGCTACGCTGGTCCAAACTCCAATAGAATTGACGACTCGTTTTCAAGTGGGGTTGAAAACTACTTCGTCACGAATCGACGCTACATTTACATTTACATCGATGGAAGAGGTAGCGGTAGGGACGGACTCAACAAAATGCATCAAATCTATCGCAAGTTCGGCACTGTTGAGATTGAAGACCAAATTGCTGTAATGAAGTAAGCAATCCTATATAGCTACTAGATATATAGATGCCTTGCCTAATAGCGAAAAACAAGCACTTTTAAAGCCGGCAAAAAAAGTTGAGAAGATACGCTTCGCTCATTCATATTCTCAGATATTATTACATTTTCAAAAAAAATAAAGCAGATTAGTGTATGAAATTTAAGAAAATAAGATGAGGTGCATTATTTTTGAAATATTTACTGCAGCTATATTAGTTAATAGGGTTTCGGTACATAATATTCGGTTAGAATACCTGAGTTCTTTTCTCGCTTTGACCTGCTAATCAGTGGCCTTCAATTAGTCAATGGTTTTAGGTAAGCTACTATTTAACGAATAGCAACGTGTCAAATCCTGGTAACTTTGGGTTTAATTTTATAGAATAGATTTTTTAAGACTGTGATATACTCTTTACAGAAAATACAAATATTTAAAACATGAAAATAAAAAATAAAAGTCAATCGAATAAACTAACTGACTAAAAGTCACATAATAACCTTCTTCCATTCGATTTCTAGATACCTACAGCAAAACTGTCCATACATTGACGCGAGCAACACTGGTATATGGGGATGGAGTTATGGTGGATTCGCTTCTACCTGGGCCCTTATCAAAGATTACGAAGGCGTCTTCAAATTCGCTTTGGCGGTGGCACCAGTAACTAATTTCATTTATTACGGTAATAACGCTCACTAGTTTTAACAGCTCGACGAGTATCCTTTAAAAATAGACAAAAAAAGCCGTTATCTTTATAAATTTGTTTATTTAGACGGGAAGTGAAAGGGTATCTGTTATTGTTCATGGGTCATATTTCTATTGCAACTCAATGTGTGCAATATACATTGAGTTGAGCTCATGGACTCCTCATATTTTAAAAATTCTTCGATAAGCAAGATTTTATTTAGAACAGAACTGGATATACGGTCGCGCTCTTATCTTGTTCTTGATATAAATTAACAGCACCCCAAGCCCCTTGAGGTTGACCGAAAAATCTCGAATAGCTTAGTAAAGTTTACCAACCCATATACCGTTTTTACAACCTTTTATGGTTTTGGCTTCGGAATAACTGTTGCGGACTGTTGTATTTTAAGAGTAGGGAAATTGTTTTCAATTAAACTGTTAAATTAATTTATATTAGTGTGATTTTTATCAATCTTCATAAAACAGTCCCTACTGGTGGGGAACGAGTCCATTGACGAGTGATTATTTTGATGTAGAATGGATTATGCACCAAGTGGACTAATAATAATAGAAGAATCTCACCGATGAAACTCTGCACAAATCCGTCAGCTTTCAGCATTTGTATGCAAGAAGTACTGAAGTACGGTTCTTGAACGTCATTGTGGAATTGGGAGTTACAAAGAGAAACCCAAGCGAGGTAGACCTGCGGTTAGACCTTCATAAAAAATTATCAAAGTGAAATATTGGATTATGTCGTAAGAACTGTATATCGTCTGGTGAACTCTATTTGGAAGCCCAGCACATCCTCCCTCGGATAAGTTTTAGTTACTTTATTCAAAACAATAAAAAAAAGATCTGAATAGGCTTAACTGTGCCATAATAATGCTAAATCAGTTGTAGTGCAGTGTAATCTTGCCTAGTCGAAGTTTCCTTCAATTAATACATCAATTTGTTTATCTAAGTATAGGCTGTTAGTTAAAACTTTCAATCGAATTCAATTTTTTAAGAGGGAACATAAAAATCCTTAATTATCCCGCCGAATCAAAGTGATAAATGGTAACCATTGCACTGTTCGCATGCAACCCCGAATAAATAATCCGTTTTCGTTTAAGCGGTTACCTCAACTGTCCTCACAAATCTTAAGCGCATATTTTCCGACAGACACGATATACACGGAAAGGTACATGGGCCTGCCCACGAACGAAGACAATTTATTGGGTTACAACAACACCGACATAACTCGTTACGTAGAAGCCATGCGGGGTAAATTGTACTCCATTATTCACGGTAACGCTGACGATAACGTCCACTATCAACAGTCGATGCTGCTAGTAAAAGCCCTGGAATGGGCCGATATTCCCTTCGCGCAGCAGGTGGGTATTTAGCTGTAATTAGGTAACTATTACATACGCTAGAATGTCGATTTTACCACACTGGCCCATTAGATCGACCAAAGAGATTGCAGATATGTAAGGGCTGCATATTAGAAGCAAGTAGCCTTAATTTGGATTCAAATTTACGGTACTACCGTGGAGTAAAAATCTGTCCAAAGGTGCGTGCACTATAAATCATTTTCAATATTTACAATTATAAATCCAAAAATAAATAGATGTTATAATTATAATTATAAATATAGCCCGTTAAACCTCCTTATAAGAATCTGTTTTAGTATACTTTGTCTCAAAGTATATATTGTATTTCAGTTTTGTAGATAATGAATTTAGTGCATTTTGTAGCAAGCGGTTGTAATTCGTCTCGTTATCCATTGCAATGGCAACGGAATATTTTTTAAAAGATAATTTTGAAACTACTTTTTAAAAAAGTTCTGAATTCGTGATAATCTAAGCTCGAGTTCTTAATTTTCTTCATAGAGAAGACGAAGAAAGAAGAAGTTTGGAATGAATCTCTCTGACCCAAAGAGAATTATGGCGATGCTCTTTCCTTTAACTGAAGGTGCTTTTGTATGATAATTTTTACTGGAATCCTTTGGATACAGTATCATGTGAATCGAACCAAGTTTCATCTAGGTAAATTATATATGTGTGTTTTCAGATCTACGCTTTTTCTATCTACAAATGCGCAATCTATGCATATATTAGTTTCACCTTCTTCGAGCTTAGTTTTCAGTTTATACAAAGTATCTGGTTTTGATAAGGGTAACATATTTTCCTTCTTTTCATATCTAGCCTATTGATGTGTAGAAGAGGATATTGAAAATCACTGTTTTTTTCTTTTATTCAATAATTCACTGGTTGCAACAGCCTCTATCTAAAAATTGAACTGGGGAGGCCTTTATTTGATGAAAATCAATTTATCAAAATAAATAAGAATTAAAAGTTCAGATAAAGACACGGTATTGTCGAAACAATTGTCATGTCAAAATATATAATTTCGTGAAAATCTGAACTTTTAGTTCTTATTGATTTTTTCTCTATCTAAGATCCTCTACTGCTACTATAAATAATTTATGGCTGGTTTCGTTTACACAGTAACAATTAGGATGAAGTTCGTAATTACTTTTTAGTGGGGTTTCTGTCAAACACCAAGACAACACACTCTACCTATCATGTAAAAACTGAAACGAGAAATAAATAATTAAATAACCTGACCCAGGAATCATCGGCTTAAGTTGCCAGACATTATTTATTTGATCATTCTCCTGCCAATTTTAGCTAAGCGGTTAAAAAAAATTAAATGCAGATACATTACATAAACAGCTGTAATAGTATAGTAAAAAATAAACAATAAATCTCTAGTTAATCACGTCATAATTGCTTGAGGGTGTACAGGGTGTTCATTTTTTTTTCTTAGTTTGTAAAAATAGTTTTCGTATACTTACAACATATATTTTTTCATTTAATCTACCACAGGTATATTCAGTTCCTATATAATCTATTTTTTTATAATAACACTTTTGCCGAGCAAGTGTGTAATGCAGAATTACTATTGTTTGTATATAGTCTGGCAAATAGAACGGTTTGATTGATTGTTTTATATTAGTTATATTTTCACAGCCAACGACAGAGTTTACTAGTAGGGTTATGTATAAACTTTTTATATAAAACTTAATAAAAACAAATGATCCTCGTAGAGATTAAACAAATTGGAAAACCCTCTACATTTTTGCTCGGGATTAAACTTTTTTGTACGCAGATTTCAAAAATATATAATTTTTTGATATTTACAATTTTCCGGAAAACATTGGTGATATTCACGTCGAACTTGCGATACATTTTCGTTCATTGTTTTTGATAATACATATCATAAATTAGTCGTGACGCTATTAATGTCAGGGTGCCATTAAAACTTACAAATTGTGACAATAAGATGGTTACTACCTAATTCTATTTTTGAATAATAAACTCAAGTTATTTCAGCCATAGCAGAGACCAATAAACTATATATTTTCGAAATCAGGTTAAAAAGGTCTTAAGTAAAAATATAGAGGTAGTTCTATTTAAAAAAATTTAAAGGTGTTGTTACTGGTATGTTTAGAAGATAATAAAGGAAAAATTATACAACTTTTATGTAAACAGTTTTTGCTCATCCCCTTTAATAAACTCTGTAGGTGACTGACAAATTATAAATGAAAACCGCGTACATCAATAATTAACAGTTAATCGCTCCTTCAGAAAAAGGAACTTGATCTTTTTCCTGGTAATCTTGTCTCCGCTAGAAATTTCGGGTATTCTCCAATTCTCCAATTCTCCAATATGAAGGATATAATGAAGCTATGTGATTTTTGTGTCATCAGTGACTGATATTTGTATTAGGTACTGCTGCTGCTGCTGTATTCTTTCTTTATTTAAGCAGCAAGCAGTGACAAATTCAAACTAATTCGAAAGCGTTAGTTACTTAGTTAATATTTTCTGCTTCATTGTTATTGATTACCTCATTGGGTATTGTAAATAAAACGATTTTTCAAATTAATTCAATGTAACCACGGTCAAAGTTTATGCCAATATAATATAGGCATCCCTACCGCAACTGTCCGTGACGTTTACTAATACAAACCATTTTTTTTAATACCTCTTAAAATTTTGTTGAGTTTCACTTACTTACATTTTGTAAGTTCGGTGACGAAATAGTCATGCGGGCGTTATTGCGCTTTCAAAATAGATAAAACGTAACAACAACAAAGATAGTGTAACGCGATCTAAATAAACTGAAACGAGCAATTACAAAATACCAGCGAGGATAATTTTCAAAAAACGTTTTCAGTATTTTAGTTTGTTTATAAATATGATACTTGGTTAACCATTATCTACCCAAAAAAGTTTTTGAGTGTTATTCTGCATAGTGGTGTGAACCTGCATTTGAACATCTTAATCCTAGAAGGGAGAAGTTCTATCAATTGTTCTATATGCTATGTAACTTATACATTTCCTTTAACTGAGAATGTGATTCAGTGAAAAGTTTGCTTTATTTACTGGATCAAATTACAACATTAAGTGAAAACGTCAAGACTTTTCCTTTCTATGGTCAAATTACTATTATTAATATACGGCGGATGTTTAACCGTAGTTTTGGTTCGATGCGCTTGTGGTTACTACTACAATTGACGTGCAGATGTTTTTCTTTTTATAATATTTATTTAGAATGCGGTTGTTTGGGTTCGAATAAAATTTTAAGTCGCTCATTTTCTATTTATTTTGGTTTCAGAGCTATCCAGACGAGAATCATTCATTAGGCAATGTATATCGGCACCTGTATCACAGCTTGGATAAGTTTTTCGCCAAAGGCTTCTCACCGCTCTCTCCCAGGTTTGCGATTTGGAGATAAGTTGCAGTCTCTTAATGTTAACACAGTATTAATAATTTTATGTAAATAACCTTGTTGTAAAATATGTACATACAAGTTTTGATATCTGTTACCGAACGAAGAAACACTCGCAAACAAAACAATGCCTGCATGAATAAAATTAATTTGACAAATTATAGTCATTTAATTTTGAATTTACGCCTTTCGAGTAATTTTTCCACGGCTCTACTACACGATTTCAAGCTTTTAATTAAATTGCTTTCTGGTCGTAATTGTTGTCTCTTGGTCGTCGGATTAATTGCTCCTTGAGAACATCGCGTCACATTTGTTTGAATAAGCGAAAATATTGGTCCAGGGTATACACTATTTAAACAAAATTTACTATTAGAATTTTGTTTAATTTCGAGTTTCGCACAAAATTCATTTTATGTTCATTTTTTCAGGTCTGGATTGCAACATTAGGATTTTTATATACCTTAACATATATATCCAATATTTATAAAATTTACGGTAAAAGTTTCTACAAGAATTTACACAAAATAGTAGAGACACCCAAATATATAGGGAGAGTCGCAAAAATAATTCGATTATTTGTTTAGCACCATCATTGGACATTATAACCCTTGTTAGAATCATAGGATATGATTTTTGATGATCCAAAGTTCAAAATTTTTATTTACATCTCTAGAACTGCATCCGATCCAAACGCAAAAGGAACGTTGTGTCATAAGCGAATGTTTTATTGGAGTTTGATTTATTGTCTTGTTAAATTAAAATGCACATTAGTCAAAAGTTATTTCAATTTACGAATGTTTATAATGGGCATAAAAATGGATACAATGTTTGCCACTAAATATTTTCAATTGTTTATTTGTTTTAAAACAATATAAACCAAAATATAACAAATTTTGTAAGTTATTTATTACAATAAGAGTTGGAGAGTGAAACAGAAAATATTTAGGACATCTCTGTCTTATTTTTAAATAGTTTGAAAAATAAATATCTTAAAATTATAGTGATAAAATATTATATTATTGAATTGTATATTTATTTATTGTAGAGATTTTCATTTACTGCTCCAGTATCTTGTGTGGCAGGTTACCTTTGATCGATGAAATTTTGTTACCCTCAGATTCAAATTGAAAGAAGTACATTACCGAGAAGTAGCCAATATGCGATCTTAAGTATTAATGTGGTATATATGATAAATACAATTCTCCAATCTTTTATACTATAAAAGATTTATTGTGAAACATATCCCTAATTAGATGTCAATGTCACTTTTAGGTTTTTTAAAATTTGACCAGAACGATCAAGACAAAAGACGAGCAGTGTATAACATCAGAAGCAAACCAGGTTACAATAGGTTTCCGTGAGAGGAAAACCGTATAATCATTTGTCCGTATTCCCCCACATACAGTCGGTCTGCGACGATTCCCATTTAAAACTTTCACTTCAGTCGCTAAACATCCATCCAGCAAGCAAACACATCGCTTCCTTCTGCAGCGTATATTTAAACCGTATCGTTTCGTTGGCGTAGCAATAAATTTTTTGTTTGTCACGCGAGTCTTACGTATTTTTTGTTTATCTTCGATCGATATTAAATGAGGAAGATTTCAGATTACACTGATAAGCGTGTGGAATTTGCAGTGTTGTAAAGAAATTAGACTGGTTGTATATTATGTTTAATTATTTTACGATTTTAATCCCGGCAAGGCAGTCAGTATCGGGTGCGCGAAAACCGAGACGAAACGTTTTATGAGACCGAGTGTTGCGGAGTGCGGTGAACTTGCGAAAGAATTTAATAATGCTTCCAATATTACAAAAACTGGTGAGTGCGAAAACTTAACCTAAACTGCGTGAAAGGGCCATGGTTCGATAGTTCTACATCACCACCAAACTCCACGATTGTTTACTAAACATTCACTAATTCCGTTCACGAGCTTCCTTTGAATAATTTTTGTATACAGAACTCCCAATATCAACGATGACAAAAGGGACGAAAATGTCGAACTGAACCGAGTATGTTTTGTCCACATCCTGAAAAACCATCGTAGCGTACTTTTTCTTCTGCCCATACAGACGCTTACCAACACGGAATGTCGCACGCTTTGCCTGAACTCTAAAATAATCTAGGGAACAACCTTCAAACGGTGCAAACAGCCTTTGAAGATATTCGATATAGACCTGTGATGGCAAATTTTCATTCTTTTTAAATTAAATTTAAATTAAAATTTTGTCTTGAAAATCCAAAAATTCACTTGATGATTAAAAGTACTCAGTGCGAAATTTTAATCCTAGTGCAAAACAAAGATGCTGGTCCAAAACTCGTGATATTCAATCAAAAGCTTTCCAAAAACGTGTCTATGAATTGATTTGTTTTTATTATATTGAATAATTAATATTACAATTAATAATTTACTGTTTTCCCAAAAGTAAACACCATCCGTCTACGGGCGATTCTGACACTTTTATTATTATTCTGATCGTCAACTTAAATCCATTATCGTATTATAATTACAATGGATATGCTACTAGCATTATAGGCGCAGCCCTTCCTCAAAAATATTGGAAATCTATTACTGCATAAACATATTAGTTTTCTTTTATATATGGAAAACCATCCATCTGAACGTTTGCCTTCTGGCATATCTGCCTCCGCTTAATATTCCATATCTTGTTTATGTGTCCATGAAAAGTAATCAGGCTTTTAAAGTTTCTCTAGATATTAAACTATTTCGCTTGATGAGAAGAAAAGTACGATTGAGTTTTCTAGTTCTAGTTTAGATTGTTGTAGATGATTTTTATCGAATCTCTATTGAAATAACACTCAAAATTTTTTTCTTATCGGAGATAAAGAAAACTAGCTAAAACTATGATTAAACGCGGGAGTTGTTTGATGCAGTTGTGTTCATATCAATTCGGTCTTTATTGTCATAAATTAATAAATTTAGTTGACAATGAAAAACAAACTAAGAATCGGAGGTCTTATCGTCTAGGAAAAATAGGCATAGTTAGCACAAATGTAGAGATATACTTCTATATATATTATTGAGTGCAATAATGGCAACAGCTATTTTTAGTTAATTGTACCATAAAACGCGCACATTTGAATTTTAACAACGCAGAACACCGGCACATCGTTATCTTACTTCAGTTCCGCTAGAGTTGGCGCCACGATGATTTTTTGATTTTAAAAAACTAGTAACTCAATCTTCTTTTAGCTTTCATATATCAATATAGGACGCGTGTGTTTTCAAAGTAGAAAAAAATGCTTCTGACACATTACTCTAAAAAACATCTTTTAGTGAAACTGACTAAAGAAGTTTAAGCATTACGCAAAGAAAAATGCGAACAGGCGCGAATTTTCAATTTTTTGAAAATGTGAATCTCGACGGTACTTATCCAAATGTTATACCATTTCAAAAATACCATGGAAAAAATTTAATGACTTAATGGATTTGCTAAAATGTCACAGTCACTTTTATAATGTGCTTTGAAAATAGTACGTTTTATTTATTTTCCCAAAACCATGATAATTCTTGTTTCTTAAAATTTTAAGCACAGTAGCTCTCTACCAAAAACAATAGGTCCGTTGTTTTTAATTGTTTACGTGTTAAAAGACTTCTTATCTGTTTGTTGATTCTTTTATTTTAGAAATAATACCTACTTCCACATGTATCGGTCGGTTGTTTTTAGTTATAGCTTTTCCAGCTTGTTTTTTTTTAAGTTACTACTATTCACCTATCTCGCAAATCAACCTGCCGAATTATATTTTTATACATATTTTTATAATAAAATGATGTTAAAACATTCATCTACTGTTTTATTGAGAATTTTTTTATCAAAATATTGCACTTTATTTGTAAAATTGATGTGTGCAAAAAAAAATCAATATTCATCTACTGTTTTATTGAGAACTTTTTTATCAAAATATTGCACTTTATTTGTAAAATTGGTGTGTGCAAAAAAAAATCAATAACGGCACAAAACTTAAAAGCATTTAAAAAAGAACCTCCAAAAATATTTCTTGTTTTGAAAAGAGAATAATACAAATGAACATATAATTATAAAGACATATTAAGACATGTAATAAGTAGGAGAGTTGATATGAGTTATCTCACAATTTCAGTTTTTATTTTCCTAAATCACTAATTTTCTCGGAACTATTATTTTGTGGATGATCCACTGTTCCACTCAGTGAGCGATATATGTGAAAAAAAACAGTCTAAGATTATGTTTATCTACTTTTTTACTATCGGTAGATGATTAAAACATTTTAGTTTGTTGTGGACAGAAGAGCGCTTGACCAAGGAAGAATGGGGAATAGAAAGTCTAACTTTATTATTCTGACGAGTCAAGTGAAAGGTTTGAATACTTGTAATCATATTAAATAAACAGTCCCCAGAATAAACAGCGATGGAAGCATTGTTTTTAATCTCAAGAAGTATGTAAGTTTCCTAGCGTGGACCTTTTGAAGAACAAAAACCTTTTTGCGAAGATGTGTCTTGGTTTGTATATTATGGGTATGAAAAACACGGCCTTGGGCTCTAATAACGTTTGTGTCATTAAGAATTGGCCATATAGTGGAGAAACTTTAAGATGATGTATTAATATACTGAAATATTCTTCCTTACTATAATATAGGGGGTGTTTTATTTCCAATATTCGCAAATGATGTGCAAATATTTTAAAAAGAAGAGTAAAAGAGGCGTACACGTATTATATTATTAGGCGTATTATGGATGTGGCAAGAGACACTGTAGGCTGTAGATGGTTGAAATTCATGACATAATACTTATATGCTGATTTAAAAAAAACCGTAGCTTGATTGCCAACTGCAACCACCAGGAGATGTTTCTTAGATCGCTCCATGTTATATTATACTAATTCTAATGAACTCATTTCGGTGTTGTTGGATTTTAGCAGCTTTCCTGGGTTAGGAAAGTATTGAATTCAGCAACATACATTTGTCAAGTAGCCTGCGTGTGCCTGCTAAGATCTGTGGCATTCAACGGACATGTTGATGGATCTCCGTCCACCATCTCTACTACTACTTAATCCACCCTAGAGGTCACTGCTTTTACCCATTTGTCACGAAATGTCGCCGCGTAAAGAATTCTAAAAGTCTGCTTAAAAAATTGCAATTCATCCAACAGCGTTCTAATAATAACCACTGAATTTCATCCTTTTCTATTGTTCAGACAAACACGATATTTTAACTGCCTCGGACGTAGATATAAATATATGTAATCTCGAATCTTTGGCGGAAACTAAACGAATTAATTTCGCAAAGTCGAATAACGTTTCGGACAGAATCTACATTTGGTTTGTGCAGGAACTTTTTAGCATTGTAACGAATATTCTGAATAAAGATTGGTCAATAATCAAGAAATATGTGCTTTAACCTGTGACAACATTAACGCACATTTCTGCGACTGAACTATAATTTGAAATAATAAATTATAAGAAACTACCTTAGGGTAATGCAAATTGGGCAATTATAGATTAAATCGTAACTTTTGCACCTTGCTATTAGCCATTATTTAAAAAACACTTACACACACATCTAGAACTTCGATACACCGCCAGTGGACATCAGATAAATTTTATTTTTAACGTGGTTGCGTGCTATGGGTTTTCATTTAATGATTTGTTGGTGGTAGTAAAGTCCTTTACAAAAAATGATACGAAAAACTCGGCCTTGGGCTGTATTGGAAACGTCTCAGTGTTCAGTTTTAAAAAATATATTTTGACAGATATTAACGGATGTGTTATTAAATTAAATATTCTTCCTTACTAATATAGAGGAAGTTTTATATTAAATATTCGCAAATTATGTGCAAATAAAAAAGAAGATTAACCGAAGCGTACACTCCTTTTTCCCCTACAGCTTACGCAGAATGATAGACAATAAATAAATAAATTAATAAATTTAAGAACTAAACGACAGATGTTTGCGATTCTATGAAAAACTAGGAGAAATGCTTATTGCTAAACAAATTATTGCAAATCGATTTAACCATCGGCATCAGTACTAGTGTCAACCCTAGATGTGCGTATACTGAGTTCGTCCTAATTGGTTCGTTCTTTAGTTGTGGAAATTTCGAAATAGGTACCTGAATCTCTTATAGAACGCTATAAATCTCAGGATAATGGAAAAAATTTGGAACTAAAATCACTATGGCGGAAACTCTCCGCCTTTATGCTTAATGGTTTACCCGTGTGCCTGTCGCTCAATATTGTCTGTCTAAAAGTCTGTCTGCTACTCTAGATTGTGCCCACTTTTAACTTAATTAAATTAGTAATCTCATAAAGTTATGAGAGATGCTGTAGCAAAATTGTTTCGTTTTATTAATCAATAATTTCGTTCTGAATTACGAAATTTTATTTTTTATTGTAGACCTTATAGCATAATTGCAACAAAAATCTAAAAAACGGTAAAATTTTGTGTGAGAAGGCGGAAGGAGTCTAATCAAAACTAACCAAAACTCTAAAATTTCGTCCAGAAAGAGACAGTAGTGATGAATTTTCTATTTTTTATTAAAATGCAGAATCAATTTTTTGCCATGCAATTCTATGCTTTGTATGGTACCTCATCAATTACTGAATCTTTCTTTAGTGTTAGATAAAATTGACAAGAAGTTTAATTTTATGTACTTATTTTTAGGGACCCAAGCCGTGGCTCAAAATTACCATCGCCCTAGTGATATTGGCAACAACGGTGACTCTTATAGTAATATTTACAGTTCCTGGAAGTAAGTAACCAAAGCACATCAACAATAGTTTTATTTTTGTCCGCGGATACATTTGTCCTTTTATTAGATCCACTTTGTTCGTTTGCCGTGTGCGGCATTATTTTCTCCGACAAACAAATTAATTCATATTTATTTTAATGTACGCAAGTAGTGACAAATAAATAACACCTTCAAGGTCCAAAGTACCGTAGTTAATGCCAACAAACTACAAGGATTTTAATGGCATCGCTTCTTTAGCGGAAAATAAGTAATTCCCATAAATTGTAAGGCGACGCAAGTGAAACTTTTCGCATAAGTTGTGTGCATGCAAGTTTTATTTGCCATTTTATAAAGCCTATTGATTAATAGTCAAAGAGAAATGAACATTACGTTTACGATGCCACTTTAAGAACCCATAAGGGGACGTTTGTCGCTCGAGCTAGCAGTTAATTCTGTTATTTTTTCATTAGGTATTAGGTATTAAGTTGAAAATGTGGCGAACTTCAAAAAAATATTGATAGGGAATATTAAATATGCATATGCATGAGTCATTTCCAAAATATTACAGTACCATATCTTCTAAACCTTCAGAACTGTTTTCATGTTAAAATATCTATATTTAGATCAAAACTAACCAAAAAATATCTATTATTTAAAAGAATAGATTTATGTGTTGGATCATTCAGTTCTGCGTCATCTTGTATTTTTGAAATTTGTCATAAAAAATTTAACCACACTATTCATTTTTGTAGTAACTGATTAAAGCGTAAATAATAATCAATGCAGAAAAGTATATATTTTGGATATAGTATTGGTTTTCTTTGTATTTGAATGTGTTTCGGTTGCAGTTATCAGAAATAGCAGCAGCGACAGCGACGATGTCGTTTCCGATAAATCTGCATTCACTCTCGAAGAATACTTAAGAGGCACTTTCAGTTGCGCTTCGTGGGACGGTACATGGTTAACAGGTAATAAAAATATTTTACTGTTAGGATAAATATCATGCACGATCTAATAAAAATGAAAGGCAACCTTTGCCAGTAGTCTTTTCATAACTGAAGAATATCATTGAATATCGATTAATCAACTGGAATGGTAATGTAAAGTTGAAGAAATTATTGAACTAACCAAATATGAAACTGTGGATCCCCTCGCCTGTCGCCAAATGTATTCCTTGGGTTGTCAATTACAACGTTTGTTAATGTTGGTTAAATACAGTTAGAATAGCTGTTGTTTTTCTCTTATCACCCTAGTGTGAGATGTCAAAATGACAAATAAATAAATGACATAATTACCATTTACGCTACTGATCAGTACAAACACTCCTACAATGTACTAACTCGCACTGTCGTTCTCCACATTACTGCGACATCCCGACACGTTTTACAATAATAGATAACACATACACGTATAGAGATGAAACAGGAATAGATTGTAATGTACGAGGTTTGTTCAAAAACTTTCAAGTTTTACCAAAAAGTATATATTTATTTATCAAAATTAATGTTGTCCCCTTCAAAGTAATCCTCCCCAGATAAAATGCACTTTTGCCAGCGTTTTTTCCAATTTTCGAAGCACTTCTGGTAAGCACTTTCTGATTGAGTTCTTCCAGCGATTTTTTCTTTATCTCCTCAATAGTTCCAAACCTTCACTTTTGGGAACAGTAAAAAGTCGCAGGGGCCATATCCGATCAATATGGTGGGCTGAGGCATGATTGTTGTTCTGTATTTGGACAAAAAGTTAGACACTAGCAACGATCAGTGAGCAGGCGCATTATCGCGATGGAAAATCCATGAATTATTTTCCTACAATTCCGGACGTTTCCTTCGTATTGCTTCTCACAAACGGCTCATAACTTCAATGTATTACTCTTTATTGACCTTGTGGTAAGAAATCTTGGTGTACTACGCCACGATAATAAAAAAAAATACATGATTTTTCAGTATTGCCGATTCTGGGTTTTTCCATTGGGACGATTGAGCTTTGGTTTCTACGTCATAATCATTACTCATAATTCCTCACCAGTTATGATCCTTTACGTCATTTAACAGCTACTGAGCGATGCTTTTGCTGCTACACGTTTCGTGCCCAAAACATTACAAGTGTTTTGCAGCACTGTATTTCAATTTTTACACAAATATTTATGTCAAATTCTGTGTTCCATTTTTTTTACAGCAGAAAATCGCCGAGCACACAAAACAAGTCTAACGCGTCTGTCTCACAAAAAAAGTAAACGTGCAAACTGGCTGAAACTGTGAACATATGTTAGGGACATGTGTATCACCATAACAAAAAAAAATTTCGAAGATCGAATGTATATAGTCCGCCCAATTTCAAAGTTCACCTTACTTTTTGAACACACCTTAGGAACTAAATGATTCTATCAGTTATATCAGACATGATTTAATGTTTCTTGGTTAAGTACATTAGTAAGTCTCCTCGACTTCTCACAAAATAATTCTGTTATGAACTTTAAAAAAGAATATATAGAAGACCAATATACAAATTTTTGAGTTTAAGCGTTCTGTGATTCTTCTTAAGTTTTGGAAAACTGTCTTTGTGGATTGACATTATGCTTCAAATTTTCTGTAGATGAGAACGCGAGACAAAAATTAATATGGTTGTTATTTCTGGCGTACGCTATTTTCAAAAGCTTTAATGTATCCTCATAGAAAATTTCCTCACATTAACGTAGAATATTTTTCAGGGTCATCATTTTATTTCAGGGACATTTACGGCAACTACGTTGTGTTCGACGTCTCGACCAAAGTGGCCGCGCTTCTTTTGAATGGCACAGTATTAGTAAGTAGATTTCTGTTTCGATAAAATTCGGTCACGGTTAATGTTTGTTGCAAAACGAAATCACGCAAATAATGCATAATTAAAGCGCAACGTTCTAAATGTCCAGACGTTGCAACTTTTGCCTTATTTACCATTTTTATTTTGTAAGCTATTCGGTTTTTATACGCAAATTTTGATTGTCTTGTATTAAAGTCAAAAGCGCCGTTTTTTCTTAGAATATAATAAACCTTGATCCAATATTTGGTATAAAAATGTTCGTAGTTTTTTTGTTATACTTTGTGTTATGTAGTTAAATGCATATTGTTAATAAAAAAACGGAAGAAAATAAATTTGATATGATTTACAGGCAGGAAATCGGAAAACCATTTGGTTGTTTGTGAAAAACGCAAGGGGAAAGTTTATGTACAGTTACAATTCTAAACACAAATAGGCTGGAAAATTCCAGGATTAATGAAATCGGGTGGTTGAGTTTGTAATATCCAGTTTTATTAGAACGAACGAAACAGTATTTCTGTTTTCGATAATGATCACAAAGACTTCAACATTTATACTGCAACTGATTCTGCATGTCACTAAATACAATCAAAATATCTTTAATTTGTTATAACTGTTATAAAAAATTATTAGTGAATATAAAGTAATCAATAGGTGTAAATTATGGATAGCTTTGATTGGTAGAACAAAAAAACCTACTACTACCTAAAACTACGTCTAAAATTTACATTTGTTCGATACAACATATACTTGAATCAAATAATCTTTGCGTGCACGTCAAACAAGACGATGTTTCTTGTGTTGTGTTCTTCTGTCCCTTTTGTTGTCTTTCTCCCTTACGAATTAGTCTTGTGTTACATGTTCTATTCATCAACGATTAAAACTTCCAGTAATTTTACTCCTGCTGATGTTACGGCAGTTGATAACCGGATGCAGACGGATGGCTCTAGGATTGAACGCTTTAAAATAGTTTGAATGTCTCACTTAAGGTTTAAATGAATGTCACTTTTTGATTCCACATAAAAAAAAAGTTTGTTCATTCTATACAGATTTTCGGTTTAAATATAAAAATTTGTTTTTATAGTTTTTATGCAATATGAGCATTGAAGACTGTCAATTCAGTAGAAAGCTTTACAGACAGACAAGACATTCAATTCAATTTCTTTTCACTTAATTTTCCCTGTAATTCGCATATTCTTTTATCTAATTTATTCAATTATTATCCCTTAATTATGAAATTCTGCTATTAAGTTAATTTTTCAATTGTGATCTGGTTTACAAAAAACCTAAAAAATTGATTATTATTACATGCAGCTTTTGAAGAATATGTATAACAACATTTTTTTCTATGTGGAACTAAACAAAGTTGTGTTAATTTCTTGCATAGTATTGAAAAATAAAGGCGAAAAGAAAACAACGTCAAGATCCAAAAACATTGTCTAAGAACTAGGGGATTTTTATTCCTGAAAAGGTATACAGAGAAATCTGAATTTAAGTTTTTGCTCCGAATCCAGGTTTGGTTTCTATCTACACTAATCAACAAGTTGACTATGTTTTTAGGACAATCTAAAGGCAAACTTCATTGTGACCCACTTTCATTGACAGTTGTAAATCTGACAACATACAGTTCGAATATATCTGATGTAATAAAAATTATGTGGTTAAAGAAGAAACCTATTACGTTTTTCAGAAACGAATAAAATAAGATAAACCGCAACTGCACTCAGACAAGTCACTACATCATTGGTTTCATTTTATCAATCTAAAATCATTCCAATTTTATAACGTGATTACGTTAAATCGATATCGAGCCGAAATCTTTTGTAAAATAAATATTGATTAATTTATGACATTTTTAGGCAAGCTATACGTCACCGTCCATATCACTTTCAAATGATGGAACGTACGTTTTAATCCGACACAATGAAACGTCTGTAAGTATTTATTATCGTTATTATCGCCTTCGAAATTATACAATAATTGTTTGAGTTCAAGTACAATTATTTAATTGTATAATTAGTATTATTCAAGTTGACTTTTTTAAATATGGAAACGTTTTTGAATAAGAGTATTTCCTGGCGAAAGACAATTTTTGTTTTAATTATTACCTCATATTTAAACAATTAGGAGCTAATGCGCATCGTAAATGCTTGAATATTTTCACAAGGCTGCACCGCCTGCGCTGTTAGTTAATATTTATTGCCAATAAATCGAGTGAATGTACCCGTAAAGGATCTCCGTTGCTTAACACAAAGCGCATTTGGAATCTTAAATAAGTTTCTAAAGATTGTTCAACAACAAATGTCTAGAAATAGTTCGCATATACCCCAAACATTTTTAGAGACTATATTCCTAATAGCTTTGGAAGAGTTGTTGGCAATAAAAAATATAATTAATTTTACTAGGGAAGATTATGTGGAGAAAATGACAATCGAAACTAGAAGTCAAAAATATTTCTGAAAGTTGATATCTGCCTAGCTAAAAAATAAAATAAAAATAAAGAAACAAACTTGTCCTCTTTTTTTTGTTTTTTCTTCGCCACCTTAGGCAGATATTTGGCTATATGAACAACGCTGGATATATAAAGAGGACAAGACGCACCACTGTTTTGCATATTTCAACCTGATTCTTTTTATTGCACATTTTATCTTCTCTAAAATATTTAAAGTAAAATAAGTACTTAAAGTAAATAGAAAGTACAGTTACAGTTTTTGAAATATCTTTTTTTTTGTAAAAATATTTACTTTTTATATAAGTGTTAATTAAATTCTTAAAGTTTCAATAATTTTACTCTTTTTGAACCTGATTCTCATCTGACTGTCTTCAAATATCACAACTTATTAATTCTTACTAACAATCAAGTAAAAATTAGCTCTGTGATTTATAAAAACATGCTTTGTTGTTAGTTGTTTAAGATGAATATGTAACATCAGGAACATTTTCATAAAATCAATGTTTACATTTGTCTCACCAAGTAACAAAAAAATTTGAATAATGTTCGCGCAAAATCATTTGATGAGTTGATCTGGTTAGTGAGTTAGATAAAAAAATGCTGTTAAAATTATCAATCTTCTGTTTGCCCTACAAAACATTATAAGAAAGGAATCTATATTTGAGTTAGGTTGTAGTTTATATAAAATTAAACTATTTAAAAAACTTTGGAAAAAACGCAGCGATAGCTGCTAAAAAATAATAATAATAATGACTTTATTTGAATAATATGATATGACAAAGTTATTGCAAAGAAGTAATATCATTAAACTGTCCAGGTTTGGCGCAAGTCTAGCCTTTGGCTAGCTTATTGAACCAAACAGAGATAAGCATAGTTTAATAATACTATGTTAATCCTATAAAAATTTTACCTATAGAAAGTACTGTAATTACATCTGTGGAAATAAGTTACAAAGAGAACAAATATATATAATAATTGTATATAACATTGGAGGAGAATTAATTGGTTTTATAACATTTTGGAACTCCGTGATATTGTACTATATTACTAATTATAGTTTAAGCCTGTTAATAGAGATTTAGAAGATATTTTTTATATTTTAATTTGAAATTATGTAATGTCAAGAAACTGGTTGGGAATTAAGTTGAAATACTTTAGGGGTTTGTATGAAAATGAGCGCTGAAAGTTTGCAGTGTTATAATGTGGCATGGTTAGTTTGGCATAAGTTTTCAAATAATTAAAACCTTGATCATATATACTTTTTTAGTAGAATACTTTAATTTTTTACCCCACTATTCATATCAATTATAATTCGATGCTATTATTATGAAAATGTTGTTACAGAAAATCTTGGCCATCAAAGTTTCCTGATTTACAAAGCTTGCCTATTTTTATATGTTAATGTTCATTATTCCAGGTGTTTCGACATTCTACAACAGCACAATATACCTTATTAGAAATAACTACAGGGTAAGTTTCATTTACAATTGATAGATTATTTTAGGTTAATAATTAACTTTTCAGCAAAACTTATGAGGTGAATTCTGGAAACCCTATACAGTTAGCAAAATTTGACAACACCGGTCACGGGTTTGCCTACGTTGTAGAAAACAGTATACACTACGTACCAGAGGCTTCCAACGTTGACAGTCCAGAATTGGTTGCGTCTGGAGAGCCGGGGGTCATATATTGCGGAGTTCCAGATTGGGTATATGAAGGTAACTCTATAAGAACTACGTTAAAGAAATATAAATAAAAAAATACTTTTTAAATCTGAAGCAAGGAAATCTCGTTTGGGCAAGTTTGGTTAGTGAAATTACCACAGTATAATATATACAATACACCTCAATACAGCTATTAAAATGACCGATTTTCTACTACTTTCCTTCAAAATGAGACAGTCAGTGTCTTTAAAATATTTATTTATTGAGTTCATACTTGCAATATGAATATTTTACTGTTTCCAAGCATAATCCAGCGGAATTTAAATGCTGCTTTAGCTATGACGCTATCAAAGCTTACCTTTCCAAGGTTGATGAATTAGCTCAGTAAAACTTTTACACATCGCATTTAGGACAAAAAATCCGAAAATTAACTTAAAACATTTCATGTAAATTTTCTGTTTGGAAGCTTTTGCAGCTTCAGCTGCTTTTCGCTAGTTAATTTTTTTGCTACGACTTGTGCAGCTTCAGCTACTTTTCGCTAGTTAATTTTTTTGCTCCGGCTTGTATGTCCTTTTGGCAAAGTATATTTATTCTATATTAATATTCATTTCAATAAGTTCTAAAGCAAATACCTACATACATACCTGACATTGAACAATAATTAGGTTGTTTTTTTAGAGGAAGTATTTGGTGGCGATTCTGCGATGTGGTTTTCCCCTGACGGAAAAAAATTAGCATATGCTGTTTTCAACGATACGAATGTTCTGGACTTTTCATATTTCGTCTATGGTACTCCAGGCTCCCTAGACGATCAGTATCCTACCCTGACCACAATTAAATATCCAAAAGTAAGCATTTTTTATTATATTTTATATTTTTAACATTCAAAGGAAATTCGTATGTCAAAATGGTGGATGTACATTAATGTTATTGACAGGATGCACCCCACATTAGATAGCCGGTAACAGTAAGTATTGATTAAAATTAATTGATTTATTGACTTTATTTATCGGTTAAATAGGAACGAAATTTTGTGTTTGCTGTTTTTTCAAGTAGATTCAATAACGTAATTTTGTGTGGGGGAAAAGGGATTATAATTTTCAGAAATGTCTATTTTTATGGCCTTAGCGAATTTGTAAAGCGGGATATTGTTAACAGCTCCATTTCAACAGAGCTCTTGGTGTTGTAATGTTTCAGTGATATTGAGTTTTTCTAATGAAAAATTATCAATTCTTAATTACTTTAAACTTTTTTGAAAATTTTAAACCAAAATTTTTATTCAATGGCCCCTACATTAACACAGTTTTTTTTGTATGGCAAGGGAAAAATAAAATGTACTCAACAATTATTGAAATAAAATTTTGCGGTAACACAGAGTTCACATTGTTTTTATTATTTTAGAATCGTGATGTTTTGACGTATTTTTCTGTTATTATTTTAGGTAGGAACTCCCAATCCTTTGGTGAAAACTTTCGTTTACGATATAGATTCGAAACGATCAACCGAATTTACGTTAATAAGTTCTATAAATAACAGCGTGGAGGACAACGACTACGTATTATACGATCTGAGCTGGGTATCAGATCAAGAAATCGCTATGATTTCTACCAACAGAGTACAAAACGAATCTGTGATAATTAGGTGTAAAATAGACGGTAACTGCAGCGAGGTGAGTGGGGAATATCTTGCGCCATAAATAGTTGCGGCTTCAGAGATGTTTTTAGGAAGCTTCGTATAGACAGGAGAACGGTTGGTTACGTCCAAAAATCCCCCACTATAGTCAAAACGGATCATTAAAAATCGAGATTTTACCCCAACCTCAAGATGGTGATTTCTTCGAGCACTTAGTTTTAACAAATATCGCCAATAACTCTAGCTTGAGGCTTACGTACGGCAATAGAGTAGTGACTGCCTTTTACGGCTGGGATGAAGCTGAAGAACTTGTGTAAGTGTAGTAATACAGAAAAACAACCAATAGAAAACTAGTTCTATTCTGCCAAACCAATACTTCGCCACCTGCATTGTTAGTTTTGGTTATTTTTTTATAAGATTAATTGGATTGGTTGATAACGAAGTAAGTTTGGTGGTTTAAGTCTGCACTGAATATATTCCAGACAATGGAGCATTATTTTAATTTGAATCTTGTTTTTCCTGCATAATTCGGTTACTTTGAAAAATTTAATAATAATAAGGTAATGTTGTATATATTATGGTGCATAGGAAATTGTAAGGTCCAAAAAAAAAATTAAATATATTGAGAAATCGGTGAGATCTGATGTTTAAGAGTGACGTAACAAGAGGTTTTTCTGGTGATGTATCCTTATACTTTAAACAAAATATTTGTTAAAGCGAGCTTCAGTGTAAAATTCGGTTTGTAATTCTTCCAGCTATTACGTCGCTTCTGTGAATGCGACGCCATCGCAACAGCACGTATACGCTGTCAACACGGCAAATATCAACGATGACAAGTGTTTAACTTGTAACATGGTGGTCGATGGCGAGGAATGCAAATACGCCAAAGCAGATTTTAGCAAGGATTATTCGTATTTAGCCAAAATTTGCCAGGGCCCTGCACCCATTTACGTCACCGTCGATAATATAAAAAATGTAAGTTGGAGTTTTCCTTTTTTATAATATGTTCCGTGGGCTTTATTAAAGGGCTAAAGAACTACACTTATGGGCGTGAGTGAGCTAGATTCTGTTTTTATTTTTGAGGTAAGCAATGCACGGTTTTTAAAAGTTTTAAAAGTAACTGCGTTATGACATACAAATTGCAAACACCAAGTAAGTGTCGACTAAATGATCTTGAAAAAGTGGCTTTGGATTACAAAGACTCCAACATGCTTGTTTTATTAGCAAGAGAGATATGCAGTAAAACCATAAAAGTGGGACAAACTATACATCGAGTATTTGAGACATCCCCAGACTTCTACCTATCATATGCTATACATATTCAATAGGCGATACCGATGATTTCAGTGAATAAAACCGAATAGTGCCATGCAAATTGTTATAAGGAGAATTAATGACATTTATCTCCCGTCTATAAAATGCCTAATTACACACCGATCTAGCGTGCGGGAAACTTCACTTTTCACGTCAGTTTCGTTTCCCACGTATCCGAGCCACGCCTTGAATTTTGACGTTTGTCAATTCTGACGATCCTGTCACCGAATGTATTAGTGTTGTTTTTGCGAAAATATACCCAAAAACTAACGTTCGTAGATAAAGTATAGTATGCAACGCGTTCGGTAAACCTTTTAAGTCACTCGTTTATTAAACACTCACTCCGCCACGCTCCGCTCGTGTCAAATAAACTCGTGGACAAATGCCGTTTACCGCACTTGTTGCATAATATACTATTTTTTGTGAAATTAAGGAAAGTCTGACTGACTGGGACAAACATGTTTCCGTGTACTAGGCATATGCGGAGTGTTGCAATTTCTATGGCGCACAGTATATATTATTAAACCCATGATTTTATACAATAATTTAAAGAACAACAGCTTGAATTTTATTCTTCCTTCGTCTTATATATCTAGAATACGGATTCAATCGTATGGCAGAACAATACCTACGTTCGAGACCAAATATCTCGAAAGCTGCTTCCCTCTACCAAAGATCTCACTGTGCCAATTGAGGGCAACTTTGCCGCCAGGGTAAGATTGCTTTTACCGCCAAACTTCGACGAAGCGACAAAGTATCCTGCCATAGTTTACGTGTAAGTGTCAAAAGAGATTAAGCATTTCGTTGGAGGTCGAGTTTTCGCGGTTTTTTCAGGTACGGAGGACCGGAATCTAGTTCGATAGCTGATACATATTCATCGGGAATGGCAAACTATTTTGTTACAAACCGTTCCTACATCTACATCTACATAGATGGCAGAGGAAGCGACAGAGACGGGGATAACAAAATGTTCGAAATTTATCGAAAACTGGGAACTGTGGAAATCGAAGACCAAATCAATGTTACTAGGTAAACGTTGGTTGGGATCGGGAGTTGCCAACAGATCATTTAAAACTGCAACCGGTCTGACAGCCGTTATGGAAGTGTTTAACTAGTTTTCTATTTTATCCATTCAAATTATTTAAAAATCCGTTTTTTGTTTCTCCGAAATTAGTTAATTAATTAATTGTACAGTTGATTCAAAGATAAAAAATTATTTTAATTAGCTCTTTATCAATTTCTGCAGTCCTAAAATTTATCGAGATTAACCCGCTGTTTTGAGATTTTTTAAAATTTTCTGTGCAATGTTATACTTTTAAATTTTTGTGGGAAGCTTTGAATAACAATGCAAACATGAAAAATATTTAACTTTTTGGTTACTTTGCTTAATAAAACCTCTATTCCATAATATGTTCCATATATGTTTTGCAGGTACCTACAACAGACTTACCCCTTCATAGACCCCAGCAACACCGGTATATGGGGCTGGAGTTACGGAGGTTTCGCTTCTACATGGGCATTAGCGAAGGATTCGCGAAATGTGTTTAAATTTGCCTTGGCCGTGGCACCAGTAACCAGTTTCATCTACTACGGTAGATATTCTCTTTTAAATAAACGTACTAAAACTTAAACCGCAATTGGTCAATGAATTTACAGTTCGGCACAAATATTTTATTACTATTATTATTATTATTATCGAAACTGTATTAAAAATATACTTTGGATCAAGAACAAACATAAACACAGATTTAACCCCGTATTCACAAACGTATCAATCGAAAACAACTCTTCCCCCACTGCCGGTAGAATGTAATTTACGAAATAAAAGAATAAAGCTTTCCTGTGTGAATATTAGTATAAAAAAATAAATGTAGCAACTACTCACATGTGCTTAGAATGTGTTTTTTGGGTTATGAAGCAGATCGCAACTCTGTAATGTTTGTCTTTGATATAGATACCATTTACACTGAGAGGTACATGGGACTCCCAACCGAAGAAGATAATCTGCTGGGCTATAACAATACTGATTTAACAAGAAAGGTTGAAGCCCTGCGAAACAGGCTCTATTTCGTCATTCACGGAAATGCGGATGATAACGTTCACTACCAACAAACGATGCTTCTGGTAAAAGCTTTGGAAGTGGCGGATATCGACTTTTTGCAGCAGGTAAAATCACGTACCAAAATATTGATTGCGTTTAACATTATAATTAATCAACGCTTTTGCTTTTTGCAGAGTTACCCCGATGAGAACCACTCGTTGGGAAATGTGTATCCCCATCTGTATCACACGCTCGACTCCTTCTTTGCGTCATCATTCGGTCTCTCTTAATGCGTATGTGAATTGTTACGAACGGTGATTGTGTTGTACATACAAATATTTTAAATACATTTTTTTGTCATAAATTTGTTTTAATTTTTTATATTGAGAAGGAGAAAAACAACGATCAATAAATTAGCGAAAGATCCACCAATGGAAAAACAGAACTAAAAGAGCGCCAGAAGAATAATTGTGATCCAATTATAAGGCAAAATTATGGGTGTAGAGTTTAATGGAATGTCTCCGTAATTATTAAAGTCAGGAGATTGCTGTGGAGGAACGATTCTTAAAAAATAGTAGCACACAAAACACTTTGCATCGCATTTTAAATTATTGTATGTTATGTTATAAATCGTTTATGGATACTAAAACTTTGCAAAAACATATACATTTAACTACATAAAATGCACAGGGTGAACAATAAAATAAAAATGAGTCTTCATTCATTGAAGTTGAATTAGAACGACACATTAGCGTATTTCAACTAAACATTAATAAAAGCGGCAATGAACCCAATTTTGTAGAGACATATTTTATTTAATAAGGAAAAAAAATATTTTTTCTACTCCGTACAAATGCAAATACAAATTATCCATTGAGAATGCGTGCACAAAGTGTCTCTTTGAGAATTCAATTTCGTTAATTATGGTAGCAAGTTTCTTATTAGTACTTTAGTTGCGGGTTTGTGAATCTTTTCGTTATGGAAAAATGATTGGCCGTAGAAAAATCATAGTATGCATTACTTAAACTTTTTCAATCACTCATTTAAGGCTAAGTTGTTAGAGAGCTTAGCTTAGTGTTGTCCTTAATCCTTAAAAAGGCATGAAATATGCATTGAAATATGCCTGCGCTCTAACTGGCAACAAACACCTAATAATTATAATTATAGCTATCACAAGATAAAAAATATATAAAAATAAATTATGATACAAAGAGAAAAATACCTAATTAAGAATGGATACCAAAAAGATAAAGAAGTGTGATCTACAGATTAATTTAAAAAACTTACTCTTCAGTTTCGTCACAACAAATGAGCATGAACGTACGATTAGATGATTAGTACGACTGAGGTTTAGACAGCGGGACTGAAGGACTGTAAGAATCTTTTGTTGACCAATATGCTATTGGTCATTCGTAAAATACTTAGTTAATGTTTAGAATGGATTTGTTTATGTCCGATCTACATTAACTAGGTACCAAGTAATTTTATGCTGAAGATATATAAGATTTAGTAAAGTATGTGGTTCGCACTTTTTTCATCTCCCTGAAAATGTAGTCTGAATTGAAGTAGGATGCGTTGGGCTTTCGTGTTAATTAAAAAAATTAACTAAATCTTTTTTCAAATAACAAAGCACATTTTCTGAATTGTGTGATTAAATGGACCTAACCGATGTTCATAATAATAGTTGTTATTTTAAAGGTATTTATTTCAATATTTTTATGTTACTCATGCTCAAATAAATTTTGGCAATAACATAGATTATAATTCAATAAAGAAAAAATAACGGCTTCGCATGCATGTCACTATTGGATCTGTTGGGCTTAGGCATATGTTGTTCAAAGTTGAAATGTAATTAGGGGACGACCAAAAATTTTGTGCATTTATTTTTGCCGTTTTAAGAATTTTACAGCATCTTAACCACAGACCTTTGCAGCACCGTGGTAAAACCCATCCCAAAAAACATTTTTATTCTACATTAAGTAGGTCTTTCCTAGAATGAACCGTAACGAATTTTTGTAGAAACTTGAAATTTTTATTTGAAACGTAAATGGACCGTTAAATGTGATTAAGCATTGATGCTGGGGGATATTTTCGAATAAGTAGAAATGTTTATTTTAACATGAGGTGATATGTATCGTTCTTAAGAGTTTAGTCTAAGTTGCTTGTTCGAATATATTACGGAGCTTTTTGAATGTGCAAAACTGTTTTCACTGGATAGTTCAAATGGCAAGGGTAAGTACTTGTTCTCTATTTAGCTTACAGGTAAGTTGGAAAATAATCATCTCATAATCTTGTGTGCCCGTCGACTAACAACATTCTTCTTCTTGTATTTTTGTGTCTTCTATATAGTTCTTCGATTTGTAAAAAAAAATAAAGGAAATCTTGAGATTACTCCCGTATCATTGTATATTTAACCCGATTGAGATGATTTGGTCTGAGTTGAAAGCGCATATGTCACCAAAATGTCATATTACCATAAACGTAATTCGGCAAGAGTTAGCTAAAATATCAGTACAAAGCTAGTCTAACTGTGAAAAATGAGTAAAAAAAGAGGAAAATATTTATCGCAATCGATCAGTGGCGACAGTAGCGATGGTAATTATTTTTTATAATAATTTTTATTATTATTATTATATAATGGTTTTGAAGTAGGCAAAGTTAATCACGGGGTCTGTTGAAAAATCACAATATTTCTGGTCATGGTCTACCAACCATTGAATTTAAAATGGTAGTCTGAGTAGTACAATTGAGAAGCCATTTCAATGAGAGATTAGTTGGATATGTAGAAAATAACTTGACTCATTGATTTCACATTATGCATTTCGGTGGCCATTCGAATGAATCGAAATCTTTCATTAATATTCGAATACACGTTCCGAGCATTTTGTATTATAGATCATTGAATATTCGCAAGTTTTGCAATTCATATGATAGAGAGTTATAGCCGCTGCATGCACATTAACTGAACGCTGCATACCTAATAGACGATTGGAACCGATTTGTGTTTAGTCAGAATTTTCACATTTTTATTTATGACACACCATAAAGCAGAAACATACGTTACCGTTTTATTGTGAAGATGTTGCCGAAGGTTAGGGACAGCAAGTGGTTTTTGGGTATCTATTTTTTCTACCACGCTGTCTTCATTAGTATACAAACAAAAATTTCTAAAAACGTGGCCAAGTTGGGTAAAAGGACAGCATGGTTGAACTACGATTTCTACTAAGATTTTTTAAACGATTACTAATAAATACAAAAAAAAATTAAAATGTACAATGAATTTGAGAAATCAGATATTTATCACCCACTTGATTTTATTTATAGTTAATTTATCACTTCCAGAATGTCATAGTCAATACTAAACAACTAGGAGTCAACAAGCCGCTCAATTTTTGTATATTCCCTATTTGGATATATATTGGGAGGGAGTTATATTTTCTAGGGGCCGCAAGCAGAAGGCATTAAAATAAATTTTATAATTTGTACTGGCATGGCCTGACACGATACAAATCTGATTTGTACTGAATGGCTGATTGTTTAGTTACGAATTTTGTTAATTTGTTAAATTTAATAGTCTGATGACTGCTTTAATGTGGATTTTGTTAAAACTTAGTACTTTCGCTTGAGTAAACAATTCTTTAGATGGATACAGTTTATTTTTCAATAACAATATTTTAAAAACACGTTTGTGGTTAGTTGCTAGCGGTTGAACAGCCCCATCTGTTGCAGCACTCCAAAAGCATATACTATAGGATGAAATTGATTCTAGTACAGATTTATATATTTTTATAAGGAAACTCTTTGATAAATTTTGACGCAATATATAAAATGTATGGAATAACTTATGCATTTTCACTGCGATATATATAATAACTTTTTGGTAAAATTTATATAAGGATCGCACAGTAATTCTAAAGCATTTGCAAAGATTTGTCTTTTCAACATCTCTTCCCTATTCTCTTTCGTGTTGGAATAATTTAATCAGTTTTCTAACTAGCCCTCTGATCTTCTGAGTCTTCTACTCTCTTCTGCAAGATATGGTTCTCCAAATCGAGAAAAACAGTAATACGTTTTTTCTATTCCCGCCTGTAAAATACCTAATTACCCACCGATCCAGCGTGCTGGAAGCGTCACTTTACCACGTCAGTTTCGTTTCCCATCAATCTGAGCCACTTCGGATATTTCCGGGATTTTACCGCACGGGTTACCCAAAAACTAAAGGTCGTAGAAAAAGTATAGTATGCAACACAACAACAAATAAACTCGTGAGGCAATGCCGTTTACCGCACTTGTTGCATAATATACTATTTACTATCATTAAATGATCTGACTAAGCTGTCCGCTTCCTTAATCAATGCATCTTCCGTGTCTACTTTTTTCCTCAACCTAAATTTTTCTCCAATCATCCTGTTGGCTTCTTCAGAGCTTAACTAAAACTGAACTGAAACAGTGTCAGTTAAGCTCTGAACAGGAATGATTAGCGAAACGTTAGCAAGTTTGACCCAACAAAAACTATAAATTCATCGCACTTGTTAATTTGACTTTCGTTTTAACATATTAATTAGGTATTTTTCAATTATTTAGTTTATTAATGACGATCTTCGTTTCTGATTGCGATATAATATCAAAATTTTTATTTTGTAAATCTATGTATGCCATTAGGTTGTCATAATTTTTACTTAGTCTCGTGATTTTGTACTCTAAGATTTCATCACATATATCGTTACAATATATAAATAAATAAATATATAGCTAGCATTATTGCTTGGAGGTTTGTGGTTACTCTACTCTACAAAAGTGATGAGACGATCTTACAGCTCATATTAAACATAAAAGTACTAAATGACTTTCCATATATTACAATGGTGATAATATTTGTTATGATTGCCACAAATCCAGATTATTGGCATCATGTATCATCATCGTTATCAAACTTTGGTTACCGTTAGGCAATGATCTAAATTTTTAAAATATTTCACTATTCCTATTTTTTATGAGATCATGTACTTGATGAATACTCCTGATCTTTATATGCGAGACACCTTCTTTCAATCTTGCAAATATTATTAATAGCCCAAACAAACTTGTGGCCAACTTTTTTAGTTTATTCGCTTCGTTGCGCACATTGAGGGACATATGAGTAAGTTCCTCGTTCAAGTATTACCAATTCTTCTAATAGGTTTATCATGTTTTAGTTGGTTGAATTTTATTTTTTTAATACTGCTTTCTGAACTTATAAATCATTTTGCAGTAACTATAAATTAATTGTAGGTTCTATATAGATTATACGAAATATGTTTCCAAAATATGATATAAGGCTTTACCTCTAACATTTAAATGTATGTCTTGA